TAATTAACTAAATATATTTTCTTCAATATTTAAAAAGGTGGAATAAAATAATTGGTGATTAAGGTGCATCAGATTCTGGTCATGGTTTAGGAAACTGCACTAAATTGTTTGATTTGACACTTTAACTAAGGTAAAAACTGTTTATTTGTTTTGAATTGAGGTATTTTTGAATATAAAAATTAATTCAAAACAATAAACTAGATTTTTCAATTTATTTATTAACTTTTTATTTTATTTAATTTTCTTTTTTTTTTTTCTTTCTTTATCTATTTGATAATTTCACTCATATTTTAATTTTAATTTGATCTTTTATAAATTAATTTATTTGTTATAATTTTATATTTTTTATTCATTCTTTCGTTCTAAATAGTTAAATAAATATTTTTTCTTCTTCAATATTTAAAAAGGGGTAATTAAATTGGTGATTAAGGTCTATTTGGTTTATGTTCTGGTTTAGGAAAGAGCTCTAATCTCTTAAATTTGACACTTCAAATTCAGTAAAAGCTGTTTATTTTTTTATGATAATAATATTTTTTTAATAAAAAAAATAAATTTAAAACAATGTAACTAACTAACTCTTTCAATTTATTTATTAACTTTTTATTTAATTTAAATATCTTTTTTTTTCTTTTATTTATTTGTCAATTTATTTAACTCATTTTTTCAGTTTTAACTTTTGCTTTTATTTTTATTATATATTTTTCATTCAGTCTTTCCTATTAACTAGCTAATTACGAATATATTTTTCTTGTATATTAAAAAAGGGAGAATAAAATTAGTGATGATGGTGTATCAAATTTATGTAATAGTTTAGCAGAAATCACTAATCTTATAAGCTTGACACTTAATCTTAGGTAAAAACCGTTTATTTATTTTAGATTATGATATTTTTTAATATAAAAATGAATTTAAAACAATAAAACTAACTAACTAAAATACTAACTCTTTCAATTTATTTATTAACTTTTTATTTTATTTAGTTTTCTTTTTTTATTCTGTTTGTATATTTTTTTTTCAATTGCTGATTTAACTCATTTATAATTTTTAACTTTTATTTTTATTAATAATTAATTTCTTATTATTCATATTTTTCTTACTAACTAATAAATTAATTAACTATTTATTATATTCGATATTTAAAAAGTTCTAATAATACGAGTTTCATAGGTGCATAAAACTTACTTTTAGGTTTAAGAAAGACTAATATCTCAACTTTGAGACTTTATTAAGGGTAAAAACTCTTTATTTGTTTTGGATTGTAATATTTTTAAAATAAAAATGAATTTAAAGAAATATTAGTAACTTTTTACATATTTATTTATTAGCTTTTTATTTGATTTATTTTTCTTTTAAAATTTTATTCAACTAACATTTTTTATCGATTTAAAATATAATATTTTATTTACAATTTCATTCCATTTAATTTATATTTGTTATTTACACTAATTTATATTTAAAGAGTCAATGAAAAAGAAAAAGAAATATTGATAGAATTAGGCAAGAGGAGCAAATCAAAATTAGTTTTATTCCAATTGAATTGATCATAAAAAAGCTATTAAAAAAGTGCTAATAAATATAAAAATATTTGAATAATATATTATAATATTATATGTTTTTTTATACAATATTTTGTAATCTGATAAATAAACCTAAAAAGTAGATAGAAAGATATATAGCACACCAGGTATTAAATTCTTATTTAGGCATGTGGAGAATTAAGAATTTAATTTATGGATGGATTTACTATAAATATAGTAGATTAATTAATTAATAAATAAATAAATTAAATAATTTTATTTTATTTTTTATTATAAAATATTTTTTTGATTTATAATTTTTTAATATAATTAATTAAATTCCATAAATTGCTAATCAATATTTTTGAAAAAAAAAATAAATGATACAATAGATTAAAGAATATTAAAAATTAGAAGAAGTAATTATTTATTTTTTTATTAATATCCTTTATATTTATTTTTATTAATAAAAAAAGTTTTTAAACTCTTCACTTTAATCTCATTAGGTTCTACATATTGATCTCAAGTACATTTAATTAAGAAATATTATTAATATTTTTTATAAATTTAACTTTCAATTTATTTAAAAAAATAATTTTTATAATAAAAATTATCATCAATTACTCACTATTCATTAATTTTTACTTATTCAAAAAATTTAAATCTATTTCAACTTAATTTACATATCAATTTTTAATTATTATTATTCATTTTTATTATTTGATATTTTTTCTTCATTTTTGCTATTAACTTAATAAAAAAATTTTTATTAGTTTGGATGATTGTAATATTTTTAATGATAAAAATAATTTAAAACATTAAAGCTATTTTAATTTATTTGGTTTATTTTTCTTTTAATTGTGTTTGCTTTCTTTTTATAACTTTCTTTGTTAATTTAACTAATTATTTATTAATTTATCTTATTATTTCATATTTTTTCTTCATTTTTTCTTTATAATCAACTAATTAATTATATATTTTTTCTTCAATATTTAAAAAGTGATAATTAAATTGATGATGAAGATGCATCAGACTTAGGTTCTGCTTTAGCAAATTGCATTAATCTCTCAAATTTGACACTTAATCTTGAGTAAAAACAGTTTATTTGTTTTGGATTGTGATATTTTTAATTATAAAAACTAATTTAAAACAATAAAATCTTTTTTTCTTTTTCTTTTTATTGTGCTTGATAGCTTTTTTTCTTCTTTCTTTGTTAATTTAACTCATTTTTTTATTTCAACTTTTGCTTTTATAAATAACTAATTAATCTTATTATTTCATATTTTTTCTTCATTTTTTCCTTCTAATTAACTAATTAATTATATATATTTTTTTAATATTTAAAAAGTAGAGATAAAATTGGCGATGAATGAATGAAATACTCGCACATAGAAATGCACTCAGAATACATCTTAAATGAAATATTTAATAGTAGTTAATACATTTATTTATTTTTATATTTTATTTTATTTTTATTAAATTAAAAACTTGAAACAATTGATGCATTAGATGCAACACTTGATGCACTAGATGCATTAGATGCACTAGAAGCATTAGAAGCACTAGAAGCATATGAAACAAAACACATTATATCCTAAATTTTTGGAAAGTTTAAAATTGGCGATGAAGGTGCATCAGGCTTAGGTTCAGGTTTAGCAAATTGCATTAATCTCTTAAATTTGACACTTAATCTTCAGTAAAAACAGTTTATTTATTTTGCATTATGATATTTTTAATTATAAAAAACTAATTTAAAACAATAAAGCCTTTTTTTCTTTTTCTTTTTTATTATGCTTAATTGATTTTTTTCTTCTTTCTTTGTTACTTTAACTCATCATTTTATTTTCAAATTTTGCTATTATTATTAATTAATCTTATTATTTCATATTTTTTCTTCATTTTTTCCTTCTAATTAACTAATTAATTATGTTTTTTTCTTCAATGTTTAAAAAGTTAGAATGAAATTGGTACAGTGGGTGCATCAGATTTAGGTTCTGCTTTAGCAAAGTGCATTAAGCTCTCAAATTTAACACTTAATCTTGAGTAAAAACAGTTTATTTATTTTGGATTGTGATATTGTTAATTATAAAAATTAATTTAAAACAATAAAGCCTTTTTTTCTTTTTCTTTTTATTTTGCTTGCTTACTTATTTATTTTCTTCTTTTTTGTTAATTTAACTAATCTTTTTATTTTCAACTTTTGCTTCTATTTTTCATTAATCTTATTATTTGATATTTTTTCCTTCAAATTAACAATTTAATGATATATTTTTTCTTCAATATTTAAAAAGTTAGAATGAAATTGGTGCAGTGGGTGCATCAGATTTAGGTTCTGCTTTAACAAAGTGCATTAAGCTCTCAAATTTAACACTTAATCTTAAGTAAAAACAGTTTATTTGTTTTGGATTGTGATATTTTTAATTATAAAAATTAACTTATTTTCTTCTTTTTTGTTAATTTAACTTATCTTTTTATTTTCAAATTTTGCTTTTATTTTTCATTAATCTTATTATTTGATATTTTTTCTTCATTTTTTCCTAGGAATTAACAATTTAATGATATATTTTTTCTTCAATATTTAAAAAGTTAGAATGAAATTGGTGCAGTGGGTGCATCAGATTTAGGTTCTGCTTTAGCAAAGTGCATTAAGCTCTCAAATTTAACACTTAATCTTCAGTAAAAACAGTTTATTTGTTTTGGATTGTGATATTTTTAATTATAAAAATTGACTTATTTTCTTATTTTTTGTAAATTTAACTTATTTTTTTATTTTCAAATTTTGCTTCTATTTTTCATTAATCTTATTATTTGATATTTTTTCTTTCCTAGGAATTAACAATTTAATAATATATTTTTTCTTCAATATTTAAAAAGTTATAATAAAATTGGTACAATAGGTGCATCAGGCTTAGGTTCTGCTTTAGAAAATTGCATTAATCTCTCAAATTTGACACTTAACCTTTGGTAAAAACAGTTTATTTATTTTGGATTGTGATATTTTTAATAATAAAAAGTAATTTAAAACAATAAAGCTATTTTTTTTTCTTTTTATTGTGCTTTTTTGCTTTTTTTTCTACTTTTTTTGTTAATTTAACTCATTATTTTGATTTCAACTTTTGCTTTTATTAATAACTATTTAATCTTATTATTTCATATTTTTTCTTCATTTTTTCCCTTTTAATTAACTAATTAAATATATATTTTTTCTTCAATATTTAAAAAGTTAGAATTAAATTGGTGCAATGGGTGCATCAGACTTAGGTTCTGCATTAACAAAATGTATTAATCTCTCAAATTTGAAACTTAATCTTTAGTAAAACAGTTAATTCATTTTGGATTGTGATATTTTTAATTATAAAAACTAATTTAATAAACAATAAAGCTCTTTTTTCTTTTTATTGTATTTGCTTGCTTTTTTTCTTCTTTCTTTGTTAATTTAAGAATTCATCATTTTATTTTCAACTTTTTCTTTTATTATTAATTAATTAATCTTATCATTTCATATTTTTTCTTCATTTTTTCCAAATTATTAAATAATTAAATATTTAATTTTTCTTCAATAATTAAAAAGTAACAATTTAATTGGTTCAATGGGCGCATCAGATTTAGGTTATGCTTTAGCAAAGTGCATTAATCTCTCAAATTTGACACTTAATCTTTGGTAAAAAGAGTTTATTTATGTTGGATTGTGATATTTTAAATTATAAAAACTAATTAAAAACAATAAAGCTCTTTTTTTTCTTCTTTATTGTGCTTGCTGCTTTTTTTTCTTCTTTCTTTGTTAATTTAGCTCATCATTTTATTTTCAACTTTTGCTTTTATTTTTCATTAATCTTATTAATATTTATTTTTTTCTTCATTTTTTCCTTCTAATTAACTATTTAATTATATTTTTTCTTCAATATTTAAAAAGTTGTAATGAAATTGGCGATGAAGGTGCATTAGGCTTAAGTTCTGCTTTAGCAAAGTGTATTAATCTCTCATGTTTGGCACTTGATCTTAGGTAAAAACAGTTTATTTATTTTGGTTTGTGATACTTTTAATTATAAAAATTAATTTAAAACAATAAAGTTCTTTTTTCTTTTACTATTTATTGTGCTTGATATCTTTTTTTCTTTTTTTTTGTTAATTTAACTCATAACGTTATTTTAAACTTTTGCTTTCTTTTATTAATAATTAATTAATCTTATAAGGTTATATTTTTTCTTTATTTTTTCCTTCTAATTAACTAATTAATGATATATTTTTTCTTCAATATTTAAAAAGTAAAAATTAAATTGGCTATAAAGGTATATCAGGTTTAGGTTCTGGTTTAGTAAAGTGCAAAAATCTCTCATATTTGACACTTAATCTTTAGTAAAACAGTTTATTTATTTTGGATTGTGATATTTTTAATTATAAAAACTAATTTAAACAATAAAACTCTTTAAATTTATATGATAGCTTTAATATGATTTATTCTTTGATCTTATTAATACCACTAATTTATTTTATTTATTAATTTAAGAAAAAGTTTTTAATTTAAAATTTTATTTTATTTAATGTTTATTTAAAATTTACACAAATTTTTAATAAAAGTGTTACCATTATGACTTTCATGACAAAATAAGAAATATTAAAAGTAAATAGCAAATATCTTAAATCAAAAAGATTAGTGGTCTTTGATATATAATTCTGATTATAAACAATCAAGCGGTGAAAAAATATGAATAAATCTAAAATGTTTGAATAATTGAATATTATATGTTTTATTATATAATATTTTGAAAAAATTTGTTTAACTTAAAATATGGATAGATAAATAGATTTTATTAAAAAATACCATATTTTTTTAAATTAATAAATACGGTAATACCGCGTTGCGATTCGCATGCAAGTTATTGAAAATTTTGTAGTTTTTAAAAAATTTTTAGAAAAAGTTTTTAAACTCTTCACTTTAATCTCATTAGGTTCTACATATTGATCTCAAGTACATTATATTTTTTATAAATTTAACTTTCAATTTATATAAAAAAATAATTTTTATAATAAAAACTATCATCAATCACTCACCATTCATTAATTTTTATTTATTCAAAAAATTTAAAGCTATTTCAACTTAATTTACATATCAATTTTTAATTATTTATTATTCATTTTTATTATTTGATATTTTTTCTTCATTTTTGCTATTAACTTAATAAAAAAAATTTTATTATTTTGGATTGTAATATTTTTAATAATAAAATTAATATAAAACATTAAAGCTATTTTAATTTATTTTATTTATTTTTTTTTTAATTGTGTTTGTTTTCTTTTTTTAAATTTCTTTGTTAGTTTAACTAATTATTTATTAATTTATCTTATTATTTCATATTTTTTCTTTATTATCAACTAATTAATTATATATTTTTTCTTCAATATTTAAAAAGTGATAATTTAATTGATGATAAATATGCATCAGACTTAGGTTCTGCTTTAGCAAATTGCATTAATCTCTCAAATTTGACACTTGATCTTTAGTAAAAACAGTTTATTTGTTTTGAATTGTGATATTTTTAATTATAAAAGCTAATTTAAAACAATAAAGCCTTTTTTCTTTTTCTTTTTATTGTGCTTGATAGCTTTTTTTCTTCTTTCTTTGTTAATTTAACTCATTCTTTTAATTTCAACTTTTGCTTTTATTAATAACTAATTAATCTTATTATTTCATATTTTTTCTTCATTTTTTCCTTCTAATTAACTAATTAATTATATATATATTTTTAATATTTAAAAAGAAGAGATAAAATTGGCGATGAAGGCGCATCAGGCTTAGGTTTTGGTTTAGCAAATTGCATGAATCTCTTAAATTTGACACTTAATCTTCAGTAAAAACAGTTTATTTATTTTGATTTGTGATATTTTTAATTATAAAAACTAATTTAAAATAAGAAAGCCTTTTTTTCTTTTTCTTTTTATTATTCTTGATTGCTTTTTTTCTTCTTTCTTTGTTACTTTAACTCATCATTTTATTTTCAAATTTTGCTATTATTATTAATTAATCTTATTATTTCATATTTTTTCTTCATTTTTTCCTTCTAATTAACTAATTAATTATGTTTTTTTCTTCAATATTTAAAAAGTTAGAATAAAATTGGTGCAGTGGGTGCATCGAATTTGGGTTCTGCTTTAACAAAGTGCATTAAGCTCTCAAATTTAACACTTAATCTTCAGTAAAAACAGTTTATTTATTTTGGATTGTGATATTTTTAATTATAAAAATTAATTTAAAACAATAAAGCCTTTTTTTCTTTTTCTTTTGCTTGCTTACTTACTTACTTACTTATTTTCTTCTTTTTTTTTAATTTAACTAATCTTTTTATTTTCAACTTTTGCTTCTAATTTTCATTAATCTTATTATTTTATATTTTTTCTTCATTTTTTCCTTCGAATTAACAATTTAATGATATATTTTTTCTTCAATATTTAAAAAGTTAGAATAAAATTGATTCAGTGGGTGCATCAGATTTAGGTTCTGCTTTAGCAAAGTGCATTAAGCTCTCAAATTTAAAACTTAATCTTAAGTAAAAACAGTTTATTTATTTTGGATTGCGATATTTTTAATTATAAAAATTAATTTAAAACAATAAAGCCTTTTTTTCTTTTTCTTTTGCTTGCTTACTTACTTATTTTCTTCTTTTTTGTTAATTTAACTTATCTTTTTATTTTCAAATTTTGCTTCTATTTTTCATTAATCTTATTATTTGATATATTTTCTTCATTATTTATTTCTAATTAACTATTTAATGATTTATTTTTTCTTCGATATTTAAAAAGTTAGAATTAAATTGGTGATGAAGGAGCATCAGGCTTAGGTTCTGCTTTAGCAAATTGCATTAATCTCTCAAATTTGACACTTGACCTTCGGTAAAAACAGTTTATTTATTTTGGATTGTGATATTTTTAATTATAAAAACTAATTTAAAACAATAAAGCTATTTTTTTTCTTTTTATTGTGGTTTTTTGCTTATTTTTCTACTTTTTTTGTTAATTTAACTCATTATTTTAATTTCAACATTTGCTTTTATTAATAATAAATCTTCCTATTTCATATTTTTTCTTTTTTTCCTTCTAATTAACTAATTAAATATATATTTTTTCTTCAATATTTAAAAAGTTAGAATTAAATTGGTGCAATGGGTGCATCAGAATTAGGTTCTGCTTTACAAAAGTGCATTAATCTCTCAAATTTGACACTTTATCTTAGGTAAAAACAGTTTATTTATGTTGGATTGTGATATTTTTAATTATAAAAACTAATTTAAAACAATAAAGCTCTTTTTTCTTTTCTTTTTATTTTGTTTGCTTGCTTTTTTTCTTCTTTCTTTGTTAATTTAAGAATTCATCATTTTATTTTCAACTTTTGCTTTTATTAACAATTAATCTTATCATTTCATATTTTTTCTTCATTTTTTCCAAATTATTAACTAATTAAATATATAATTTTTCTTCAATATTTAAAAAGTTACAATTTAATTGGTTCAACGAGCGCATCAGATTTAGGTTCTGCTTTAGCAAAGTGCATTAATCTCTCAAATTTGACACTTAATCTTCGGTAAAAACAGTTTATTTATGTTGGATTGTGATATTTTAAATTATAAAAACTAATTAAAAACATTAAAGCTCATTTTTTTTTCTTTTTATTGTAATTGCATTTTTTTCTTCTTTCTTTGTTAATTTATCTCATCATTTTATTTTTAACTTTTGCTCTTATTTTTCATTAATCTTATTAATATTTATTTTTTGTTCATTTTTTCCTTCTAATTAACTATTTAATGATATATTTTTTCTTCAATATATAAAAAGTTGTAGTGAAATTGGCGATGAAGGTGCATTAGGCTTAAGTTCTGCTTTAGCAAAGTGTATTAATCTCTCATGTTTGTCACTTGATCTTAGGTAAAAACAGTTTATTTATTTTGGTTTGTGATACTTTTAATTATAAAAATTAATTTAAAACAATAAAGTTCTTTTTCTTTTACTATTTATTGTGCTTGATATCTTTTTTTCTTTTTTTTTAGTTAATTTAACTCATAACGTTATTTTAAACTTTTACTTTCTTTTATTAATAATTAATTAATCTTATAAGGTTATATTTTTTCTTTATTTTTTCCTTCTAATTAACTAATTAATGATATATTTTTTCTTCAATATTTAAAAAGTAAAAATAAAATTGGCTATAAAGGTATATCAGGTTTAGGTTCTGTTTTGGTAAAGTGCAAAAATCTCTCAAATTTGACACTTAATCTTTTGTAAAAACAGTTTATTTATTTTGGATTGTGATATTTTTAATTATAAAAACTAATTTAAACAATAAAACTCTTTAAATTTATATGATAGCTTTAATATGATTTATTATTTGATCTTATTAATACCACTAATTTATTTTATTTATTAATTTAAGAAAAAGTTTTTAATTTAAAATTTTATTTTATTTAATGTTTATTTAAAATTTACACAAATTAATTTTTAATAAAAGTGCTACCATTATGACTTTCATGAAAAAATAAGATATATTAAAAGTAAAAAGCAAATATCTTAAATCAAAAAGATTAGTGGTCTTTTATATAAAATTCTGATTATAAACAAACAAGCGGTGAAAAAAGATGAATAAATCTTAAATGTTTGAAAAATTGAATATTATATGTTTTATTATATATTATTTTAAAAAAAATTGTTTAACCTAAAATATAGATAGATAAATAGATTTTATTATTGTTTTTATTTATAAATACCATATTTTTATAAGTTAATAAATATGTTAATCCCTCAATAAGCTTCGCGTTGCGATTCGCGTTCAAGTTATTGAAAATTTTGTAATAATTAAAAATAAAGTTTAATCAGGAGATTATTTTTTTTTTTACTGATATACATACATACAGTACATATACTTACTAGTAATTTAAAATAAATTTAACACTCATTCAATATCTTACATATTTTTAATTAAAAACATATAAAATATTGCTAAAAGAAGCTCTTAATTTTATGATCATTTTAGAAATTTCATTACCAATCTCTTCACTTTTGAAATTAACTACAAAAATTTAATTTGCAACTATTTGTCAGTATTTTTTCTATTTTATTTGATTTCAAAGCAATTAATTAACATAAATTGGTAAAAGTAATTTTTACCTAAAAACTATTTCTAAAATTGATAGTTTAGCACACTTAGATAGAGATAAACCTAGGTCTATTATGTCCATATTTTCAAATATAATTTTACTTTTAAATTATTTTGCATTAGTTTGTATTGATTGAAATAATAAAAATAAATTTGCAATAAAAAGCTAAGTAAAAATAAAAAGCATTTCTTAATAAAAAAATAAATTAATTTCAAGTTAAATTAATATATGATATATTTAATAATGTATAAAATAAATTACTTAATTGATAGTTTCAAATAAAAAAGGCTTTCACATTTCATTAAAGAAGAACCTAAATTTTAAAACCCGACTCTATCGATTTCATTATTGCTTTTAATATTTTATTAATTTATTTGATTTAAATCAGTAAGAAAAAAATTAATGCATACTAATTAATTAATGAAGAAGTTATATTAAATTATTGTTTATAATTCATTAAATAACTAAGTTAAATAAAAAATTGTTTAAATAATTATTTTTACTTGAGTTTTATTTTCAAGTATGAGAGATTAGTGTATTTCGCTATAGCAAAAACTAATTTTTATGCTATCTAACAACCAATATAATTCTATCTTTTGAGGTATATTATACAAATTTATTAGTTTTTGTTCAATTATTCAAATAATAATTAAATTGTAAGTTTAAATTACAAACTAATTAAATGTAAGTAAGTAAATAAATAAATATTTTAATTTGCTATTTAATTTTCGATTACATTCAAAATAAATTAAATTAAAAATAAAACAATTTTTACGAAAGGTCAATTGCAAATTTTGAGAGATTAGGAAATTTTTCAAACTAAAATTCACTCTCTGCATCAATTTAATCATTTCTAATAATATATTTAACATAATTTATTTATTTAATGATTGACTAAAATAATTCAGAATATATTTTATATTTATAAACATAAAGATAAAATTAAAAAAGGATAGTTATTTCTGTGAGTAATAATTTATAAGGAATTATAGTGTTTTACTTTAATTTTACATTTAAATCTGTAAGACTACTACACTTTTCTAATTCAGAAACTAATTTAAAAAGTCCTAATTCACCTATCTTATTATTCCTTATAAATAAATTTATTAATTTTTGTATATAGAAATAAAATAATTTGATATTTAACTTTTATTTCAAAATTAATCAAAAAGTATTAAAAATAATAGGTAATTTTGCAAACAACAAAACAAAGAAGTTTACTATTAAAATAAATTTTTATTTTATGTGTGTTTATAATAATTTATTAAAAATCAAACTAATAATTATTTTTACGAAAGATCAAGTTTCAATGTTGTGAGACTAGAGAAATGTGTAAGTAAAGAAACAAGCTCAAATGCACAATTGGCATCAATTTAATTTTCTCTATTAAATATTTATGTTAAAATTTAAGAAAGTTGATCAAAGAAAATTAATAATTAATCAATTAAATAAATAAATAATATATTAAAATAATTGATTGGATATAAAAAATTAATAAATGTTTATTAAATTTCTGAGTAAATATCTAATAGCTCAAAAACAGGTTTTACTATAAATCGAGAGTAAAATCTATGAGATTATGCCACTTTTATAGAACCAAACATAACTTAGAGGCAATTTCTACACCAATTTAATTTTAACTTTTAATTTATTTAGTAAAAACGTATTTGCTTAAGAAAAATCATATTTTTTTTATTAGTTTTAGACAAATAAAACCAAAATAAATAAATTAAAAATAAAAATTATATATACTTGAGGCGGAGGGTAAATTTTGTGAGATTAGTGTACTTTTGTAAAATAGATTTTAATTCTTCTACTTCCAATTCTCTTATGATACTTAGACTTTTAAATTTATACCAATTAATTAAATGTTAAAACAAACAAATTATGTTAATCTGAATAGAAAATTATTCAAAAAGTAGTTGAAATTCAGAAAAATAAACTAGTCAATCAATAAAATAAACAAATAAAATCTAAAATAAATTATTATATCTAAACAAGATAATTTTTTGTTCAATTTCTGAATAAATATCTAAAAATTCAAACAAAAAAAACAGTTCTTACTCCAGTGATAGATTCAAATTTGCAAAGTCATTACGCTTATATACATATAAGGATAAATAAGAGGCATTTTTTCACATTTTTCATCTTACCTATTAATATATTGGCAAAATCATTTTCTTATGTAAGAATAATCTTTTTTTATTAGTTTTTAAAGTAAAATAAAATAAACTAGTTTTACTCAAAAGTAATTTCATTATTTGAGAAATAAGTGCTGCTTGCTAGAGTAAAAATTAAATCAGAGACACCCTACAAACTACTTTAATTAGTTCTAATTTTTTTTTTAATTTACCATGAATTAATAAAAAATTAATAACAAAATAAGAGATTGAATCTTTATTTAATAAAGATTATTAAATTTATTTAATATCTAAATGTTTAAATAATGAATATCAAAGTATATTAAATATTTTTACTAAAAGAATATATCTAAGTTTTTAATAGAAGTACATTTTACTAAAGCCAAACCTAATTCAGATGTACTTTTCGTATTAATTTCATTTTCTCTTCTAAATTTAAAAATAAATAGTTAAATAAAAATTTAAAAATAAACATTAAATAAAAATTTAAAAATTATGGTTGATAAAAATCTGAATTGTATGTCTGTATTAAAAATTAATAAATAAACTCTAAAATAAGTTATCCAATTTAAAGAACAAAATTTTATATGCTTAATTTCTCAATAGATATCTTAGAAAAATAAAAAAAAATTTTACGATAAAAAGAGTGTCAAATATGTGAGACTATTACACTTTTATAGAGCCAAACATAAATTAGTGGCACCTTCTATGCAAATGTTATTTTTACTTTAAAGTTTATTCATTATAAATTTGTTTTTTTAATAAGAATAATAATACTTTTTATTTGTTTTTAAATAAAATAAAATATAAAATAACTAATTAATTTTACTATAGATTAAGTTAAATATTTGTGAGAGAAGTGTTCTTTGCTAAAGCCAAACCTAGTTTCTATGCACCTTATGAACAAATTTAATTATTCCTAAATTTATTTTAAATTTATCAATTAAAATAAATTGAATATATAAGTCAAAAAATTTTAAAAAGAATCTAAATTATAAGAATAAAATTTTATATTTTATCAATTTACTATTTTTTTAATTTTTAAATGATTAAATAACCATTAAAAAGTAAATCAAAATCTTTTTACTGGAGATTAAGTTCCAAAGTTGAAAGAGAAGCACACTTTGCCAAAGCCAAACCCAGTTTAGATGCACTCGTTGAGCCTAATGAATTATTCCTTTTGATATATTTGGTAAATATTAGCTTTGTTAACTCAATAAAAAGTAATAAAAGAATAAAAATATTTTTTAATAATTATTTTTATTTATGTTATTAATCAGCCAAAAAGTAAATAAAAAAACTAAAATTAGATAGAAGAAACCTTAAAAATTCAGAAAAATTTATTTCATTTTTTTTACATAAAAATTATCTTATTTAAGTCACATTTAAATTTTTGGAAATTCTTAAGTTTATATGAATTTCTTAGAGAAATTAAGGTATTGCAGTAAAGAAATAAATGTAAATTTATACTCAAATCTTAGATTTAGATCCTCGAGTTTAGTTAGTTTTTTCAAAGCAGAACATATTTCCTATATTCCATAATCACCAATTTACGAGTTACTTGTAATTGATTTAAAATTATTATGATAAAAAAAATACTTATTGAGTAATAAATAAATTCAAGCACATATATGTATTAGAATAAAACATAATTAAGAAAAGTAAGTTAATATTTGTTAATTTGCTATCTTTTTAAGTTAATATAAAGTTAAATTTTTTATTTTTACTTTATTGTGAGATACAAAGTTTAGAGATTAGTCCATTTTTTTAAATGTTTAGCTAAATTTGATGCATCTTATTTGTCATAGTCTTTCCATATTGCATGTGATCTTATAAATTTTAACCTAATATATATTAATGATAACATAAAATAGATTAAAAAAAAGTATAGTAAAAAAGTATGTATATAAAATCATATGTAATCATTCTATTACAAAAATCAAACTAATTGATAAAAATTTAATCATTTATTTTTACTTTTTAAATAAAACTAAAGTAAGTTAAGAATCAGTTGTCAGATTAGCATCTAGAAACTTTTTTTTTAATAAAACTGAGCTCATATGATAGATGATAATATAATTAAATACCCTTGATAGATGTGAAAAGTATGTTCTATTTTAAATCATTTTATTTTATTTTTTTCTCTTCCAGCTATTTTATTAATCTATGTATTGAAAATTAATTAATTATAAATATTACCTTACCGTAAATTTTATAAATCTGTACCTTAATTAGTTAATACTTCAAAAATGTAAAATAAATTTTAAAAAAAGTATTAAAAAGTAAAATTTGATTTCTCCCTGAATCATTGTATCTAAGTAATTATGATAAATAAAAAATGATAGAAATATGATTGATGGATAGATAATATTTAAGATTAAAAATTTTTAATTTTTTATTTTTAATACATAATTTATTTGCTTACAAAAATAAAAATGATATTTATAATATATATAAAAACAATAATACAATTTATTTATTGCAAAAAAATTAAAAAATATGCAGAAATATTTGTGTTAAAATAAATATGTCTAGTTAATTTCAATTAAAAATTAGGAATTAAAAAATAAAATTGATTGCGTCTAGAAAATATTAATTTCTAATAGACGCTTATTTTATTTGAAACAAATCAAAGTGTCAATTATATTTTTTCAAATTAATGTTTCAACCAATTTTATCATCCTCTTAATTAATTAAGTGATTTTCAATAGAATTCTTTGATCTAAATGCTATACAAATTTGAGCGAAACTTTATAAAAATTAATTAAAAAACAAATTAAAAGCAAATAAAAATGAAAAGTAATATATTAAAACAAGTAATTGAATAAAAAATTGCTTGTAGAGCTGAAATAATTTTAACTTTTGATGCTTTTGAAAAACGCAAACCTTAGTTTGAAATTATCGACTAAAGAATTTAAGTAAGATAATTAAAATAAAGCCAGAAGGTTTTGTAATTTAAAATATTTGATAAGTAATCCTAAAACCGAAAGGTCATTGAAGTATTTTCAATAGACCAATTTTAGGATAAAATTTTTAATGTCATAGAGTACTCTTAAAAAAGCAAGAACTTAGTGAGATCTGATCTAACTTGGAAAGTTTTTGATAGTTACTATCTGGATGAAGACATGTTATTCTATGCAGTAGAATATGAAGACTTTGATTTTTCTTGTTATGAAATAGAGCATAATTTTAATGATCTACCTTCAAATTTATCTAAATTTAAAAAGCCTTCTGAGTTAGAGAAATATTTATAAGAAATCTATTTATATTCTTAACAATCGCTCAATCCAAATATGAAGAAAAAAGTACCTTAAAATCTTTGCTTGCAAGCTTATTATGTTTTTTAGAAGTAAAGTAATAACTAAACTGCTGTAAAGTTATGTACGGTTGATCCTTTTTTATTTTAAGAAGAAAGATGCTTCTGCTAATATAATTTATAAGCTCCAACAGCTTTAAAAATAAATACTCATTAAGTTTTCGATCTACTTAAATGCAAAATAGACAATTAGGATTAATAAACTATATTTTAGTAAATATAAAATTTATCTCCTAAATTCTTTGAATAAAATCGTAAAATTATTGAACACATTATTAATACTGAAAGTGATTTAGAATAATTTTAACTGACTTCATTTAACGTAGAAGAAGACTGCTTTACTTTAAATGGTAAATCAGCTAATTGTTTAACAACTTTTAAAATTAAAAAATATAATTCTGATGAATTAGCTTAGCAAAAACTTGAAGATTTTTAAAAAGTATCTCAGAAACTAAATTAACTCATTAACTGGGGGCTATAATTTACATATATTTTATAGAAATAGGCTATATAAGCTTATTTACCTCCACAGTAAATGCTACATCCTCCACCTCCACCGTATATGCTACCTCCATCATCTATATATCAATTACCATTATTACTATCGTATCTAAAATAAATTTCAAAATTTTCAGATTTTTTCGATGATTTTTAGAGTTGCCCTTTAAAGTAAGAAATTTTAATGATGAAGTACTTTGAGTTAGCTTAACATTTAATTAAATCTTACGATGAGCTATTGAAACTTAAGATAACCCCATATGATATTCAAGTTTCCAAAGATTTCAAATTGATAATAAGTGATAATTTATTTGAATTTTGTAATAAAACAAAAAATAATCAACATAAAAGCTATTATTGCAATTATTACAAGTAAATAATCATGAATCTTCTATAATTGTTATAAAAATTATTCATTAAAGATTATGAATGTTTAGCTTATAGTAATGTTTTTATAATAAAATATACTGAAAATGAGCCTTTTTAAATACTAAATTAAAGTATTACAGACTATTTCTATTCTTATTAAATTGATAATGAGAAAGAAAGAAAATAATTATTTGATCAACTTGAATCTCGTTTGAAACATCTAGAAATTGTAATTAATATGAATTAATAAGTAGAAGCGAATCTATTTGGTATTTCACCATTTAATTTTAACAATTTATCTTTTATAGTTGAAAATAAAGGAAATAAAAGTTTAAAAATTATTTCCAAACTGCTTTTAGATAATTCCAACTTTGATATTATACAATTATATTCTGGTTTCTTATTTATAGAAAATTTTTAAAAACTAAAAAAATAAATCAACGAATAAATTCAAGACGACTATTTAATAGAGAGTTTACAATCCTTTAATGACATATTATGCCTAAAATGTTTTGAAGACTTTAGTGCATAATAGAAAATAAGAATAAATAGTATAGTTTTAGAGCTTAGATAAATAAAAATTATTGGATTTAACTAAAACAGACTATTTTGTGAATGTGTTTTGCAAACTATAAAAAGTAGTCTCTCTTATTTATATTTACTTTCAAATTACGTTGAAATTTAAAGTATTTTAGGTGATGATAAAGATGAAAAATTTGTTTGTAACTGTAATATGCTTAATTAAGTTACAAAGCATGTCACATAAAATTAAAAAAATCTTAAGATTTTTAAATTCCAAGTTTACATGTGTAAAAATGTAGAATAGCAACTGTAAGAATCTGAAGATTATTTTGGATTAAGTGATAAACTAAATCTATTTTTACTAGAAATATCATACGTAAGTAAAAAAAACACAAATTTTAGAAAATTAATTTATGGATAATTAAAAAGAAATGCTAGAAATGTGAGTACTTTAAATTTATAGGATGATCTTAAAATTGATATTTTTAAATTGAATTTGTTTAAGAAATTAAAAAGAATAGTATGTATTAATATTATATGAAAAATACATAAATATTATTTTATATATATCCATAATAATACAGCTAAATACATTTTTATCATTCATTTTGTAATCATTCAAAATTAAAAATCTTTTTTAAATTAAATAAAAATCAGTGTTATTTCATCTTGCTGTTTACTTACTTTTAATAAATACATACTACATTTAAAATCAACTGAGCATTCTCACTCATTCAATCCTTGCAAAAAGTTGCAAAATTTTCAAATTATTTTACATTTTGAGATTGAAAATTATGAATAAAATTTTGTTACTAAAAAATATAATAAAGTAAATTACAGTAAATAAAATAATTTATGCAATATTTCAATTATTTTTAATTAATTTATTGAAAAAACCACCTTATATTTATCTCAACTCTTAAACATGGCCACATTCTACTATCCTTCCTTTTTCTAGAACTACTACTCTATCAAATAACTCAATGTTTTCTAATCTATGAGTGATTACTAATAATGTTTTTTTCTCTGCATACTTAAATATCTATTTATGTAGCTCTAAATCTGTTTCAGGATCCATATTAGAAGTTGCTTCATCCAAACAAATAATTTCAGTATCTCTCATTATAACTCTCAAAAAATTTATAACTTATTTTTCTCCATTAGATAAATTTTAGCCTCCATCTTCAATTTCAAAATCTAAATTCTCATCTTCAATTAATAAATCTTATTATTTTTCATCTTATTGAGATATTAAATGCTCATTTTCATTATTAAATTTATCTTTATTATCTTTTAATTAGCTTTCTTAGTTATAACGATTTTTCGTTATTCTTAGATTTGTCTCATTTACCTTTTTCTAGATTTCTTCTCTTGCTATTTTACGCTCAGGGTCAATATTGTCAATCAAAGAAGCATTATAAACAAAACCAAACTGAGGAATTATCGACATTTAAGTTCTGATTTATCTCAGAGATTAGCTTTGTATATCCTTTCCATTCAAATAAATTCTTCCTTATTTAATTGGATACATTCTAAATATTGCATTTAAAATAGAGGTTTTACCAGACCCAGTTCTACCACAGAATGCTATTTTTTCACCTTTTTTAATTTTAAGACAAATATTTTCAAGAGCATACTTTATTTAATTTTATTCTTTAGATTAATTAGCTTTTTCATCAATTTCATCGTATGTTAAATAAACATTTTCAAATGAAATGGCTATATTTTCCTAATTTAACTTGCTCAAATTAGGTAAATCAACATCTGATTCAAGATTTATTTGATTAGAATCTAGATCCTCTTATTAGTTGTTAAAATATTACTAAATGCGCTCAATAGATACTATGTTCATTTCAAAGTAATTCAAGAAACGTACAACCTCTGAAAATCTGGATGAAAAAATCATAGAATAAGTAATACACATAGCAATGGTAGTATACTCAAAGTCAAAATTGCCAAATATTAGCACAATAGTTGTAACAGAAACGCAAATAAAAATTAAATTGCTAATAAAAATCAACCTTAAAGAAAGCCAAATTTAAACTGCTTGGGTGATTAAGTCAGTGTTAACAAAGTCACTTAATTTACTCAGATATTCACTTACTATGTGTTTTTATTTCTTAAAGCTCCTTATTATAACCAACCCCTTGGATGATTCGTCTAAAATAGTGAGGACTCTACCAGAATTTACTGAATTTAATCTTTTAACTTCTCTACTTAAAAGTCTGAAGTCTTTCTAAACAAAAGAAATCAAAATAAATTAAATCAGAATGAACATCGCTAACCAAGGAAATTCAGCTAAAATGGCTAAGGTATATCTATTAATTTTTTAATTGAAAAATAAAATTATTAATAAAATATTAAAGCATTTTATAAATTTCTTAATTATTAATTTTTTGAATAATAATCTTCTTTTTACAATATTTTTATTCTAATAAAAATTTGGGAAAAATAGTAAATTAGAAAATATTTATATTAATAAATAAAAAAGCTTTTTTTAAATAAAAAATTCATTTTATTTTTAAAATTTTGTTAACAAAAATAAATTTGGATTAATTTATCGAATTAAATATTTAATAAAGAAACGAAAATTGTTTAAATAAAATTACAAGAAGGCTGGAGCTGCTTAACCAAGAAGTAAATCTAAACTCCAAGGTAAATAATTATCAACAGTCTAAACATCATCAGAAAGTCTGTTAACAATACCTCCAATAGGGTTTTTATCAAAGAAGCTCATGCGACTAAATATGATGCTTTAGTTAAGCTATTTGAAAATTGTAGTACTACTAATCAAATAAGTTTTATATATTAGTATTCCTCTAACTATACTTATTACTGTTTGTAAAACAATAAGGAATATGAAACTAAGAGTAAAAGTCTAAAAGATCTCATTAAACTAAACAAAAAACCATTATTATGAGGGAGATATATAGTCTTTTAGCCAATAATCTATCAGCATTTATGAAGCAGGAGCAAGCAAATTACAAATTAGTAATGAAACTAATAGAACTATGCCTATAGACATAAAGTAAACCTTAAAAGTAGATAATTTTATATTACCTTTTTCTCTTTCCTCTTCACCATCTTCTTCTTCTAGTTCTCCTTCCTCTTCTTTCTCGCTTTTATCAGAATTTTCTTCTTTCTACTCTTCTTGTATTTGCTAGTTATTTAAATTCTCTTCTGAATAAACATTTTCTGTTTCATTCAACTTTTAAATTAATTAAATTACTATTTAAAATAAAAGAGATGATAAAGAACTTACGTATTAATTTATGGTCTTTAATTCTTTTTAAATTTTCATTTTTTCTGGTATTTATTCGTCGTAAATATTTGCTTACAAAGTTTTCTTTGATTCAATAAAAGAATTATGCTGTTTTTGTTTTTAATTATGATTATGAGATTTTTCATCACTTTGTTCTTATGTGATTCCATTCTATATGAATTACTCGATCTCATTATAATCACTAATGAGCTAGCCTTCTCTTAGGTAGTAGATTTTGCTAATATTTTATCTTTGAGAGAAAATGCTAAAATGACTGGTAACAAGTATCACAGTTTTTTATAACTTTTTGATAAGCATGCCAAGAATAACAGATTGATATATATGATCTGCAACATGAGCATCTAGACTACTGAAAATATCATCAAATAAATAAATATCGCAATTTTAATAAATTGCTCTACAAATAGCTACTCTTTGCCTTTATCCTCCACTTAAATTACCTCCTCCAGATCCAACCAGCTTATCATCTTTCTTTGAAAATTAACTGAAATCTACTTATAAATCACATGATTCAATGCACTATTAATACCACGAAGCATCAAACTCTCTTCCAAACAAGATATTTTCTTTAATCGATTTATTTTAGAGCCAATGATTTTGAGAAACATATCCAACTTTCCCATTTACTAAAATTTTGTTTTCAAAATGACTAAATTAGTTTTGTTATTACATAGAGTTTTATTCGAATTGACTTTAGCCAAACTTTCCTTCTAATTCATTTAAGATCGCCTGCAATAAAGCAGATTTTCCTGAACCTAATTTATGAAAAAATAATCTTTAAATGCAAACTTTTAAAATATTTTGATTAAAGATCAAAATTAAATTATGTATAAAATAGAATTCATTTTAATAATAAAAAATTTAAAATATTTTAAATTAAAATTTTACCGATTTTGCCAATGATTATTGCTAAATCTCCTTTTTAGATAGTAAAATCTTAGATTTTTAATTAGAATGCATTTTTATTCTCATTACTATTTATTTCAGATTAAGACTATATTTCAATCAAATTAGTATTCTCGCTATTCATTTTAGCAATTTAATTCTGTTAAATTTCCTATTAATTACATTATTTCCTTTGTGGCCAAGAAAAATATGCATTTTTAATTTGTAAAGCTAGCGAATCCAATTAAGATTAATTTTATTCAAAATTTGCGTTGATTTAATAGGAATTTTTTCTTTTACTTCCAGCTGTGTTCAACTCTTCTAAATTGACAACTAAAATTAATAAATTTTATAAATAAATCTTCTATTTTAGATCAAAAATATGTTACCATTATCAAAATCAATTTCTTATTGGTTAAGGAAATTTATAATTCTTTTGTATTGCACATAAATTTCCGTCAATGATGAAACGTTCCAAGGTAGGAATATCAAAGGAAGGTAAATTACATTATAGAGAGCAATCAGTGTGAAAATGTTAGAGTCTACAAGTTGATTTCCATCATTTACAAAACTCACTAGTAATGTAAAAATCATAAAGTAGCTCAACATATTAAAAACAGTGTTTTAAAATATATCAAAAACCTTTACCAATTTTGTGAATTTAACTTCGTTACCACGAATTTTTTCAATCTTCTATTTGAATATGTTTTCCCAACCCAAGTATTTAATGTTTTTTATTCCTTCAATTATGTCTTTGCTTAATGAAACTCTAGAATCCTTTGCAGAATTAACCTTTATATCAAATATCTAATAATTTTTTATAAATAAATATATAAATATTTAAAAATAATAAAATTTCCTATTTGTAATTAAACAAGATTAAATGTTAGAAAAATAATATTTATATAATGTATCGTTTAATGAGTGATTATAATTACGAATAGGAAATGAACTGAAGCAACACAAAGCATGAGAAAAACGAGAAGCACATATAAACCATTAATTAAATGACTGCCAATTTTAAGATAGATCATAATCAGAACTATAATTACTGTGATAATATTTACAATTAATCCAATGATTTCTCTATAGGCTTCTTATACTCCCTCAATATCTGTAGTCATGACATTGTTAATATCAGGAATTTCATCTGAGTTTTCGCTTTTATTTTCATCTAAATCGATACTTGTTCCTTCGGAGGTGTTTTTAATTCTTAGAGATTTATTGAACACTATATATTGTAAAGTTGTTAATGACTTTGCCTTCCATTCTGCTTCATACCAGAAATAGCGAGTGTAACAAATATTTTTGGCTAAATAAAAGAGTGTAATTGCGATTAATAGTAGGAATAGATCTTTTTTATCTTCATAATTACCTGAGTATGTCTTTAATGTTTCGGTAATTAAATCTAAAAAGTAAGTGCAGCAGCATTCCAGTATACTTTGTAAAGTAAAGAAAAATAATCCAAGCAAAAATTACTTGCGAGTTATATAAAAATGAATGCGAAATAAATTTAATTTATTTGGATTGCTAAATTGTTAAGGATTTAATCTTTTGTATTGCTCAATTTTTTCTATAGTCTTTACCATTTGACAGGAATCAGACACAAAGCTTTTAATGTCATTATTCTATATTTATTTCCCTTGGTTTTATAGGTTCTTAACAAGGGTAAATAAACCATTAAGATTTGTAAAAAAAATGTTATTTCTTTTTTTTTAAGCATCCAAGATAAATGAATTTCCGTTAATAAGCTCTTTTTTTTACTAAAAATTTATTTGATTAGTAGAAGAATCAAAATTTTGTGCTAGCTAGATTTCTTTGTTTAAAGAAATTAACTTTTCAGGAACTTCTTTTTTTAAATCTAGCATATCTATCTATCTTATCTTCTCTATAAAGATTTTTAATTTTATTATTTTATTATTAATTTTTGTAAATGAGGATATAAATAGAATCTTGTTAGATAGATTTGGATGTTAATAAATAGCTCATTAAAAATAAATACTAAATTTTTATCTTTTAATATTTTTGTAAGTTTTAAAGTGTCGATGTAAAATAAGAATTTTTATTAAGAATTCAAAAGAAAAATATAAATTTACTTACTTACTAGTATATGAGGTTTTTTTTACAATATAAAATAGAAATAATATCAAAAGTTTCAAATATTTAATATGCTATTAGATCACCTCTTTGTCAAAGTTGAATATCTTGATTATTTAATCTTTAAAAATTAATATTTTTAATAAAATATTTTACCAAATAAAAATACAATTTTATAACATAAGATTTATATATTTAATTCCATAATACTTCATTCCCTTATCCCTCGTTTTTGGTATGCGTGCAAACAAACGAGAGAGAAATTTTTTAAAAATATTTAAAAACTCACTGATCCGTTCACACACCTATTATGAGGTATTAGGGTATCAAAAATGTGTAAACAAAAAATAATCAAATAGAAAAAAATATAAATTAATTATTGCTTTTTAGAAGTGTCTTGTTAAATTCTTCTAGAAGCTTAAAATATCCTTTAATAAATTAAGTAATTAATAATTTTTGATGGAATTATTACGAAATTAAATCTGATTAATTTTGAGAACTTGTTACTAAAATTAATACATTGCTTATCATATTCATTTTTTTGTAAAATTAAGTAAAATGTAAGTAGCAAATCAGCTAATTAAAAATTATTACATTTATTATTATATTTGCATTGTTTACTTATTAAAAACTAAACAAAAATAATAATCAAATAGGAAAAAGATATAATTTAAATTATTACTTTTTAAAAGTGTCTTATTGAAATCTTCTAGAGTTTTTACTTATTTTCTGATGGAATTAAACTTAATTTATTTTATTCATTTGGAGAACATGTTACTAAAATTAATATATTGAATATCCTATTCATTTTTTTATAAAATTAAATAATATTTCAATAGCAAACAAGATAAAATAGCAAATTAATTATTGATTGATTGATTATTTATTATTTTTACAATTTACTTACATTTTTTATGTTTTTCTTTTTTACACATAAATAATTTAGCTCAATGTAAAAATGTAAATATTTAAGAAGTGTCATTAATTAAATGGCCAATATTTAATTGAGTACGTAGAAAATATATTGCTAAAAGTAAAAGGTTATTTTTAATTACTTACTGTAATTCTTATTGATTTAAATTTATTTGGTTTAAAGTAGTGTTACTTAATTTATTTGAATCAAATAACTATTAATAATTTAGAAAAATATCTTACAACTAGATTCATAATTGAAAAAATACAGTGATTAACATATTTAAATTAGTTTATTTTGTGAGTTTTATAATTAAGACATTTTTTATAATTTTAATATATAAATTAATTTATAATAGACTTTTATTTATAAGGATTAATTAATATAATAAATAAATTAATTAGTTATTGTTTATATAAATAAATATGTTTTATTTTTCAGTTTCTATTAATGTCATATCCTCTAATTTATAAGTGTTAGGGAGCATTTTCATCAATTTCAATAAAAGATCTATATTTAGATTTAGATTAATATTATAAAGGTATATTGAATTGCCCATCTATTTCATAGCTTCCATTTTCTTCTTTGAAAGTTTCACCATCAAAAACCACGGAGCTATTTTTACTTATAGTTATTTTGTTGTTTTTAATGTTTTGTTTTATTTCTGCTAATGTAACTCCAAGAGAAGGTTTAAGAATAATTTGAGGAGATAGATTAAGCTTAATACCTTAAAATTCATATTCTGGGACATTTGAACTTTCAACTTCTACTCCAACTAATTTGAGAATTACTCTGTTCATAGAATAGAGATCTTATTCACATGTTGACGCAGATTCAGGACCAAGATTTTGTTGATATTTTTAGCTTGCAGTTTTAATGTCATTTTTAACTGTACTGAAACAAAAAGCTCTACTAACTTAAGTTATTCCAACTCTGCTATCATTTTCAAGTAGTTTTGGATATTCTTCATACATACATTCTAAACGACAAGAACTTTTAAATTTGGTTTTAGTAGAATCTGTATATTTAGGGTTAACAAATTCTTTTATTAAGCCTTATGTTTTTTAAAGAGTTGAATTGTATTCTTCAATGCTAAAAACAATGCAATTAACATTTCCAGGAAATATAGAATATCCATACTTATCAACAGGCTCCTTAGGAACAAGAGAACCAATTTAGTTATATTCAACATTAATGGTGAGTTTTTGATCGCCTTTAGTCAATTTACAAATAGCGCCAATAGCCTCACCAGGTTTACGAGGGATAGTTAATGAATTTACTTCTAGGTTTTTTGTCTTAGAAACAGCCAAAGCTGATGGTAGAGCGCGAAATACAAGAGGATTAGTATCTTAGAATACAACAATCCACTTTTTACCTTATCTCATCCATCTTTAAGGAAGTTAACGCTGAAAAAGTAAAGTATGAACATCTCCATTTCCATGAGGCTTAGTCTCAATAAGTAAAGAACCAGGCATTTAAGCTAAGCGTGCTTCATTATCTATCATAGCAGGAACTTTTTCTTACTTCAAGATTATAATCTAATCCTTAGGAAAATCATAATAATTATTATCTTCAAGAAGTTTCATTGTTAAATTATAGGTATCATCAGAAGTCATAATGGCTAATTCTGCTTTTTCATTGAAAGCTTTGATGAAATCTAAATAATAATTCAAGAACGTCTAGCCTGTAGTTAACTCAAACTCGATTCCAATTTTAATTCCATTGTATTAAAGTCTTTCACCCAAACCTCCTGCAACTAATATAAAGCATTATAAAATTAAATTAACAAAATATTTTAACATGAAATTTCAAATAAATTTTTTAATTAAAGTTATCCTTTTATTTATTATTTAAATATGGCAATTTGTATTTGGAAATCAATCATTAAGTATTTTAATAAAAATAATCTATGTTTGATAAGAAAATTTTTTTAGAGATTCTGTTCGAAAAATATGTAAGATACTAATTAAATATACTAGAAAAGTATACTTTAAATTAATCATTTGATTAAATTTTTTGTACAAATTTAATTAATTTTTAGAATCGTAAAGATATTTTAAATGATAGTTTTTGAATGTTACAATTTTATTTTATCTTTTTCTTATCAAATATAATAACTGATAATTTAATCATTAAAAATTAGCAAGTTTAAAATGGTTTTAAAAATGATATTTAAACTTTAATTCTTTAAAATGATATTGATCTATTTAATAATTTGTTTAAATATTTAATTAATTCATTTACCTAAGACAAAAGCAGTTTAATTTAACTCTTCACGTCCAATAGACTCTAAATATTCTACTTCTTCATATGATGAGAAGTTTATTTTTTCACCGATTGGCACAGAAGGAGTGAAACGTTCATAAGGATTGATATTTTCAGTTGAATTTTTTAGAAAAACTCTAGCACTCTTTGTGTATTATTCAAGTCCTCCAGGATAGGATTTATTTAACCTATTAACCTATAATTAAATAAAGGGAATATAATTTTTAAGTTTTTTTTAGTGGATTATTAAAATATTAAATAATTATTTTATGAATTATTTTTTTTAAAAAACTTAAAATTCCTATTTAAAAAAATAAAATAATTTAAATACCTATTATAAAAATTCATTCTATTCTTCCTCAGTGAAATTGTAAATATTTTCAACTAAATGCCCTTGTCCTATTCTATTTAAGAATTAGATTAAGTCTGTGATATTATTGATGGTGTGCATATATTTATTTTTTTTAGTGTAAAAATAATTATTATTTATTTTATTATTTTTCTATTTAGAGACTATATGGATTCTAAAAAAGCTTTTATTTTTGTATTAAATTATTATTTATTTATATGATTAAAACTGCCTAGATTTAAAACCCAAAAAACTTTTATTATGTAGCCTGCTATTCCATCAAATAATAATTCTTTGATAAAAATAAGGAAGATTTTATGATGTAATGAAATGATAATTTTATTAATATAAATAATTTAATTAGTTTTATCAAAGCTAGTTTTTTAAATAAAAGTCTTTGTAAAATAGCTTAGATTAATAATACTTAGATATTTTTACTAAATGCCTATATTATACTGATAATTCTTTCATATACTTTTAAATTAATTTGTCTTGATTTAATTAATATCAACTCATTTTCATTTCAGAATTTATCAAAAATTAATCGTATTATTTTTGAAACTTTTGGCACTTACATAACAAAATCTCTAAAATATTTTAATTCTACTTTGAAACTAGAATAGTAGCAATCACGAATTCTTAATAATAATCAATGTACATAGTATTTGAGCAAACTTAAGTGAATTATGGAACTAAAATTTTTTAATGCATAGAAATAATTAAATAATATGACGTAGATATCAATATGAAATAGTAAAAGTAATTAATTAGTTTTGAAAATTAAATATCTACTTTTAAAGTAGTAAAAATGTATATAGAATAGTTTTAAAAATATTCAGAAACAAAAAAAAATTTTTTTTATGTTTAAAAATTATTTCAATAAATTTAATCATAATGGCTGAAAGATGAGTTAACTTTTTGAATATTTTTGAATTTTCTAAATAGTTAAAAATAAATACTATTTAGAAGAATAATAAAAGAGTTTCTTTGTAAGTTGTTTGTTTTAATTAATTGATTATAAAAGTTGCTCCTATTATTCTGATAATTCTTTCATATTTATTTTTAAATTAATAATTCAGATTAATACGTTAAAGATATCATCTTTTATCAAATATATGCTTTACTATTTTATAATAATCATTACATTATCTATTAGTCAAAAGCAAAAATTTATCTAATAATAAATGAATGAATAGATTCTTAAAATTTATTATCTATTTCCAAAGATTTTTATTTCTTACTAAACTAAAAACCTTATAAAATAATTGCCAAGTATCATTATTTACCACATTTTACTATTAGTAAAGAAACACAAACAGTCTCTTGCTATTAAAATAACTATACAACTAAAAAGAAAATTCTTTAATTTAAAAAAAATTTAACAGACATTTAAATTAGATTGAATTTTAATTAATAGAAACATAATATTTGTAATAGATACTAATATATCTAAGGATTATTTATTTCGCCAAAAAATATCTATTTTATGATTAAATTTACTCATTGTTAATAATTTAAAAACAAAAAGAAAGCATCAATTTGTTATAAAGAAAAATGAATGGTTATTTTTTCATATCTAAAGCAATTTATTTATTTTAAAATACTATCAATCCTCATTAATTAACACCCGAACATATTAACACCCAAGAAAACAATTTTTTAGATTATAAGGAATAAATTTTATCTTTTAAATCTTGAAAAAGTTTCTGATTTTTGAGCTTTTACTGTATGTATATTTTTTTAATTATTTCATTAACAAATGATTTACTTTTATTGTATTTTGTTAATATAAAACAATCATGAACAATTGGAAATATACAAAATACAAATTAATTAGATTATATATTTTATTGATAATTTGGATTTTATTTATTTATAATATTATTATAATTGCTCATTTATCTATTTTCAGTTAGGATGGTTTTTTAAAAGTCTATTAAAGAAACCACCTTCAATCTTTCTTAGCTCATTTACATGACCACATTCAACTATTTTACCTTTTTCAAGGACAGCTACTCTATCAAATAACTCAATATTTTCTAATCTGTGTGTTATAACTATTAAAGTTCTATTTTCTACAAATTTAAATATTTGTTTATGCAATTCAGCATCTGTTTTAGGATCCATATTAGATGTGGCTTCATCTAAACATACTATATCTGTTTCTCTCAAGATTATTCTTAGGAAATTTACTACTTACTTTTCTCCGTTGGATAGATTCTATCCGCCATCTTCTATTTCAAAATCTAAATTCTCTTCATTTTTTTTCTCTTCTTATTAAGGAACATTAATATCTACCTTATGATTAATGCCTTATTCACTATTTAATTTATTTTGTGTTTTATTTTTATCTTCTTCTTAATTATTTCCATCACGAATTCTTAGATTTGTTTCATTTATCTTTTATTGCATTTGCTCACGAGGTATTTTACCTTCAGGATCTAAATTGTCTTTTAAACTTGCATTATAAAGGAAACCAAACTAAGGAATAATAGACATCTTAGATCTAAGATCTCTAAGACAATAAGACTTTATATTTTTTCCATTAACATAAATATTTCCATGCTATATTGGATACATGTTAAATAATGTATTAAGGATAGATGTTTTTCCTGAACCAGTTCTTCCGCAGAAAGCTATTTTTTCTCCTTTTTTAATTTTAAGACAAATATCCTTCAATGCAAATTAAACATCTGTAGATTCTTTAGAAATATCTGTGCTTTCTTTAATTTCGTCATAAGTAATATAAACGTTCTCAAATTCTATTGCAATGTCTTTATCTCTTTTCTTGTGAGATTCCTCATCTTATTCGATACTTTCTTCTGGTAGTTCTATTTGATCAGGGACTTCTTAGTCATTTACAAAGTATTGTCTTAGACGTTCTACAGACACCATGTTTTATTCAACATTGCAGAAGAATTAAATAAGATCAGTGAATTAAGAAGAAAGTAACATAGAGTATGTTAAACACATTGAAATAGTGATATAATCAAAATCTAAATTAAATCCTACTAATATCATACTAGTAACAGCAACGCAAATAAATAAGAAGTTACTGACAAAAAGCAATCTGATAGACATCCAAATTTAAATAGCTTCAGTGATAAGGAAGGTATTTACACTATCATTAGATCTTTCCATATATTCTTTTAAAATGAATCTCTCTCTATCAAATGATCTGATCAAGATCAATCCTTTGCATGCTTCTCCTAATGTGGTTAATAATTTTCCAGAATTTACTGAATTTAATCTCTTAATTTCTCTATTAGAAACTCTAAAAAGTTTCTAAATAAAGTAGACAAAAATAATTGAAATAATGACAAAAACTACTAGCCAAGGTAATTATATCAGTATACCAACAGGATAACTTTTAACAAAAAAAAAATTAAAAAATGAATAAAGATAATAATAAAATACCCAATAGTATATACTATATATTCTAAAAGAAGTTAACAGTTCCAGGGTAAATAGTCATCAATACTAAGTATATCATCTGAAAGTCTGTTGACAATTCTACCAGCAGGATTCTTATCAAAGAAGGACATTTTACTAAAAATAATACTTTTATTCAACTTTTAAAATATTTGCTTTCCACTACGTAGAGCGCAAAGACCGTAAAAAACAGATTTAATGGCAGTCATTCCTAAATTCAAAAGAATAAAAAATAGAAAAGTGTTTGTAAAAGAGTCAAAAAGCTCATTTATGCGCTCAAAGAAAGAGCTTGAAGTTGAAACTTTATCTCTCAGCCAGAAGTCCATAATCATAGAAGAAGCTTGCATCAAGAAGTTTGAAATAATAAAGATAATAAGTAAGAAATAACTCATTGCTTTAATGTAAGTAGTGAATGTCTCTAATTTAATGCTTCCTTTTTCTCTTTCTTCTTCTTCTTATTTCTTTGCTTCTTCTTCTTCATCAACAATTTTCTATTTTAAATAAATAATCAAATTTTAAATAATGTAATATTTTAAACTTCAAATATGAGTTTTTAGGAGATTAAATAATCAGGAATGCAATTGAAAAATATTTTTTTTAATTTTATGAAATTTTGAGGTGAAAATACTTTAAGAAAGAATACAGTATTATTTAAATTTAATTAATTACTTAATTCTTGCTGCTCTATTTTTTTCTGATTACAACTTCATCTTCAATTTAGCTTGATCTTGATTTTTAAAGGGACTTTTTTTAAATTGCTAATTGCTAAATTTCTTGATCTTCAAGTTCATTTAATTCTTCGATTTGATCATATTCTTAATCTTCTTCTTCTTTATCAAGCTAATCATCTGAAGTTACATGAATTTCAAGTTTTTATTTTTACTTTTTAGCTTCTTCTTCCTCTTGTTCTTTGCTTAAACCACTTTTAATAAAATCTTCTATTTCCTATTATTCATACACTATAGAACCTTTTTAGAGATAGAAAATCTTATTGATATATTCTCTCTTAGAAAATATGCTGAAGTGACTTGTAACTAATAGAACGGTTTTTTTATATTTCTTTACAAGAACATCAACAATAACTTATTGGTAAACTTTCTCTGCAACATGAGCATCCAAGCTGCTAAAAATATCATCAAATAAATATATGTCGCAATTTTGATAAAGAGCTCTACAGATAGCTATTCTTTATCTCTACCCACCGCTTAAGTTACCTCCGCCAGGTCCTATTACTTTTTCATCTTTTTTTGAGAAGGTACTAAAATCTACTTTTAGATCACAAGACTCAATACATTCATTATACCAAAAAGGATCATATTCCTTACCAAACAATATATTTTCTTTGATTGTCTTATTTTGCAACCAGTGATTCTATGAGACATATCCAGTTTTTCCATTCACAATAATCTTTTTTTCATAATTTGTTAACTTTTCTTGAAGCACTGAGCTTTCTATTTTAGATGCAATTAACGATTCTTATAGATCCATGGATGTCATTTCTAATTCATTAAGAATAGCTTATAATAGTGCAGATTTTCCAGAGCCTTTATTTTACAAATATAATAATAAATATATTTTTAAAATAAATATTTGATAGAAATTCTACCTATCTTTCCTATGATGATTGCTAGGTCTCCTTTTTATACAGTCAAATCTAAGACTTTTAACTAGAATTTATTATTTTCTTTGATTTCTGAGCTATTTTCGAACTAATTACCTAATAAAGATTCTTGAGCAGTGTCTCCTTTTTTATTTTAGGACTTTTATTGCTTTTTCTTTTCTTTCTCTTCCATCTTGATTTACTTACTACTTTTTTTAGTTGGCCAATCAAACTTCATTTTTCTAATACATATCGCTACATTATTTACGCTATTCTATGATTAGTTATCCTAAAAGCTTTCTATTAAACTGTTTGGATCAGTAGAGTTATTAGTTGTTTTTTGCTTAAATTCGAGATCCAAATTGATAACTTTATTTTAATTAAATAAAAACCAGTTAAATTTATTAAATTATTTATCAAATAATGATTTATTTATTACCATTGTTGTGATTGATCTCTTTTTCATTCAAAAACTTTTTGATTCTCCTGTATGAAACTCTTGCTTTGACTAAATAACCAAATGACCACGGAAGTAAACCAATTGGTCCTGTTAACAAACCAAACAAAGCAATAATTGTAAAGACATTTGAGTCTTTTAAATCGTGCCCATCATTAACATAGCTGACTAAAAAGAAGAATAGCAAAAAATAGCTTACGCAATTCCAGAAAATGCTTAAAACTCCATCTAAAATTCTAGTAATAATAATATAACGGAACTCTTTTGAACGAATTTTTTCTATTTTTTACTTAAATATTTCTTCCCAACCTAAATACTTAATGCTCTTCATTCCATCAATGACATCTTTGCTTAAAGAAACTCTTGCATCTTTTTACTTGTACAACTTAGTGTAGAAGAACTAATAAAATAAATTATTTTAAAATGACTTCTCAGCTAAAATAAAATAAGTGAATCAATTTACACGCATCAATTAAGTGACTATGATGTTGAAACAGAAAGAAGCTAGTAAAATATAGAGCCCATTATAAATAGATGATCCAATCCTGTAGTAAATCAGATATAATACTACTGCTATAGTGACTATGCTCTAAACAGTCTAAACAAAAGCCCAAAATATATACTGCTGTTGATCAACATCAACTGTCATAATATTATTTGCATCAGGGTTTTCATCACTTCCATCTCCAGACCCTTTGCCATCCTCGTTACTTGAACTTGCAGACATTACTTAAGTTCTTAAAGACTTGCTAAAAACTAAATATTGTAGAGTTGCATAGGTATTAGCTTAGAATTTTGCTTAATACCACGCATACCTTGAGTAAAAAACATTCTTAATAATGTATCCTATTGAGATGGCTAACAGGAGAAGACAAACATCTCTTTTCTGACTACTTTCTCCATTATAGTCCTTGAGCATGTCAGTAATCTTGTCCATAATAAAAACGCATCCACAACTTAAAAGAGATTATGCTATTGAATAAAAGAGACCTATCATAAGATTCTTACCAGTCATGTTGAAGTAAATAGATCTTAAATTGAAGTTTGTTGGTCCAAAATCATTAGGGTTGCGGCTTTTGAAATCCTCCAGCTTTTCTATCAAAAGCTTAACTTAAGTTGACTTTGTTATGTAGTCTTTGATGTCTTCATTCTATATCTATTTTTCTTACTTTTATAGCTCTATTGTACGCTTAAATAGCTTTGTAAGACCAGTAAAGAGAATATTGTGTTCTCTTGCTTTGATCTCAGTGTTTGGAAGAACCTCTTTGCAAAATATGTCTCTCTGCTTTTTAGTTGGCTCAAGAGAAATGATCTTGTTCTTAGCCTCTTCTACTTTAGCTTTATCTATCTCTTGCTAATTTGATTGACTAGTTTAATTATTAAAACTATCTTCTGCTATTGCTACTTTTTTCTATGAACTCATTCTCCCCAAATTTTAATTTTAATTGAGTTTATGTTTTCAATTTAATTTGAAAAAAATAGATTATTTAAAAAGGAGACATACAAATAAATTATTTAAACCTATTATGAACTGATTTCAATAATGGCCTACTTATTCTAAAAATTTATTTCTAATAAATAATTTATATTATGTATTATAGACTCAATCATCATTATTTTGCAAAAGCTTAACTATCTTGAAGTATTATCAAAATTCTATGATTGTTTTTGAAAGAATTTATGTTTACATAATGGCAAACAAAGTAGAACATTTCATTTATTTAAAATCAGATTACACCAGATTATTCAATTTTACATTTATTTGTTCATTTAAAAATAATTCAATATAACAATTTTCTGTAAAATCTAAATCAAAGCGCTAATTCTGATTATATTTAATAATTATTGTAAAAGAATTTAATCCATTAACTTATTTATATGTTTTTGATTTTTGATATTCTTCAACTAATGAATAAAGAATCTGGGAAAATTTTATTTCTACTTGACCTAAAGTGGATTTAAACGTTAGTAAATAGCTGAATACATAATCAATTTTAATGAAAATAGTCTTTTTGAAGAAAATTAAGTAGGGATCATGAGTATTTATATTTTTTTACATACATTCCTTTATATTTAAAGAGCAATTTATTTACATTTTGCCAGAAAAAAGTTTACAATTCAAAAAAATTTCTAGAAATTAGCTATAATTATTTCTGGAATTATTCTTAAAGTAAATATTAATTAATACTAAATATTCTTTCAAAAACGAAAACTAATTTTTTGTTATATTCAATTTATTAATTTGACTTTTATGTTTGTTTGATCTTATCTACTTGCCATTAATAAATTTTCTTGAACATTTTAAATTTATATTGAATAATTTAAAAAAAGAGGTATCAATTTTTAGAAAGGCCTTTATTTTTTAATAATTTTTTCTAGGATAAAAATATATAAAAGATTTTTATTTTTAATATTATTAATTTTAAATCATTATAGATTATCTAAATAAAGAAGACAGTGTCAAATTTGAGAGATTAATGTAATTTGCTAAAGCAAAACCTAAGCCTGATGAACCTTCATCACTAATGTAATTTCTACTTTTTAAATTTTGAAGAAAAAATATATCATTAAATTGTTAATTAGAAGGAAAAAATGAAGAAAAAATATGAAATAATAAGATTTATCAATTAAAAATAAAATGATGAGTTAAATTAACAAAGAAACAACAACAAAAAAAGCAAGCACAATAAAAAGATAAAGAAAAAAAAAACTTTATTGTTTTTAATTTGTTTTGATTATTTAAAATATCAAATTACAAAATAAATCAACTGTTTTTACCAAAGGCCCAGTGTATAATTTGAGAGATTAATGCATTTTGCTAAAGCAGAGCCTAAGCCTGATGCACCTTCATCACCAATTTAAAGAAGGGTTATAAAAACCCCTTTTTTCTAAATTTAGGAGAATGGGGGTCTTTTTTATAGAGAGTTTACAGTAATTAATTAATAGTAAAAGCAAAAGTTGAAAATAAAATAATAAGTTAAATTAACAAAGAAACAACAACAAAAAGCAAGCACAATAAAAAGACAAAGAAAAAAGAGCTTTATTGTTTATAATTAGTTTTTATATTTAAAAATATCACAATAAAAAACAAATAAACTGTTTTTACTTAAGGTCAAGTGTCAAATTTGAGAGATTAATGCAACTTGCTAAAGCAAAACCTAAGCCTGATGCACCTATTATACCAATTTAATTGTCACTTTTAAATATTGAAGAAAAAATATATCGTTAAATTGTTAATTAGAAGGAAAAATGAAGAAAAATATGAAATATTTAAAAAGATTTCTATAAATTTGAGAAGTATTAGGGTGAAATTGTTATAATAAAATTTCAATCATTTTTTATGAATTTTATTATTAAAGACTAATAGTATTTATTTTAAATATTTAGTTATAATATTTTAAATTAATTGTAAATCCTTTTCATTTATTTATTTATTTTAAATAATTTTTTCTTTAAAAAGTTATTTTGCTAATCTTTTAATTTATTTTACTTAATAAGTTTTTCAAATTATATTTGATATTAAAAATAAGATTTCGTTCAAAAAAATATGTCATAAAAAGTGGTTTGTTATGATTAACTTGATGATGTAAAAATTATTTTGGCAAGATTTGACATCTAAATATCTTTTTTCTTAAATTAAGATTTTATCTTAAAGCTAATTGAATCATGTTAATTTAAAAATAGATGTTAGGTAAATTGCAATATATAAAATTAATATGATTGTGAGATCAAAAAATAAACAAATATACTAATTACTAATAATGATTTATCAATGATTTAAATTATCAAATAAATTTTTTTAAACTTTTTGATTTTTATTAACTTTAATTCCTTTTAATTAATTTTTCAATAAAAAATAAAAAATGAACAATTTTTTATTAAAAATAACTAGTAACAATGCTATTGGTGATGAAGGAACTGAAAAGTTGAGTTTTGTTTTAAAAAATTCTACCAACCTTGAAACTTTGAGCTTGAATCTAGGGTTGATTAAATTATTTTATAAAAATTACTTTTTTAAAACAAAATACTAATAGTATTTGCTTTTCTTTCATTTAAAATTAATTTTAAATAAAATAGAGTAAATAATATTGGAAATGATGGTCTAAAATTTTTAAGTAATGCTATTGAAAACTGTATTAATCTTAAATCCTTAAACCTCTAACTTTAGTATAAAATTTCATACATAATTTTATTTTCTCATTTAAAATAAATGAAAAACAATAATTAAAATATTTTTTTTCTAAAATTAAATTTTAAAATATTAATAATTTTTTAAATATTAATTTTAATAGCTCTAATTTAATCAGTGCCTAAGGAATTCTAAATTTAGCTAATGCTTTAGATAGGTGCAAAGATCTTTCAATTTTGAATTTAAATTTAGAGTAATTAATTTAAAAATATATTTTGCTATTAAATTGATAGCATTTTAAAACAAATTCTAATTTAAAAAAAAAAAATTATTTTATATTTTTTAAGTAAAAATTAGATAGGAGATAACGGTCTTCTATATTTAGCTTCTACTATTCAAAATCGTTTCGAACTTGCTAGTCTTACTATCTAAGTTTTGTAAACTTACATAATTAAAGAAAAATATTAAATTAGGCTTTAAATTATAAAATTTGCTAAAAACCTTAAATTAATTTTTAATAAAAAATAAGAATTCATTTGTATTTAATATCATTATTTTTTATTCATATTAAATTTTATTTAAAACAGAAAAAACTCAATTACAGAAAAAGGATCATAAGGATTTTTTACAGCAATCAGCACCTGTTTAAATCTTAAAAATTTAGAAATAAATTTTAAGTAAAAAATTAACTTTATTATTATAATTTTATTAATATAAACTGTTGAAAAAATTTCATATTAATTATGAATTTTTTAATTATTTATTCTAATAAGCAAACAAAATAAATCCCTCTAAAAATATACCAAATCTATATTTTATAACAAGAAATCGACTTTAACAAGTCTTTTTAATAATATCAACAGAAAATTTTTCAACTAATACTTTGAAAATATGAGTTTCGAAATAAAATTAAAAGAATTTTGATATAATTTTAATGATCAATAAATTAAAAGCTTTTATTGCAACTAAAAGAACAAATTAGAAAAAATAAATTTATATATTTATTATGAATTAATCTTTCAATAAAAAAAAATATTTTATTTTATTTTGTAAAATAGCAAAAATTAAATAGAAGCTATAGGAGCATACAACTTAGGAATTGGCTTATCTAAATGCCTAAACCTTATAAATTTGAATATAAAACTTTAGTAATTCATTAATTTTATTTTTTTAAATTTAATAAGTAATTTAACAGCAGATTGAGGTAATGGGAAATCAATCATCTTTAATAATCTCATATAAATATTTGATAATTCATAATATTTTTTAACCAAATAAGAATTCTCTTGATTAAAAAATTGATTTTAAGCTTTGGAATATTATTTTAAGATATGGCCAAATTATACAATAGATCCTAAATTTTAAAGATTTTATTAGAAATAATATTATAAAAATAGCATTGAACATTTATCAAAACTAATTTAATTGTTTTAAATTTAAAACGACTTTAAAATAATAATATTAATAATAATTATTTAATTAATAAATTTACCTAAGTTCTAACAATATCGGAGTGAAAGGAGCTTCAGATCTAGGATCTGGTCTGTCTTAGTGTATCAATCTGAGAGATTTAACTCTCTACTTATTGTAAAATATCTAATTAAACATCCTTCTTTATTAAATTCAAAATATATTTAAATAATCAAATTAAATAATAATTTTTATTTTCTTTAAGAATTTATTAACATTTAAAATAAAAAATTTTTTAAGCTAAAATAACATTAAGGACTAAGGCACATCAAATATAGCTTCTTCTTTAGCAAATTTGAATTAATTATAAAATTTAGTGTTAAATTTAGAGTAAATTTTATTTTTGTCTGAATGTAATTTTTTTTGGTTTATTTAATAATTCTAATAAAAGTGTCAATAAAATTCATAAAAACGGTGTATCTAATCTTGGTTCTTTCTTAAAAAATTATAAAAGTCTTCAAAATTTAGAACTCCAAATAAAGTAATAAAAATTGTTTGTATAAAATATTAATATTTAATTTTTACTTGCTTATTTTCAGATAATCAAAAATAAGTAAATGCTTTTACTAATTAATCATTTTATTGATATATTAAAGCGTTAACAACATTAGCAATAGAGGTATACTTAATCTGATAAACCAATTGTCTAAATGCTAAAAACTAATTATATTTGATCTAAGTTTTGAGTACTTTAAAAAACAAAAAAATATAAATTTATATTTTGAATACAAACTATTATTTTTTTATTTAAACTTTATTATCTAATAGAGAAAACGAAATTGAAGATGATAATATTTACAATTAGGTTTTAAGTAATGCTTTCAAAATTAAAAGACTAGTCTCATTAAATTATGGTTTTTGAATAATTATTTGTAAAAAAAATAATTTTGTTAATTAGTTTATTTCTATTAGTACTAAAATCAACTGTTATTTTATAAAATAATTAAAAAAACATATTTAAAATTTCTTAAAATAAAAATATTTTTCATTTCATGTTATTTTTAAAATAATATTCCTTTTTTACTAAATAATTTAAATATACAAAAAAATAAATTGGGCACCTCTATATATTGGGCAAATTTAATTGGTCCCGAGGTGCCCAATATAGACAAGTTGCACTGTATATTATAATATTCAAATTTATTAATAGATATTAGTCCTTTTTTCTATTTTTAAGTCAACTAATCTTTTTGATTTAAGACACTTTACTTTCATTTATTCTAACTAAGAATAATAGAATTGGTTGCACCTTTTAATATAAATTATTGTAAATAACTAAAAAATAAATAGAAAAAATGTTAAAATAAAATTTTATATATTAAATCGATAAATAAAAAAAAGCTTATCATAATAAAATATAACAAGTAACATAAATCAAATCAACAATTAATAAATAAAAAAATTTCACAATCTAAAACAAGTAAATTATTTTTACTAAAGATTAAGTGTTAAATTTGAAAGATTAGTGCACTTTCCTAAACCTGAACCTAAATCTGATGCACCTATAAGGTCAATTTAATTGTATCTTTTTAAATATTAAGGAAAAAATATATTGTTAATTAATTAATTAATTAAAAGGAAAAAATGAAAAGAAAAAGTTGAAAATGAAAAATGAGTTAAATTAACAAAAAAATATAGAAAGAAAGAAAAAAACAAACAAAATAAAAACAAAAATAAATCATATAAAAAGCTAATTAATAAATAAATTAAAAGAGTTTGTAAAATAGTTTTAAATTAATTTTTATTTTAAAAAATATCACAATCCAAAATAAATAAATAAACTGTTTTTACGCAAGTTAAAGTTCGAAATTAGAGAGATTAGTGCACTTTTCTAAATCAGAACCTAATTTTGATGCCCCAATTGCACCAATTTAATTGCAACTTATCAAATTTTGTAGAAAAATATAGAGTTAATTAATTAGTTAGAATTAAAAAATGAAGAAAAAATATGAGACAATAACAAATTAATTAATAACTTAAAAGCAAAAGTTTAAAATGAAAAATTGAGTTAAATTGACAAACAAATAAAGAAAGAAAAAAGAAAAAAAATCAGAAGAAAAATAAAAATAAATTAAAAGCTAATCATTTTTTTCGTTTTTAAATTAAAAAATATCACAATCTAAAATAAATTAACTGTTTTACGAAAGGTTCAGTTTCAAATATTAGAGATTAATGCACTTTCCTAAACTAGAACTTAATCCAGATGCACCTTCATTACCTATAGAATTTTCCCTTTTTAGATATTGAAGAAAAAATATACAGTTAGTAAATTAGTAAGAAGGAAAAAATGAAGAAAAAATATGAAACAATAAGAAATTAACTAATCAATTACTTAAAAGCAAAAGCTAAAAAGTTAAAAATGAGTTAAATAAATTTCAAGAAAATAAAAAAAGAAAGAAAAAAACAATAGAATAAAAAACAAGAAGAAAAATAAATCAAATTAAAATCTAATAAGTAAATTAAAAGAGTTAATTTTTTATTTTAATTCAAAAAATATCACAATCAAATACAAGTAAACTTTCTTACTAAAGCTAAAGTTTTAAATTTGAGAGATTATTGCAGTTTGCTAAATTAAAACATAAGCCTGATGCACCTTCATCACCAATTTAATTAAACCTTTTTAAATATTAAAAATAATATGAAACTATAAGAAATTAATTAATAATCAAAAGCTGAAAATGAAATAATGAGTATAATTAACAAAGAAACAAAAAAAATAAATAATATAAAAAAGAAAATCATATAAAAAGCTATTAAATAAATTAAAATTGTTATTTTGTTTTAAATCCTTTTTTATATTAAAAAATATCCTCATCCATTACAAATAAATTGTTTTTACTAAAAACTAAGTGTCAAATTTGAGAGATTAGTGCACTTTCCTAAACTTTTACCAAAGCCTAATGCTCCCATTTTACCAATTATATTTTAACTTTATAAATATTGAAGAAAAATATTTAGTTAATTAATTAGATAGAGGGAAAAAATGAAAAAAAAATAAATATGAAACAATAAGAAATTAATTAAAAATAAAAGCAAAAGTTGAATATTAAAAAACGAGTTAAATTAACAATCAATAATAGAGAAAAAAGAAAAAAAACAAGCATAAGAAAAAGAAATATAAATCAAATAAAAAGCTAATAAATAAATTAAAAAAGTTAGTTTATTCATTTTAAATTTTGTATTCAAAAGTATCACAATAAAAATTAAATAAACTGCTTTTACTCAAGAAAAAGTGTGATATTTGAGAGATTAGTGCACTGTTCTAAACCAGAACCTAAGTTTGATGTACCTTAATCATTTATCTAATTCCACCTTTTTAATTATTGAAGAAAAAATATATAATTAATTAGTTAATTAATTAAAAACGAAGAAAAAGTATGAAATAATAAGAAATAAAGGAATTAATTAAATAAAAGCAAAAGTCGAATATGAAAAAATGAATAAAATACACAAATAGAAAGAAAGAAAAAAAAACAATAGAGTAAAAAATCAAATAAAAATCTTATAAATAAATTAATAGAGTTAGTTATTTTATTTTAAATTCCTTTTTATATTAAAAAATATCACAATCCAAAACAAGTAAACTGCATTTACGAAAGATCAAGTGTCAAATTTGAGAGATTACTGCACTTACCTAAACTAGTACCTAAAACTGATGCACCTAAATCGCCAATTTAATTTTTACTTTTTAAATGTTGAAGAAAAAAATTATTATTAATTAGTTATTTAGAAGTAGAAGGAAAAAATGAAGAAATTTATGAAATAATAAGAAATTAATTAGTCATTAAAGTAAAAGTAGAAAACTAAAAAATTAATAAAATTAACAAAAAAACAAATAAAAAAACAAGCTGAATAAAAAAAGATAAAGAAATCAAATAAAAATCTAATAAATAAATTAAAATAGTTAGTTATATTGTTTTAAATTCATTTTTATATTAAAAAATATCCTAATCCTAAACAAATAAACTATTTTTACTCAAGAAAAAGTGTTAAAGATGAGAGATTAGTACACATTTTTAAACCATAACCTAAGCCTGATAGACCTTTATTACTAATTTTATTTTAACTTTTTAAATATTGAAAAAAGATATTTAGTTAATTAGTTAGTTAGTTAGTTACAAGGAAAAAATAAAGAAAAAATATGAAATAATAAAAATTGAACTAATCGAGAAAAGAAGCAAAAGTTGAAAATAAAAAATGAGTATAATTAATAATAAAGAAAGAAAGAAAAAATAAGTATAAACTGTTTTTACTTAAGATCAATTCTCAATTTTAAGAGATTAGTGCACTTTGCTAAACCAGAACCTAAGCTTGATGCATCTTTATCACTAATTTTACTTTTTAAATATTGAAGAAAGATATTTAATTAATTAGTTATCTTGAAGGAAAAAATGAAGAAAAAATATGAAATGATAAAAATTGTATGAATTAATTAATAAGAAAACTAAAATTAGAAATTGAAATTGAAAAAATAAGTTAAATTAATAATAAAGAAAGAAAGAAAAAACAACAAATTAAAATAAATAAAAAGCTAATAAATAAATTAAAAGAGTTAGCTATATTGTTTGAAGGCTTTATATGAAATAATATCACAATACAAAACAAATAAATTGATTTTACCTAGGACTAAGTTTCAAATTAAAGAAATTAAGGAACTTTCTTAAGAGAGAACCTTCATTACCATTTTAATTTCCACTTTTTAAATATTAAAGAAAAAATATATAGTTAGTTTCTTAGTTAGTTAGAAGGAAAAAAAGAAGAAAGAATATCAAATATAAAAAATGAGTAATTAATGATCAATATAAAAATTTAGTGAAAGTTAAGTTAAAATAATAAAAAATATTTTTATAAATAAAAATTAATGAATTTTGATAATTTATATTTGAAACATAATATTGTAAATAACTTGAAAGTTAAATATAAAAAATATTAATAAATTAAAAAAACCTCAGAAAAATATCAAGAACCTGATGCAATTAAAATGAAGAGTTTAAAAACTATTTTTATTTAAAAAAATAGATTTAAACAATAGTATTAAAAAAATAAATATTTACTTCTTTTAGGTTTTTAAAATAATTTTTCTCTAATATCATTTTCTTTTTCAATAATATTGAATTGCAATTTGTAGAAATTTAATTAATAATTATATTAATAAATTAAAAGAACAAACAAATTATATTAATTATCAAATATAAATTTATAAATTTCCTTTTACGAAGAGATATCAAAAAAAACTTAGCATAACCTTATTATAGCTCTTCTTGGATAATTATTTCTTGTATTAAGAAATATATATTTAATAAAATAATAAATATTATTTAATAAAAAATATTAAAAGAAATAAAAAAAGGTTTGAAGCAGGTTTAGAACCTTATAGAAGAAAAAAATAAAAAATGTTTAATCAAAGATCCAGGAATTAAATTCTTAATTCTCCACTTCCATAAGAATTTAATACCTGGAATTGCTATATAAAAATAATAATAAATATATCAAATTGTATTTAATTTAATTATGCTATCACAAAATAATAAATAATAAACATTTTATTTATATTATTCAAATACTAAATATTTATTCATCCTTATTTCAAAACTTGTTTATTGTCAAATAAAGTCTATTTAAAAGAGAACTAATCTTTTTGATTTAAGACACTTTTTTAATATTTTCTATAATTTTAATTTATTGATTTAGATTTCCCTATTATTTTTAATTCAAATAAAACATTAAATAAAATAAAATAAATAGAACAAAACTTTTAAATTAAAAATCATATTTAAAATTAATAAATAAAAAAATTAGCATAAATGAAAGAAAAAGAAAAATAAATCAATTAAAAAGCTAATTAATAAGTAAAAAGTGTTATATTATTTTAAATTCATTTTTATAATTCAACATAGCATAATCTAAAACAAATAAATATTTTTACTTAAGAGAAAGTGTCAAATTAGAGAGATTAGGGCAATTTGCTAAAGTAGAACATAAGCCTGATGCACCAATTGCACCAATTTTATTGAAACTTTTTATATCGAAGAAAAAATTTATTATTAATAAGTAAGAAGGAAAAAATGAAGCAAAAATAATAAGAAATGAATTAATTTTTTATAATAAAAGCAAAATTTGAAAATAAAAAATGAGTTGAATTAAGAAATATAGAAAAGAGAAAAAAAAATAATCCCAATAAAAAAGAAAAATAAATCAAATATAATCCAAATAAGAAAACAAAATTAGTAATATTGTTTTAAATTCATTTTTATAAATAGAAATATCACAATCCAAAACAAATAAACTGTTTTTACGAAAGATCAAGTGTCAAATTAGAGAGGTTAGTGCAATTTTCTAAAGCAGAACCTAAGTATGATGCACCAATTTCACCAATTTCATTTACCCTTTTTAAATATTGAAGAAAAAATAAAAAATTAATTAGTTGATAAAGGAAGAAGAAAAAAAAATAATAATAAATGAATTAATTAATTAAACATAAAACAAAATTTGAAAATTAAATGAGTTAAATTAAGAAAGATAGAAAAAGAAATATATACACAAGTACAAAAAAAAGGAAAAGAAAAATAAATCAAATAAAATGCTAATAAACAAATTAAAAAAGTTATAAATTCATTTATTAAACTAAAAATATCACAATCCAAAATAAATAAATTGTTTTTACTAAAGTTTAAGTGTCAAATTAGAGAGATTAGTGTAATTTACTAAAGCACAACCTAAGCTTGATGCACCTTCATCACCAATTTAACTCCTACTTTTTAAATATTGAAGAAAAAATATATCATTAATTAATTAATTAGTTATAACAAAAATAAAATAATAATATGAACTAATTAATAATAATAAAAGCAAAATTAAAAAATAAAATCAGTTAAATTAAGAAAGATAGAAAAAAATAAATAAAAAAGTGCAATAAAAAAGAAAAAGAAAAATAAATCAAATAAAATGTTAATAAATAATTTAAAAAAGTTTTTTTATTTTAAATTCATTTTTATAACTAAAAATATCACAATTAAAAACAAACAAATAAACTTTTTTTACTAAAGATCTAGTGTCAAATTGGAGAGATTAGTGCAATTTGCTAAAGCAGAACCTAAACCTGATGCACCAATTGCACTAATTTAATTGCAACTTTATAAATATTGAAGAAAAATAAGAATTATTAGTTAGAAGGAAAAAATGAAGAAAAAATAATAGTAATAAGTGAAATAATTAACAAAAATAAAAGTAAAATTTGAAAATAAAAATAATTTAAATTAAGAAAGATAAAAAAAATAAATATACAAATGCAATAAAAAAGAAATAGAAAAATAAATAAAATAAAAAAGTTATATTTATTTTTATTCATTTTAAAAACTAAAAATATCACAATCCAAAACAAATAAACTGTTTTTACTTAAGTTCAAGTGTCAAATTAGAGAGATTAGTGCAATTTGCTAAACCAAAACCTAAGCCTGATGCACCTTCATCACCAATTTTATTGCAACTTTTTAAATATTGAAGAAAAAATTAATAATTAATCAGTTGAAAATATTAAAATAAAAAAAATAGATAAAAAGTAATTAATGAGCTAACTCAAAATTTCGGAAATTACAAAGGTAAAAACTTTAACCCAAACTACAAAAGCCATAAAAAATATATAATTAAATTATTAAATAAAATAAAAGGTGAGGAAATAAATTAAATTGTGATTATATATTATTTGTAGACCAGTCTTGGCACTTATTGAATTGAATTGAATTAATCAGTTGATAAAAAAAAATGAAAAAAAATAATAAGAATTGAATTAATTGAAAATAATAAAGCAAAATTTGAAAATAAAAAATGAGTTAAATTAAGAAAGATAGAAATCATAAAAAAAACAAGTATAATAAAAAAGAAAATAATAAAATGCTAATAAACAAATGAAAAGAGTTATTTTGTTTTAAATTAATTATTATAACTATAATAAATAAACTGTTTTTACTGAAGACTAAGTGTCAAATTAGAGAGATTAATGCAATTTGCTAAAGCAGAACCTAAGCCTGATGCACCATTTGCACCAATTTAATTGCAACTTTTTAAATATTGAAGAAAAATATAAATTTTTAGTTATTTAGAAGGAAAAAATGAAAAAAAAAAAAATTAATTAATTAATAATAATAAAAGCAAAATTAAAAAAAATGAGTTAAAATAAGTAAGATAGAAAAATAAATACACAAATACAATAAAAAAGAAAAATAAATCAAATAAATAAATAATTAATAAATAAATAAATTAAAAAAGTTTTATTATTTTAAATTCATTATTTTAACTAGAAATATCCCAATCCAAAATAAATAAACTATTTTTACCGAAGACTAAGTTTCAAATTAGAGAGATTAATGCAATTTGCTAAAGCATAACCTAAGCTTAATACACCATCCACACCAATTTAATTCTAACTTTTAAATATTGAAGAAAAAATATACATCTTAGTATAAAGAAAAAATGAAGAAAAAAAAATAAATTAATTAACAATAATAAAAGCAAAATTAAAATCAAATAAAATGCTAATAAGCAAATTAAAAAAGTTTTAAATTCATTTTTATAACTAGAAATATCACAATCCAAGGCAAATAAACTGTTTTTACTTAAGATTAAGTGCCAAATTAGAGAGATTAGTGCAATTTGCTAAAGCAGAACCTAAACCTGATGCACCATTTGCACCAATTTAATTGCAACTTTTTAAATATTGATGAAAAAATATAAAATATTTAATATAAGTTAAGAAATGAATTAATTCTTAAAATAAAAGCAAAATTTTGAAATAAAAAATAAGTTAAATTAAGAAAGATAAATTAATAAAAAAAAAAAGCAAGTACAATAAAAAAGAAAAAGAAAAATAAATCAAATAAAATTCTAATAAATAAAAAGAGTTTTATTATTTTAAACTCCTATTTAAAAATAAAAATATCCAAATCCAAAACAAATAAACTATTTTTACTCAAGCTAAAGTGTCAAATTTGAGAGATTAGCGCAATTTGTTAAAGCAAAACCTAAGTCTGATGCGCCTTCATCACGAATTTAATTGGAACTTTTTAAATAATAAGTACTATTAAAAAAAGAAAAATAAATCAAATAAATGCTAATAAAAAGTTATAAATTTATTGTTATAACTAGAAATATCAATATCCAAAGCAAATAAACTGTTTTTACTTAAGATTAAGAGTCAAATTAGAGAGATTAGTGCAAATTGCTAAAGCAGAGCCTAAGTATTATGCACCATTTGCACCAATTTAATTGTAACTTTTTAAATATTAAAGAAAAAATATATAATATTTTATTTTAATTAGAAGGGAAAAATGAAGAAAAAATAATAAGAAATGAATTAATTTATAATCACAAAAGCAAAATTTGAAAATAAAAATGAGTTAAATTAAGAAAGATAGATAACAAAAAAAAAACAAAACAAATAAACAATTTTTACTCAAGACTAAGTGTCAAATTAGAGAGATTAGTCCAATTTACTAAAGGAAAATATAAGTCTGATGCACTAATTGAACCAATTTTATTATTACTTATTAAATATTGAAACAAAAATAATTAGCTAGTAAGAAAGAAAAAAATAATAATTGAATTAATTAATAACAATAATGATAAAAGCAAAATTTTAAAATAAAAAAATGAATTAAATTAATAAATAAAGATAGGGAAAAAAAAAGCACACAATTAAAAGAAAAAAGAAAAATAAATAAAATAAAATGCGAATCAATATATAAAAAGAGTTTAATTAAATTGATTTTTAAAACTAAAAATATAACAATCTAAAACAAATAGACTGTTTTTACCAAAGATAAAGAGCCAAATTAGAGAGTGTAGTGCAATTTGATAAAGCAGGACCTTAGTTTGATGCATAAATTGCATCAATTTTATTATGACTTTTAAATATTGAAGAAAAAATATATAATTAATTAGTCTGTTTGAAGGAAAAATTAAAGAAAAAATAAGAAGAAATGAATTTATTAATAATAATTAAGCAAAGTTAAAAAATAAAAAATGAGTTAAATTAAAAAACATAGAGAAAAAAAACATAAGATATAATAGATATTGGTAACACGAACTCAGTAGAATAGTTTCCCATTTTGACGAATTTTCATGTATTTATAAATACGTGAAAATTCATCAAAATGGGAAACTATTATACTGAGTTGTGTTGCCAATATCTATTAAATCATAAGTAATAAAATACAAAAATAAAAAATATATCAAATAAATTGCAATTAAAAGAGTTGTTTTATTTTAAATTCATTTTTTAACTCTAAATATCACAATCAGAAACAAATAAACTGTTCTTACGTAAGATTGAGTCTCAGATTAGAGAGATTAGTGCAATTTGTTAAAGCAGAACATAAGCCTTATGCACCAATTGCACCAATTTAATTCATACTATTAAAATATTGTAGAAAAACAAAACATTAATTAGTTAGTTAGAAGGAAAAAATAATAAGAAATTAATTAATTAATAATAATAAAAGCAAAATATGAAAATAAAAAATGAATTAAATTAAAAAAAACACACAGGTACAATAAAAAAATAAAAGTAAAATGCTAGTAAACAAATAAAAAGAGTTTCTTGCTTTATTTTAAATTAATTTTATAACTATAAATATCACAATCAAAAACAAATAAACTATTTTTACTTAAGATTAAGTGTCAGATTACAGAGATTAGTGCATTTTGCTAAAGCAGAACCTAAGTCTGATGCGCCTTCATCACCAATTTAATTGGAACTTTTTAAATATTGTAGAAAAAAATAAATTAATAATTAGTTAGAAGGAAAAATGAAGAAAAAATAATAAGAAATGAATTAATTAATAATAATAGCAAATTTTGAAAATAAACAATGAGATAAATAAAGAAAGATAGAAGAAAAAAAAAACACACACACACAAGTAAAAGAAAAAGAAAAAGAAAAATAAATTGCTTATAAACAAATACAAAGAGTTATTTTATTTTAAATAAATTTTAAAAACTAAAAATATCACAATCTAAAACAAATAAACTGTTTTTACGAAAGATAAAGTTTCAAATTAGAGAGATTAGTGCAATTTGCTAAGCCATAACCTAAGCATGTAGCACCTTCATTACCAATTTAATTGGAACTTTTTAAATATCAAAAAAAAAGAGTATTTAATAAATTAGTTAGAAAGAAAAAATTAAGAAAAAATAAATTAATTTATTAAAATAAAAGTAAAATTTGAAAATAAAAAAATTAAGAAAGATACAAATCAAATAAAAATATGCAAGTTCAAAAAAAAAAGAAAAATAAATAAAATTAAATGAGTTATATTTTTTTAAAATTATTTTTATCATTAAAAATAGCACAATCCAAACAAATAAACTATTTTTACTCAAGATTAAGTATCAAATTAGAGAGATTAGTGCAACTTCCTAAAGCATAACCTAATCCTGATGCACTTTGATTAGCAATTTAATTCTTACTTTTTAAATATTGTAGGAAAAAGTATAAATTTAGTTAGTTTGATGAAAAAAATTAAATTAATATTTTATAATAAAAGCAAAATTTGATAATAAAAAAATGATTAAAATTAAGAAAGATAGTAATAATAAATAAAAAACCCAATTACAAAAATAAAGAAAAATAAATCAAATCAAATAAAATGCAAATAAACAAATAAAAAGTGTTATATTTTTTTGAAAATTCATTTTTATAACCAAAAATATTTCATAATCCAAAATAAATAAACTATTTTTACTTAAGATTAAGAGTCAAATTTGAGAGATTAGTGCAATTTGCTAAAGCAGGACCTAAAAATATTGCACCAATTGCATTAATTTAACTTTTAAATATTGTACAAAAAATAAAAAACGTTAGTTAGAAGGAAAAAATAAAGAAAAAATAATAATAAATGAGAATTGCTAGTAATTAATAAATCGTAAGTTAAGTATTTAGAAAGTATTAATAATAATAATAATATTTTTTAATTAAATATACTAAAGATCAATATGGAGAGCATTATGAGACTAAAGTGAAGAGTTTAAAAACTTTTTATATTATTAAAAATAAATTTATAGATTATTGATAAAAAAATAAATAATTACTTTATCTAAATTATTGTAAATTTTAATCTATTATATCATTTATTTTTTTTTTTCAAAAATATTTAATTGAAATTTAATTAATTATAAATGGATAAAAACAATACATAAATTATGTGAATTTATAAATTTGCTTTTAGTAAGAGATATCACAAAAAAGTAAGTTTAAAATTCATTATTTAATATATAATACCACATTTCAAAATTTGTACTTAAAATTAAAAAAGGAAATACAGATATGTATGTATTATTAAAAATTAAAAATTTTAAAACAAAAACTTATTAATTTTTGAATCGACTATATTTATATATATTTAGATATAAAATATACTTAATAAAATTATAAATCATATTTTATTTTTAATTTTAGTTTAAAAAAATATTTGTTTGTTTAATCCAAAGTTCCTTCCTTCATTTATTCATTTTGGGTGATTTTTTAAAAGCCTATTGAAGAAACCGCCTTCTATCTTTCTTAGCTCATTAACATGACCACATTCAACTATTTTTCCTTTCTCAAGAACAGCTACTCTATCAAATAATTCAATGTTTTCTAATCTGTGTGTAATGACTATTAAAGTTCTGTTTTCTGCAAATTTAAATATTTATTAGTGCAACTCAGCATCAGTTTTAGGATCCATGTTTGAAGTAGCTTCGTCTAGACATACGATTTCTGTTTCTCTTAATATAATTCTTAAGAAATTAACTACTTACTTTTCTCCATTAGATAAATTCTATCCTCCATCTTCTATTTCAAAATCTAAATTGTCTTCATCCTTCTTTTCTTCTTCTTGATTTTATTTAGGAATATTTATTACAGCCTACTATTCATTACTTTGCTCATTGTTTTCCTGTTTATTTTCATTCTTTTTATTACTTTCTCTAATTTTCAAGTTTGTTTCATTTATTTTTTGTTGCATTATCTGACGAGGAATTTTACCTTCAGGATCTAAGTTGTCTTTCAAACTTGCATTGTAAAGGAAACCAAACTAGGGAATAATAGACATTTTTGATCTGAGATCTCTAAGACTATAAGATTTTATATTCTTTCCATAGACATAGATACTGCCATGCTGAATTGGATACATGCCAAAGAGAGTATTTAATATAGAAGTTTTACCAGAGCCAGTTCTTCCACAGAATGCTATTTTTTCTCCTTTTCTAATTTTAAGGCAAACATCCTTCAATGCAAACTAAACTTCAGTAGATTCTTTAGAAATATCTGTGTTTTCTTTAATTTCATCATAAGTGATAAAAACATTCTCAAACTCAATTGCAATCTCTTTATCTCTTTTCTTGTGAGATTCCTCATCTTACTAGATACTTTCTTCAGGTAGTTCTATTTTATCGAGATCCTCTTAGTCGTTATTGAAATATTATCTGAGACGTTCGACTGAAACCATGTTTTGCTCAACATTACAGAAAAATTGAATAAGATCAGTGAATTAGGAAGATAGTAGCATAGAATAAGTAAGGCACATTGATATTGAGATGTAATCAAAATCAAAATTGAATCCTACCAATACCATACTGGTAACTGCAACACATACGAATAAGAAATTGCTGACAAAAAGCAATCTGATAGACATCCAAATTTGAATAGCTTCAGTAATAAGGAAGGTATTTACACTGTCATTTAATTTTTCCATATATTCTTTCAAAACAAGTCTTTCTCTATCAAAAGATCTTATCAATATCACTCCTTTGCATGCTTCTCCTAAATTTGTTAACAGTCTGCCAGAATTGACTGAATTTAGTCTTTTAATTTCTCTGTTTGAAAGTCTAAAAAGCTTCTAAATAAAGTAAACGATGAAAATTGAGATTATGATAAAAACAATCAGCCATGGAAGCTAAATCAGAATACCAATAGGATAACTTTTATAATTAAAAATAAATTAATTAAATTGGAAATCTCAATTAAAATTTAGCTTAAATTTGATAATTTTTTTAAAAATATTTCATTCTTAAAATATTTAAAGAAAAAAATAAATATTATTTACCCTATTGTATTAGTAAAGTACTTTAAAAATATTTGACAACTCCAGGGCAGATTATCTTCGATGTTAAGAATATCATCTGAAAGTCTATTAACTATTCTACCAGGTGGGTTTTTATCAAAGAATAGCATTTTGCTGTAAATAAGGCTTTTATTAAGTCTACTGAACATCTATTAGGCGCTGCGTAAAGCACAAACATTATAGAAAAAGGCTCTAGCAACAGCCATTCCCAAATTCAAAAGGATAAAAAATAAATAAGTTTTAGTAAAAGTATGGAACATACTATTTATTTTTTCAAAGAAAGGACTTGAAGTTGAAACTTAATCTCTCAGCCAGAAATCTGTAAGCATGGAAGCAGCCTACATCATAAGACTTGATAAAATAAAGATAATAAGAAAAGCTACACTCATCGATTTAATGTAAGTTGAGAACGTCTCTGCTTTAATACTTCCTTTTTCTCTTTCTTCTTCTTACTATTTCTTAGTGTCTTCTTCTTCATCAACTATTTTCTAATAAAATAATAAAAAAATATCTTAAAATTTGTTTAAATTTTTGCTATTTTTGTTTTTTTGTTTGTTTTAAATTTTATCATTTTATTTAAAAGCAAATAAATAAATGAATTACTTAATTCTTGCTGCTCTATTTTTTTCTGATAATTGTGTCTTCTTCAATTTGGCTTGATTTAGATTTTTAGAGAGATCTTTTTTATATTCCAACAGCCTGTATTTCTTCAATTTCATTATTTTTATCATCATCATCTTCTTTATCTAATTACTCATCTGACCCAAGATTCATTTCGAGTTTTTATTTTTATCTTTTAGCTTCTTCTTCCTCTTGTTCTTTGCTTAAACCACTTTTAATAAAATCTTCTATTTCCTATTAGTCATACACTAGAGAACCTTTTTAGAGATAGAAAATTTTATTGATATAGTCTCTCTTAGAAAATATGCTGAAGTGACTCGTTACAAGCAGAACTGTTTTCTTGTATTTTTTTACTAATACATCTACAATAACTGATTAGTAAACTTTTTCTGCGACATGAGCATCCAAGCTACTAAAGATATCATCAAATAAATATATCTCGCAGTTTTAATAAAGAGCTCTGCAAATCGCAATTCTTTGTCTTTAACCTCCACTTAAGTTACCACCACCAGGTCCTACAACTTTTTCATCCTTCTTCTAAAAGGTGCTGAAGTCTACTTTTAAATCGCAAGACTCAATGCATTCATTATACCAAAAAGGATCATATTCCTTACCAAACAAAATATTTTCCTTGATTGTCTTATTTTGCAACCAATGGTTCTGAGAAACGTATCCTATTCTACCATTGACAATAATCTTTTTCTCATAATTTGTCAATCTTTCTTATAAATGAGAATTGTCTATATTTGAAGCAATCAGCGATTCTTATGAATCCATTGAACTTATATCAAGCTCATTCAAAATAGCATGCAAAAGAGCTGATTTTCCAGATCCTATTTCAATTTTTAATATTAATTAATCAATTTTTTCTAATTTTAAAAAATTATTTTACCTATTTTTCCAATGATAATAGCTAGATCACCTTTTTTGACAGTTAAATCTAAAACTTTTAATTAGAATTTATTGTTGTTGGCAGTTTCTGAGCTACTTTCTCCTTCTTGATTAGCAAGTAGAGGATCTTAAATCGTATTTCCCTTTTTTTTTTGTGACTTCTCCTTTTTCTTCTTTTGCTCCTCTTCTTTCTTTTATTTGCTGCTTTTTTTAGTAGGCCAGTCAAACTTCATTTTCCTAATTGATATTGCTAATTAATTAACATTGTTTTGTGCTTCGCTATTTTCTTAAAAGCTTTCTAATAAGCTGTTTGGGCTAGTAGTATTTGTCGCTCTTTAATTTAATTCCAGATCCAAGTTAACAACTTTATTTTAACCAAAAATAAAATTTTATTTATTTATATTTTATATTTGAATTATCTACCATTATTATGATCGATCTCCTTCTCATTCAAAAAGTTCTTAATTCTCCTGTAAGAAACTCTGGCCTTCACCAAATAACCTAGAGTCCAAGGGAGTATTCCTATAGGTACCGTTAATAAGTTAAACAAAGCTATCATGGTAAATACATTAGAATCTTTTAAATCATGACCATCATCAACGAAGCTTACTAAAAAGAAGAACAATAATAAAGAACTCACACAACTCCAAAAAATACTGAGAACTCCATCTAGTATTCTGGTTTTTATCATAATACCCATTTCTTGAGAACGAATTTTTTCTATTTTCTCCTTAAATATCTCCTCCCAACATAAGTACTTAATGCTTTTCATTCCATCGATGACATCTTTGCTCAAGGAGACTCTCTCATCTTTCTTCTTATACAGTTTTGAGTAGAAAATCTAATAAAATAATAAGATAAAAATCATTCCTTTTATTCAAATAAGAAGAGTAATAAAATTATTACACGCATTAATTGAGTGATGATAATGTTGAAGAAAAAAGAACCTAGTAAAATATACAAACCATTGTATATAGATGATCCAATTCTGTAATAAATCAAGAGTAAAACAATGCTCATAGTAATTATGCTTTAGATTGTCTGAACAAAAGCCCAAAATATGTATTATTGCTAGTCAACATCCACTGTCATAATATTATTTGCATCAGGGTTAGAGTCGCTGCTACTTCCTCCTGAACCACCATCGTTGCTGGAACTGGCTGACATTACTTATGTCCTTAATGACTTGCTAAAAACTAAATATTGTAGTGTTGCATAAGCATTCGCTTACCATTTAGTTTAATACCATGAATATCTTGAGTAAAATATATTTTTTAGAATATATCCAACTGAGATGGCTAGCAGCAGAAGACATACTTCAGTCTTTTGTTCACTTTCTCCATTGTAATCCTTAAGAATGTCTGTAATCTTGTCCATAATAAAAACACAACCACAACTTAAAAGAGATTATGAAATGGAATAAAAGAGACCAATTAGAAGATTCTTGCAAGTCATGTTAAAGTAAATCGATCTCAAATTAAAGTTGTTTGGACCAAATTCCTTGGGATTTCTGCTCTTGAATTCTTCGAGCTTCTCTATCAACAGTCTTACTTAAGTAGACTTTGTAATGAATTCTTTGATGTCTTCATTCTAAATTTATTTCTCCTGATCCTGCAGTTCCTTGGTGCGCTTAAATAGTTTAGTGAGAGCAGTGAACATAAAGTTATGCTCTCTGGCTTTGACTTCTGCGTTAGGAAGAACCTCCTTGCAGAAGATATCTCTTTACTTTTTTGTAGGCTCAAGAGAAATAATGTTATGATTAAGAACCTATTTGTCTATATCTACTCCCTCTTTTTTAACTTCTCTATTCAAATAATTCATTCTACTAAGACTTTAATTGATTGAATATGTTTAAAGTTTTTCTATATATTTTTAATATAATTAAATTAATAAAAAGAAGACAGCTAGCTATTTAAATGATATATTTAAACTCATTCAACTCTACAAACAATTCAGTAATAGTTAATCATTTTTTTGAATTTATTTCTATCAAATAATTTACATTTTCAATTATTATGTAATCGATATATTTTTTAAAAAAACTTAAAAAATGTTTTTGAGTCTCTATAAATTCCTTTAAAAACTGAAAAAGTTAAAAAATAGAAGAAAAAGAAAATTCTTAGTTTGACTAAAGAAAGGTATAGATGAGCCTTAGCTTACTAGCCTGTTTACAAACGGATCATAATATCAATTATTAATTTATTTACATTATAATAAAATTTTTTGAGCGTTTATTAACTCTAATTTTATTTGCAATAACTTTTAAATTAATTTATTTCTAGATAGATCTTAAATACACATTCGAGCATAATTTTTTGTATAAATGTCATAAAAATAAACAATAAAAAAAATATTTAAAGCAGTAATAAATATGCCAAAATTGTGACCAAACTTTGCTTTTATCTAAATATTGCATTATCAGATATGTTAAAGATATGATTATGTGCTTTGGAATTTATTAGTAGTTAAATTGTTGCTATCAAATAATTACTTCTAAATGTTCCAGATTTTTGCTTAGATTAATTTCTGGAATTATTCTTTTTGAGAGATGCACATAAAATTGAGAAAAAAATAGTAATCAAATTTATTTATCAAAAACTCCTTTAATTATTTGCTACTATGAAAATTTAAATAGACACCTAAAAATTTTTGGGTTTCTTTTGATAAATTAATTAATTTATTTATTGGATTTTTTATTTTCTTTTAATTTACAATCATAATTCATCAAGTTTGTTTTGTCTTAATTTTAAAAACTTTCATGGACTAATTTTGTTTGCTTAAAATTAAAGAAATATTAATTTTTTTATTTAAATTAATAAAGGATTTTTATATTTTATGTTGTTTGTTTTCTTATTATTATTTAAATTAATATTTTTTTATTATTAATCAAAAATAACAATTTAATCTTTTAATTAAAATAAATTATTTTCTTTGAATTTTTATATTTAATTAATTATTTTTTTCATAAATTTATTTTTCTTCTCTAAAAAAATGAAATAATAAAGAATATAATATGATATATTAAAAGAAGTAATTCGTTTTTTTAATTTACTAAATGTTTATTTGTTTATTCATTTAAAAAGTTTACAATCTCTTCTTTTGTAAATCATATTGATCTGAAAAGTAAATTAACAAAATATTTTTATTTATATTTATTGTTTTTCTTTTTAATTTTATAAAAATTAATTATATTTTTGAATAAAAAACAAAATTAATTGATATATTTTACATTTTAAATTATATTTATTGTTTTTAAATGCACTTTTCAAAATCAGACTTAGCTTTAAAGCTTGTTATACTCTTTTTGATGCTTTTTTCTAATAATTAAAGTCTATTATTAGCTATTAATTAATTTTTAATAGATATAATTTAATTGAGGATTATATCATAAATGGCTTAGGTTCATCAATAGCAAAACTTTAAAATCTTTCAAATTTGATTATCGATCTTTGGTAAAAATTCAATATTTGCTATTTATTTTGATATAGATAGCTCTTTATAAATTAAAAATACAATTTTCTTAGATTAATATTTCTAATGATTAATTTTGCAATAATAATTCCTTGTTATAAAGACATTAAAATATTATCATTAAAACTATTTAATTTAGTGTATCACCTAAATATTAATAGTATTTAAGTGAATTAATTAAATAAGATATTTTTTTTTAATTTAATTTTTCATATTCATTTGCTTTAGTTTTAAATTATGAATACATTTTTAAATGCATATAAACATACTATTTTTTCCTATAAAATAAGAAAAGAATATAATCTTAAAAAACCAATCAGATTTATCAGAAAATATTTGAACCCAAAACAAATTAATTCATTGGTATGTATAATTAATTTTTTTGTTTGCAAATTAGCCTAATTTTTCTTACTGAATTTAATTAACTTAATTCTTTTATATAACTTTTATTTCTGATCAGATTGTCAATTTTTGATTAGAATCTTTTTAAAGAAGGAAAAAAAATAAGTCCAAATGTAATATTTATAGTAGGGAGGAGACTGAGAAAAATGCTAATAATAAAATATGGAACTTCTCTTAAGAATTGAATAGTAATTTTGATAAACTAACCAAACAAGTCAAAACAAACTCCCTTTTAAACTCTGATTATAAATAAATTAAATAGTGCTTCATATTTAACAATATCAACTGCTTTTATGAATGAATAGACTAATCACTCAAATAGTTTTTATTTTAGATAGCCATTCTCTATCTAAACATTCATTTTAAAAACTCAAAAATTTATCATTTAATTAAATAATATAAAATTAATTGCATCCTTTTAAAAGTATCTTTCTCCTTTTTAAATTGAGGTTTTTTGCCTACAAATTAAATAAAGATTAATTAAAATAAAACAATAATAAAAAAATCTTCTCTAAAATGAATAAATAATTCTGTAGTCTATCCATATTGGTTTTATTCACCCTAGTACTATCTGGTTTCTGCTTAAATGATAAAGTATATTAAACTGCAACTAAAGGTTTTTTCGAATGGTAGGCATGTATCATGTTAAAATTCCCGAATATGCCTTAATGTGATGAGATTAAAGATGACAATTCTGCTTTAATTACTTGCTACAATACATATTTTGCATTCTTGTATTATTATGGTTTTCCATCATTTTAATAAATCACTCCTGAATGTAAGGCTTTCTAAAATGATTTAGAAGGTACTATTCTATATAATAATTTTGCTACAACTTATCCTGATTGCTTGAACAGTATCATGGACAAAATTAAATCCTTGTTCCCTTACTCTCCTTTCTTTTATGATAACATCTTACCCATTTTTTTAGAATGTGGTGGCGTATCTGCTGAAGAAACAAAATAGATCAATAATTAAATATGAAAAAGAATTAAAATAATAATATTATTTATTATCTATTTTTTATTACTCATTCATTATTATATATAATTTAAGTATTAAAATATTTTTTTTATAACAAGTTTTATAGCTTAAGCTCTTTATTATTTAAGTAAATTTATGAAAATTTGTTTGTTTAATTAAAAAAAACAATAGATTTGAATATAGAAATAAATTAAATATTTAGCTCTTAATTAAAATAATTCATTAGCAGATTTCATTCTAAAATCTTTAATAAATATTGATATTTTTTAAATAAAGCTGTAATGTAATGTAATTTATAATTATTACTAATCCTGTAATTAAAATATCACGAACTGTGTAGGTACATATTTTTTAAATATCAAATAAGTGTTTTATATATTGGTGTCTTAATGTAAGAATTTTAACAGTATTATTTATTTAATTATCTGCAACATTATTTTTTATATAGATATTAATAAAAATTAACAAATTAATAATTATTTTATTTTCTAAATTTCAAATTTATATTAATCAGAAAGAATGAAAAATAAATTAATAAAATTAATTTTTAAACTTAACTTTAATTTAAATAAAATGTTTTTATTAATCTGAATTAATTTTATAAAAATTGATTCATTTTGTATTTTAATTTTCTGTTAATCTATTAAAAAAGCCATTTTCTGCTTTTCTAAGTTCGCTTACATGTCCACATTCTGCTATTTTACCAGAATCCATAACAAATACTCTATCAAATTTATCTATATTTTCTAAGCGATGAGTGACTACAATTAATGTTTTATTTTTGGAGAAATCAAACAGAGCTTAGTTTAATAATGAGTCGGTGATTGGGTCCATATTTGAGGTAGCTTCATCTAGACAAATGATGTCTGTATCTTTTAGGATGATTCTAAGAAAATTGATTATCTATGCTTATCCATTTGAGAGATTGGCTCCTCCTTCCTGAATCAAAGAGTCTAAATTAGCATCTTATTATAGCTATAATTAATACCTAGTTTCATTTTCTGATCTATACGAATTAGAAGATTTATGTTCCTTAAATTGAATTGACTCCAAAGATATTCCTGAGTTTGCTATTTTACACTAAATTTACGTATCATTTAATTTCCCTGAAGGATCTAAGTTATCTCTTAAAGTACTTTTAAACAAGAATCCAAACTAAGGAATGATAGCCATCTGCTGTCTTAAATCCTAAAGAGTCATTACTTTTATATTTTTTCCTTTAACAAATATCTCTCCTCTTTAGAAATGATACATTCCAAAAATCAAATTCAAAATAGAAGATTTACCAGAACCAGTTCTTCCGCAGAATGCGATTTTTTCTCCTTTTTTAATTTTAAAAGAAATTCCTCTCAAAGCAAAACATTTCTCAGCTTGCTCTCCTTGCATCTATTCTATATCTATGCTATTTTAAATTGAGCTTTCGTATGAAAGATAAACATTTTAAAATTCAATTTCAGCATCACTTTAATCTTCTTTCAATTATTAAATTCTTTCTTTTTAATCGTCAATTTTCGATGATTATTTTTCATAATTAAAATAACTTTTAGCGATTATCTCGCTTGGATTCTCTTATTCGTTACAGAAGTATTATCTTATTCTCTCCACACTTATCAAATATTGTTCAACATTACAAAAGTATTACATAAGATCAGAAAACCTAGTAGAAAGTAAAATGGAATAAGTAAGACACATAGCTATTGTGTTGTAATTAAAATCTAAATCGAAAACAACAATGACAATACTAGAAATGCTCACAAAACAAAACACTAAATTGCTTATAGTAAGCAATCTGATCATCATCCAAACTTAAACTCCTTAGCTTACTGCAAATGTATTTACGCTTTCATTTAATTTAGCAAAAAAGTCCTTTAAAATATAATTTTATTTCTCAAATGCTCTAATTGTTGTTACACCTTTACAGCACTCACTTACAACAGTTAAAACTTTACCAGTATTAACAGAGTTGAGTCTTTTAATTTCTCTATTCGAATCTCTAAACTGCCTTTAGACATAGTAAATAAAAGCAAAGCATATTAAAATGATAATGACAATCCAAGGGAACTGAACGATAATGCCAACAGGATAACTTAAAATATATTCAAAGTAAAAGTTTGCATTTAATATTTTTAATATAATTTAGATAATTTTACCCTATTGAGTATGCAAGCTGCTCCATGAATGTTTATGACTACCAAGGCAGATAATAATCAACTGAATCAACATCATCTGCTAGTCTGCTGATAATACGTCCAACAGGATTAGTATCGAAAAATTTCATTTTACTGAAAAGTATGCTTTTATTAAGCTTAAGGAACATTCTTCTGCTGCTTAGAAGAGCACATAAACAGTAAAAAAAACTTCTTAAGGCTGTTATGCCAAGATTTAAGAAAATTAAGAAGAAAAATGCTTTTGTAAAAGTGTCAAAAGTGTCATTAATATTGTTGAAAAATGAGCTTTAATGATTAGTGTAGTCTCTTAACCAAAAATCTATAAGCATTTAGCTTCCTTGCATCAAAAAATTAAAGGCTAAGAAAAACATTAAGAAAATGTATCCCATAGTACTAAAATATGTAGCAAGTGTTGAAAACTTAATTGAAGATTATTCTCTAACTTCTTCATTTTTGACTTCACTTGGTTTTTTATCTTCAAGTTTTATTTTTATCTCTTAATTTGTTTCTTCTGTATCTTCTTTCTATTTATTATAAGCATTAAATTAATATTCTAAGCAATTTAACTAAAAAAATATTGTGTTTTATATATAAGTGAATAAATAAGTAAGTAACCTCTCCAAATATTAAAAAATATTTATTAAGAATGTAAAGTTTAAAAATGTACTTGCATTAATAAAGAAGATAAAGAACTTGATCTAGAGGAGGCAAGAAAAGAATCATCAATTTATAACTTTGAATAATCGACTTCTTCTATAGATAGAGAATTATTTCTTGTTCTAGAAGGATCATCTCTATGCATATTAAAAGCCTAACTTGCTTTCATAAACTATTCAATAGCTATTGTGTCTCTAATAATAAGCCCTCTATCTATTAAAATCATTTAAGATGGGTTAATTTTACCTGCTTTCAGTATCTCAAAATGGCTTGTTACCATTAATACTGTTTTTTTCCTTTTCTCTACAAGTAATTATTTAACTGATTTTAAAAATATTCTTTTTGCAACATGAGCATCCAAGCTACTAAAAATATCATCAAGCAAATAAATATCACTATCTGAATAAACAGCTCTGCATAGTGCTATTCTCTGTTTTTATCCTCCACTTAAGTTCGATCCGTTAGGTCCTACAAGTTTTTAATCACCTTCCTTAAAGGCTTGCAAATCTTCTTTTAATTCACATACTTTTAGACATGTATCATACCACTTTTAAGAATACTCTTCTCCAAAAAGAATATTATCTCTAATTGATTTATTTTAAAGCCAATGGTTTTAAGCAACATAAGCAACTTTTCCTTCTAAATAAAATGAAGAATTGTTAATAATTTAACTATTTTCATTTTCAGATTTAGAAATCAAAGAAATACTTTTTTCAAATGCTCTTTTGTTAAAAACTTAACAATCCATTTCTTTCAGTAAAGCGTTTAGTAAAGCACTCTTTCCACTACCTAAAATTTCATAAAATTAAGTATCAAATTATTAAAATGTTTGTAAACAATTTAAATGATAATTATCTAATTAAAATTTATAAACCATGATATTTAATTTGTAGCTTTGATCAAAATTGAAATAAAAATAATAAAAATGTTTCTTTTTATCTAAATAAAATTTACAAAAAAAAAAAAAATTAAAAAAATGATAATTATCTAATTAAAATTTATAAACCATGACATTTCGTTTGTAGCTTTGATCAAAATTGAAATAAAAATAATAAAAATGTTTCTTGATTGATCATCAGTAAAAATTTAATAATTTAAAAAAAAAATCTTATTATGTAAATAATAAGGTATTTGTTCTAAGGAACAATCTAATATTTTTATATAAATTAATTTACCTGTTCTACCAACTATAACATTTAAAGTTCCTTTTTAGATTGAAAAATCTTCAATATTTAATTCAAAAGACTGTGTTTCTTATTTTTCTTCAATAAAATCATGACACTCTTTTAGTTGGCTTTCGTGTTTGTTTTGATATATTGAATCAGTAAATTCAAATTCCTCTTTTACTTCTCTGCTTGGCCACATAAATTTCATATTTTTTATTTACAATGCAATATTTTCATGAGAATTTTAAACATCACCAATAACAGTGTTCGCAAACTCGTTATTTTATCCTCCTCTATCTAGATTTATTTACCAGAGTAAAATATTATAAATGAATGTTTAGTTGCATAAAATTTAGTTAAGTAAAATTTAGCCTTAACTTAAAATTATATTTCAGGTATTTTATTCCATCAGAAAAACAGATATGACTTATTTAAAAGGATATTTAATTAATTAAGTGGATAAAAAAAAAACTAAAAATATGTAAAAATTAATATAAATTTATTTTTGATTGTCTTAAAATATCCAATTTATTTTAGGATATTTGGGTTAAGGAAATTTGATATAAATTTAGATTTATTTTTATAAAAGATTACGTTCGAATTGGGGAGTAATTTCTTTGTCTTCTAAAAACTAGCAAATTCTGTTAAAAGAAACTCTTATTTTAACGAGATATCCAATAGACCAAGGCAAAATTCCCATAGGATAAGTTAGATATCCAAATAGTGCAATTATTGTAAAGACATTTGAATCCTTTAGTTAATTTCCCTCATTTATAAAATCTACAAGGAAAAAGAAGAGCAAGAAATAGCTTATGCTGTTCCAAAAGACACTAATGACTCCATCCAGACATCTTGTGGACATAATAAAGGAATACTCTCCAGACCTAGCTTTTTCAATTTTTTTTTAGAATATTTTCTCCCATCCAAGATATTTAATGCTTTTAATTCCATCTATAACATCCTTCGTCAATACTATTCTCTTGTCTTTCATTCTATATTACTTGGAGTATAGAAACTTTTTTAAATTTAAAATATTAGTAAATTTTCCATTCAACTTAATTATAAAAAATGGTTTTATTTATTTTGGATTAATCTTATAGAAATTAGCAATTTATTTATATTAATTTAGAATTATGGAAATATATTTTAAAAATTTAAAGGTTTTACAGACATTGATAGAGTTAGAACTAAGTTAACTAAAAAGGAAGCAATTAAGACATAAATACCAGCTAAGATTGCAGCTCCTATTTTGTAATAAATTAGAACTAGAACTATTGTCAAAGTAATAATACTGCTTACAGTCTCAATTAGAGACCAATATAAACTCAAACATTAGTTGACATCTACAGTCATTATATTGTTTATATCAGGTATCTTTTAAGGGTTTTTGCTATTTTTATCACTCCCATTTGCTTTTTTAGGTTGACTCTTTTTCTAGTCTGTAGGAGAACTAAATATCTTTGACTTTAATTATTTTTAGAAGGTCACATACTAAAGTGTTGTTCTACATTCAGACTTCCACTTAGCCTAACACCAAGTGTATTAAGAGAATAAAATGTTTTTTATGAAATAAAGCATCACAATTCCAAGCAGCATAAAACTAATTTTTATTTTATAATTTGCTTCTCTTTCCTCTTTTTTTAGTTCATCTGTAATCAAATCCAAAATAAAAATAGCTCCACATCCTACAGCATTTTATAAGATTGAAAGAGTCAAACCAATAATTAATTATCTTCTCGTCATAAACCAAAAAATACTTTTCAGACTTTTTCTCTTCTTTGAGTTGAAATTTTCCTGTTTATCCTCTAAACCATCGAGATAATTTTATAGCTTTACGACGCATGGCCCAAGTTAAGTAGTTTTTGTTATATTCTAAGCCACATCTTCGTTTTGTATTTACTATCCTTAAGATGTTTATTTCTTAACCTTTTAAATGAGATTAGAAAGACCTGTAAAAAATAAATTATGGTCATCTCCTTTAACAGATTATTGAGGAAGCAGATTTTTGATAGATTAATGCTTTTCTTATTCTTATGTATGAATTTCGCTGCCTTTTAAAAGAGGTTCTTTCATATTGTAAATTAATAGCTTATTTAATTAAGTATTATTTATTTGCTCTATATTAAATTTGTTGTTTCCAATATTAATAATTTATTCAATTAAAATAACAAATAAGTGTGCATTAAAAATAATAAATAGGCATTTAATTTTTATTAAATTAAAATAAGCAACTCGAACTTATTTATTTATTTACCTTTAAATAGCATCAAATAATTTGAATATAAATAAATCAATAATATCTTCTGATACATAATAAATTAATACTACAATCTATCTATCTATCAAATGCAATTTATTATATCCCTTCTATTTTTAACAATAAAATTCTGATTATTTCTTAAGGATTACTACATACTTATAAACATTTGATTAATCATATTTAATATTGCTTAACATCCCTAACAAAATATGTAATATCTATAAATACTTCTATTTTTTCTAATCAAACATTATCCATAGTATTTAAAATATTACTTTAATTTTTTTAATTTCAAAAAGAAAATAAATGTTTTTTATTATTTATAATTAATTTTATCAAATTATTAATAAATTTTTTATACGTCTTTTTAATTATCAAAAAAAAAATGATTCAGATTTTAATTAAAATGCAATTTTGCAATTCATTGAATTACCTACCATATTTCTTTCTTTTAAAAAATAGGATTTTCATGTAAACATATATTTAAAAGTATTAAATTTAAAAATTTTTATTTTTCAAAAATATTTTGTTTTTCTTTAGTTCGAATATTAGGGTTCAAATAAGGTGCTTTTATAATTATCAATCAAGCAACGTATTATTTATTTAGGGATCTTATATTTTGCTGTTTATTTCTAAAAACAGTCCATTAATTCCTCAAATATTTTTTTTGCTCTTGTTGATTTTTTTTCTAACACTTCTTAATTAAATTCTATATGAATCTTTTGCTATTATTTTTACTATTCTTAATTTAATAAACTAATTTATTTTATTGATAATGATTCCAAATTGAAATAAAAAATTTTAAAATAAAAATTAAGAATCTAAATATATTGTTTTTCATATTAATGAATAATCCGAATATTCAAAAAATTTTGAAATAATAAATATTAGAATAATTTTGCCTAACACTAATTTAAATATAGTTGAGAAAATGTTTTTTCTCCAAATATTTAATATGTAAACATAAATACTCTTTTTTTATAATTATTATCTATAATTAAAGAGAATATTTAAAAAGGATACAATCAAAGCTATAATCAAAAATTGAAATCGTGATTAACTAATCTCCTTATTTTCAGAAACTTATTTCTTATTGTTGAATCTGATACAATATCTCCTTAATTATACCTTTTTTATATGAAGAAATTAAATAAATTTAATATCATGTTAACAAAATTATTTTTATGAAAAATATAAATAAAAAAATAAATTAATTTTACTCAATTGTAAATTCCAATTTTAAAGTTGGGAGCTAAGCACTATTTATTAACGCAGATCCCAAAAGCATAGCACATGATTTACTAAAGCTTATTTTATAATATGTTATTTTAAATAAGCTAATTAAAAATTGAGAAGAAGATCATAAATAGAAGCTTATAAATAGCTAAATAATAATTTCAAATAAATAAAAAACTAAGCTTTTGAGCAAGTTTTTTTTATTATTTAATTAAATTTAAATGATTTATTTTTAAAAAAAATGGACTATTAAAAATAATAAACTCATTTACTTCATAATTAAAGTTAATTTTGAAAGATTTTTGCAGTGTGATAAGCCATAACCTAAATTTGATGCAGTTTCTTCATTAATTTACATATCACTATAATCAAAAAACATTGTTTTTTTTAGTTTTTTTGAAATAACAAAGAATTTTAAATGAATTTTTTTAAATTTCAAATATAATAAAAAGAAGGCAGGCAGATTTAAATATTTACTAGAAACTGAATTCAAAATTTTATAGGCTTTTACATTTAGCTAAACCAACACTTAAACCATATATTCCTTTTGGACCAATTTAATTTTTACTTTAAATTGCGTTTTCTTCAAGGCTACAATTACTAATTAGAAAGATAGAAATTAATTTGTAAACTTAAGAAAAGCAAAAATAATGATAAAACTACAAAATATATAAAGAAAAAAATTAAATTGATATATTATACATTTATAAAATAAACATTTAAATATTTTTACCCTAGAGAGAGATTTAATTCTTAAATTTAATTGCATTTAGCCAACGAATTACCTATTCCTATTGCTCCCTCATCGCCTATTTTATTGTTTCTTAAAATAAAGTGTTCCATATTGAATTTAAATTAAAGATATAAATTTATTCATCAGTTAATTTTTGATCTAAACTAACAGTTAATAAAAAATTATGAAAAAGTAACTTTTTACTATAAAGAAATAAACAAACATAATAGCTTAGAACAATTTTCTAATGTGCTCAATAAAATTGAAGCTCCTTTATCTGCAATTTAATTATACCTTTTAACATATATTATTTTATTATTGAATAAGGGGTAACTTTAAAAAAATATTGTAATAAAATATGAAATAAATAATTAAAATAAAAAATATATTAAATTAATTATTATCAAATAAATATGATGATTTGAAAGCTTTTAAATTATTTTTAAATAATTTAAATTCAAAAAGATAATTTATAATTGTAAAATAAAAGTAGTTTGGCATATTTTAAATTGGTAATTTGGAGTGATATAGATTATAATTTAATAAGATTATTAAATATAATAAAGTATATTACAGTAAAGATAGATCCAAAAATTCTATATTAGAAAAGTTTGCTAAGGCATGACTGAAACTTTAAGCACCTATTATTCCAATATTGTTACCGCTTTTAAAGATAATGTAAATAATTAATGAAGTAATATGATAACAATAATCCATTATTAATTAATTTTTTTTAATTTATAGCCTAATTTTTTTGAAATCTTTTAAAGATTCGAGCAAATTATCAAAGAATTAGTTGAGCGCAAAAATAAATTAGTCAAATAAAAATAAAACTATTTGATAACACTTAAATAATTTTACAAAAGCTAAAGTGCCAATTCCTTGATATTTATGCAATTTTGTAAACTAAGAAATAAATCTGAGGCAAATTGATCATCAATTTAGCATTTACTTTTATTTATTAAATGATTAAAATAGTTTATATTTAAATAAATAAAAATTTTTTACAATAAGTCTAAATCCAAAGTCTAGAGATTATAACTATTTTTGAAAGCTTTACCAAAATTAGATGCACCCTATCTGCTAAATTTATTATGCCTATTTAAATTAGAATAATTTTTTAGTCTATCAATAGTTTAAAAGAGATAAAAAAGAAATAAAAAAAATGATTTAGAAATTTATAATTTATGTAGATTGTTAATTTCATAATAATAAACATATCAATGTATTTATTTCCTCATATTCACTAAATAAATATAAAATCAAATAAAATATTTTAAATATTTAATTTTTTTCTGATATTTAAAAATTTTTTATGTTTAATTACAAATTAAAAAAAATAGTATTGTAAAACCTAAAATGTTAAGATTGATTTCATGATATAAAGACAATTTCTTTTAAATTATTGTCATATTGAATTTTGCTAAATAAATTTTCTTATGGGTTAGATAGATCGAAGAATTATGGTATCACAAAAACAAAATAAATGTATTCATTTTTTTACCTTAACGAAATTAGTAAATTTTAAATACTAGTGCATTAACCTAAAGAAGAACCTAAACCTAATGCCCCAGCATCGCCTATTTAATTGTCACTTTTAATAAATTAAAAAAATATGATTCAATTATTTTTATATAGGAGATTAATTTATAAAAATCTTTAAAATTAAATCAAAAATCTTTTATTTATTTAGAAAATAAAAAAATAAGAATATCATTTATTTATTTGAAAAGTGTAATTAATTAGTAAATAAAATATTATTACAAAATTCTGAGTAATAAGTTTGAGAGACTAACACAGTTTGATAAAGTAGAGCATAAGCCAGAAGCCCCAATATCTCCAATTTTATTATTTCTTTAATCATAAATAAAAAAATTTATTAAAGAATTTGCTAAGTTAAAAATTTAATGAAGAATATTACTTTCAAAATATAAATTTCATCATAAAAAATAAATAAATCTCCATAATTAATTGTGATGAATTTCATTTTTATAATGAAATTTATTAAGCTTTTTTATTAATTATTTAAAAAGTAAAAAAATTTAAAAAGATAAACAAACCTTAATTCTAATTATAAATCATTGAGTTTGGTGCATTTTCCTAAAGAAGAACCTAAATCTGAAGCTCCCTAATCTCCGATTTGATTAGATCTATTAATATTTTAAATGTAAAACTTGAATAAATACAAAATTAATTTATTTTTTTTTAAGCTTAAATGATTTTGTAAGAACCTTATAAAGTTTTAAATAAATAAGAAGACATTTTATTTTACTCTAGATAAAGTGCAAGTTTTTAGAGATTACTACATTTAGATAAACCAAGCCCTAAACCTGATGCCCCTTTACAACCAATCTGACACCCTCTTTTAAAATATTAGACAAAATTAATTGATTATTTAATAAAATTCTATTAAACAAAAGAATTTTGAACACTAAATTTAATTTAAAAAAATTATCATAGCTTTTGTAAATTAATTCAAAAATAGATTGGAAAATTATGTAAAATTTAAAAAAATAAAATAAAATAAATAGTAAATCTCATGAAATATGAAAATGAAAAAAATTTTAATTATTTACCTTAACCATAGAGTCAAAATCTATAGATTTGTGTATTTTCCTAAGTTAGTACCTAAATCTGATGTCCCCTAATCTCCAATATTATTATAACTTTAATATAGATAAACTTATTTAATAATCAAAAGATAAGTAGTAAAATAAAAAAATAAAGCAATGAATTTTAAAAAATTAAAGACAGCTTTTTTGTAAATTTATTTTATGTTAAAATATATTTTAATCAATTTAAAATTAAAACTAAAAGTTAAATAAGGCAGATATCTATCTTTTACCATAATGAAATGTCTAGTGTTGAGAGTTTTGTTAGATTTTCAAAATTAGAGCAAATATTTATTACACCTTTGTCACTAATTAAATTATTACTTTAAAAAATATTGTTAAATTTGTTAAATAATAATTAAATCAAAAAAATTCATTAAATGCTATAGAAATAAGTAAATATGTATAAACTTAAATTAATTTTTTGTTTTAATATCAACTAAATGGATAAGATTAAATTAAAAATAAATAAACTATTTTTACCATAATAAGACTTTTAAATATGACAGATTAAGGCAGTATGCGAAAGCAGAGTCTATTTCTTAAGCGCATTTGTCTCCAATTCTATTTTTGCTTTATATTTAAAGGATTTGTTGTTATTTTTTTAGAGAAAATATGGGAAACATGTATAATAAGGCAAACTAATTAATAATTAATTAATTTTTATCATGATTAAAATTTTAATAAAAAGATAATAAAATCACAATAATAGTAAATATTTTACTTTATTTAAAGTGTTAAACTCGATATATTAGAACATTTCTCTAAAACTGAACCTAATGCTTTAGAAATCTCATCACCAGTTTCACTTCTTCTTAAATATTTTATTAAATAAATTTTAGTTAAATTAAATTTTAAAACTAAAAAAAAATCGAGGATACATAAAAGATTTTAATGTATAAGTTAAAAATATAAGAAAATAAATAAGATCTTTTAATTTAGTTTAATAAAAAGTTGAAAATACTAAAAATTGAATTTTAATTACGAAAGATTTAATTCCAGTTTTTAGAGATTTGTGCAATTTACTAAAGCTTTACTTAAATTTTATAAGCCTTTTATTGCATATTAAGACGAAGCTTTTACTAAGGTTTCTTCATCATAGTCTGAAAAATACTTTTCCTCATCATAATCTCCATGATATCTATATCTATTTATAAAAAACATAAATATAGGATTAAAAATTTTTTTGAAAATTTAAATAGTAAAATAGAACATGAAATTATAATTAGCTTTAATTATTTAAAGATAATTTAATGAAAATTGAAAGTATTAACTAGTTTAAATACTTAAAATTTGATATAGATAAAATTTTTAATAAATACCTAAAGTCGATTATAACTTCTGTATGAGATGATAAAGAAGAGATCAAAAACTTTTTATTGCAAAAAAATTTAAATTAAAATATGAAAATAATCAATAATATAATTACATCTTCTATACTTATTTATTCTCTTTCGTATTTGCGATACATATTTTATTTTTTATGAAAAATCTTTAAAAATTTAATTAATTATAAACAATTTCCTCAATACATTATTTATTTTTTGTATTTAAGGTAGATATTTATCCAAAATACAAATTTCTTTATCTATCTTTCAGTTAAATTAATCTTTTACAATGCTTTTTATTGAATGTAAAAGAATTAAACCCTGCATTAATTAATTTTGAAGACATAAAATATCTAAATTTTCAATATTATTTAACATCTATTTTAAAACGACAACAACTAATCTTTTATAAAGAGTTTAAACTTTTCTAATAACTTACTAAATAACTCTTTAAATTTCAGGCTGCTTCTATTTTTATGAGTAATATTTCTACTTTTAACTTTCCTTTATTGTATTTTTATGAATTAAGTTCACATAAAAAGTCTAGCTAGATATTCTAAAATTAATAGTTAAGATTATCAATTACTTCTATAATTTTTAAAGACGCTATAATATTTTTAAATTATATAGAAGAGAACACATATTTATTTATTTGAAATATCAAATCAGTTTTAATTAAGATTTTATAAACTAACTATCCTAATAATTTACTTAATAAATTTCTAAATATCAGATTATTTTTAACTATAGCTTATTGTATTTTTATGAATTAAATAAGTTTACATTACATATTTACATACAGACTGAATCTAAAATTAATGGTTAGAATATTTTTTACAGATGCTTTAAAATTTTTAAATTATGTAGAAAAGATCATTTATTCATTTGTTTGAAATAACAAACATGTATAATTAAGAGTTTAAACTTTCCTAATAATTTATTAAATAAATTTTTAAATGCCAAATTATTTCTATTTTAAAATGTACCATTTTTACTTTTAACTATACTTTATTACATTTTTATGAAAAAAATAAGTTTACATTGCATACTTGCAAGTACTAAAATTAAAATGGTTAAGAATATCTATTAGTTCTATATTTTTTATAGACACTTTAAACTTTTAAATTATATAGAAAAGAGTATCTTATTGGTTGATTTATTTGAAACAAATATATTTGTTGTATTTTTATCTATCTAAAGTTTAAAAACAAAAAATATTTACTTGAATTTAATTTCTATCTATTCATAAAATTATTTTTTTCATAGAAAATCTTATATATATTATTTTGTATAATTTGTTTGTTAACAGTGTCAGTAATTTTATTGATGATTTAGAGAAAGAAATTTTAAAATGGTTGTAAAAGAATAATTTATATTTGCAATGAATTAATCAGACACTTTAATATTTATAAAATTATATAGAAAAATGAGTTTGAAAAATCATACATAATTAATTAATTAAAAAACAAAAAAAAAAAATTTTTTCTATATTCAATCACTAATACACAATAAATACAAAAAAAGTACATATAATAGATAGGCAGAATTATCGCCGGTCCTACAATAATAAACCCAACCCTAACCATATTTTAAGCATTATTTTAAGATTTTAATTATGCTCTTCATATTACTTTAACAATTTAAGATGAATTATACTATACAGTATATTAATTAATTTGAGATTTATTGTTTAACTATAGTTGAGATAATGTTTTTTTTCCAAATATTTAATACATAAACATAAATGCTCTTTCTTATAATATTATATATAATTAATGAGAATATTTAAATAGGTTAAAAGCCAAAACTAAAATCAAAAATTGAAATCGTGATTAACTAATCTCTTTATTTTCAGAAATTTATTTCTTATTGTTTAATCTGATACTTAATCTCCTTAATTATAACTTTTTTATATGAAGAAATTAAATAAATTGATATCATTTAAATAAAATTATTTTTTGAAATTAATTATTTTTATGAAAAATAGAAAAAATAAAATAAATTAAATTTACTCAAATGTAAAACCCAAATTTAAAGTTGGGAGCTAAATGCTATTTATTAAAGCAGATCCCAAAAGCAAAGCACATGATTTACTAAAACTTATTTAATAAAATGTTTGTTTAAGTATGCTAATGAAAAATTGATAAGAAGATCATAAATAAAAGCTTGTAAATAGTAATATAAAAATTTCTAATAAATAAAAACTAAGTTTTTGAGAAAGCTTCCTTCCTTCCTTTCTTTATTAATTAATTAAAAAAATAAACTCATTTACTTCATATTTAAAGTTAATTTTGAAAGATTTTTGCAGTATGATAAGCCAGAACCTAAATTTGATGCAGTTTCTTCATTAATTTAAATATCACTATTATCAAAAGATATCATTTTTTTTAAAGTTTTTTTGAAAAAAACAAATAATTTTATCTTAATATTTTTTAAAAAAAGAAGGTAGATTTAAATATTTACTAGAAACTTAATTCAAGATTTTATAGGTTTTTACATTTAGCTATGCCAAAACTTAAACCATATATTCCTTTTGGACCAATTTAATTTTGACTTTTAATTGAGTTGTCTTCAAAGTCATAATTACTAATTTGAAAGATAGAAAATTAATTTGTAAATTTAATAAAATATAAATCCTGATAAAATTGGCTTTATAAATTAAATATATTTAATTAAATTAAAATTCTATCAAATTATTGAAATTAATACATTTCTAAAATAAAAATTTAAACATTTTTACCTTAGAGAGAGAGTTAGTTCTTAAACTTAATTGCATTTAGCCAACTAATTACCTATTCCTATAGCTCCCTCATCACCTATTTTATTGTTACTTAAAATAAAGTGTTCCATTTTGAATTTAAATTAAAGAAAAAAATTTATTCATAAGTTAAATTAATATATTAATTTAAATTAAAACTAATAAAAATATTATGGAAAAGTAAATTTTTACCCTAATTAAACACGCAAATACAATAGCTTAGAACAATTTTCTAATGTGCTCAATAAAATTGAAGCTCCTTCATCTTCGATTTAATTATACCTTTTATAGTTGATTATTTTATTATTGAATCAAAAAAAATAAGATAATTTGAATTATAAAAGAAATTTATAATTTTAAAACAAAAATAATTTGGCTTATTTTAAAATATGATAATTTCGAGTGATATAGGTTAGAACGAAACAGGAGATAAGATTATTAAATATAATAAAGTATACTACATTAAATTTAGTTCCAAAAATTCCAAATTAGAAAAGCTTGCAAAGGCATGACTGAAACTTGAAGCACCTATTATTCCAATATTGTTACCGCTTTTAAAGATAATGTAAATAATTAATGTAAGTAATATGATAACAATAATCCATTATTAATTAATGTTTCTTAATTGAAGCCTAAATTTTTTGAAATTTTTAAAGGATTTAAGTAAATTATTAAAGAATTTATAGAGTGCAAAAAAAATAAATTAGTTAAATGAAAATAAAACTATTTGTTATGACTTAAATAATTTTTACTAAAGCTAAAGTGTCATGTCCTTGATATTTATGCAATTTCGTAAACTATGAAATAAATATGAAGCAAATTGATCATCAATTTAGCATTTACTTTTATTTATTAAATGGTTAAAATAATTTATATTTAAAAATTAAGACTTATAAAAAATTGTAGCTTTTTAGTAAACAAAAATTTTACTATAAGTCTAAAACCAAATCCTAGAGATTAGAACTATTTTTGAAAGCTTTGCCAAAATCAGATGCACCATATCCGCTAAATTTATTATTCCTATTTAAATTAAAAAAATTTTTTGTTTGTCACTAGTTTAAATGAGATAAAAAAGGAGTAAAAAAAACATTGAAAAACTTATATTTATAAAATGCAAAAGAATATACCCTAAATCCTCATTAATTAAGGATACCCCTTCACCTCCCCCCCCCCCCCCATCTTTGGAGCCAAGATAAATAATTTTTTTAGTTATAAATAAATTCTCTTATGAATTAGATGGAAGAATTATGGTATCACAAAAATAAATAAATACATTGATTTCTTTACCTTAACTAGATCTCTAAATTTTAGATACTAGTGCATTAACCTATAGAAGAACCTAAACCTATTGCCCCAGCATAACCTATTTAATTGTCTCTTTTAATAAATAATACAAATATATTTATTAATTTAAAATAAGGAGATTAATTTATGTATCTTTTAAATTAAATAAATCACTTTAATTTATTTACAAAATAAATAAATAAATAAATATTTGTTGAAAAATGAGCAAACATTTTGACTACAAATCATTTATTTGAAAAGTGTAATTAATTAGTAAATAAAATATTATTACTAAACAATGAGTAATAAGTTTGTGAGATTAACACAATTTGATAAAGTAGAACATAAACCAGAAGCCCCTATATCTCCAATTTTATTATTTCTTTTATTATAAATAAATTTATTTTTTCAAAATATAAATTTCATAATAAAAAATAAATAAATAAATAAATATCCATAATTAAGTATGGTGAATTAATTGCTTTTTTTTAGAGAAATTTATTAAGCTTTTTTATTAAAAATTTAAAAAGTAAAAATATTTAAAAAGAAAAACAAACCCTAATTCTAATTATAAATCATTGAGTTTGGTGCATTCTCCTAAAGAAGAACCTAAATCTGAGGCTCCTTAATCTCCGATTTGATTATATCTATTAATGTTTTAAATTTAAATCTTCAATAAACACCTAAAAATAAAAATTAATTTAATTTTTTTTGAAGTTTAAATGATTTTATAAGAACCTTATGGAGTTTTAAATAAATAAAAATAACAAGATATTTTATTTTACGATAGATAAAGTTTAAGTATTTAGAGATTAATACATTAAGATAAGCCAAACCCTAAACCTGATGCACCTCCACAACCAATCTGACACTATCTTTTAAAATATTAGATAAATTGATTGATTATTTAATCAAATTCTAAACAAGATAATTTTGAAAAAGGAATTTTATTAAAGCAAATTATCATCACTTCTGTAAATTAATTCATAAATAGATTGGAAAATTATGTAAAATTTAAAAAATTAAAAAAAAATAAATAGTAAATCTCATGAAATATGAAAATGAAAAAATATTTATTTGTTTACCTCAACCATAGAGTCAAAAACGATAGATTTTTGTATTTTCCTAAGTTAGTACTTAAGTCTGAAGTCCCCTAATCGCCAATTTTATTATCGCTTTAATATAGTTAAACTTATTTAATAATCAAAAAAGGAGCAGTAAAATAAAAAAATAAAGTAATTAATTTTAAAAAAATTAAAGACGTCTTTTTAGTTTATTTATTTAGTATTAGAATATATTTTAATCAAATTGAAATTAAAACTAAAAGTTAAATAAAATAGATATCTATCTTTTACCATAGTGAAATGTCTAATGTTGTGAGTTTGGTCAGATTTTCAAAATTAGAACAAATATTTCTCACACCTTTGTCACTAATTAAATTATCACTTTAAAAAATATTGTTAAATTTGTTAAAAAATAAATATTAACTAAAAGGGTTTAAATCAAAAAATTTGACAAATTTCATTAAATATTTTAGAAATAAATACATATGTAGATAAGTAAAGAGTTTATTTAATTAATATAAAGAATAGAAAAACTTAAATTAATTTTTTGTTTTTATATCAAATAAATTCATAAGATTAAATTAAAAATAAATAAACTGTTTTTACCATAATAAGACTTTTAAATATGACAGATTAAGGCAGCACGCGAAAGCAGAGTCTATTTCTTAAGCGCATTTGTCTCCAATTCTATTTTTACTTATTTTTTAAGGAATTTGTTATTATTTATTTAGAGAGAATAAAAAAAAGGTTAGTAAATTTTAAATAAAATTTAGCAATAAAAATAATAGTTGAAAGAGAATATGGGAAACATGTATAATCAGCAAAACTAATTAATAATTCATTAATTAATTTTATCATGATTAATTTTAATAAAAAGATAATGATATCACAATAAAAGTAAATATTTTACTTTATGTAAAGATTTAAACTCGATATATTAGAACATTTTTCTAAAACAGAACCTAATGCTTAAGAAATCTCATCACCAGTTTCACTTTTTCTTAAATATTTTATTATATAAATTTTATTTATAATAATTATTAAAAGTCAAAAAAAATCGAGATAAATAAAAGATTTTAAGATAAAAGTTAAAAAATATATAAAAATAAAAAAGTCCTTTTAATTTTTTAATAAAAAGTTGAAAATACTAAAAATGAAATTTAATTACGAAAGATCTAATTCCAGTTTTTAGAGATTAGTGCAATTTACTAATACTTTACTTAAATTTTATAAGCCTTTTATTGCATGTTAAGACGAGGCTTTTACTAAGGTTTCTTCATCAGAGTCTGAAAAATACTTTTCCTCATCATAATCTCCATAATATCTATATCTAATTATGAAAAATATAAACATATGATCAAAAGTATATTTGAAAGATTAAATAGTAAAATAGAACATTAAATTATAATTAGTTTTAATTATCCAATGATAATTTAATTAATATTGAAAGAAAAAACTAATTTAAATATTTAAAAATGGATTTAGATAAAAGTTTTAATAAATACCTAAAGTCGATAATAGCTTCTGTATGAGATGATAAAGAAGAGATCAAAAACTTTATATCGCAAAAAAAGTTAAATAAAAATATGAAAATAATAAAAATATAATTACATCTTCTATGCTTATATATTTTCTTTCTTGAAAGTGATGCATTTTTTATTTGTTATTAAAATCTTTAAAAATTTAATTAATTTTAAACAATTCCTCAATAAATTATTTTTTGTATTTAAGGCAGATATTAATCGAAAATACAAATTTCTATATCAATCTATCTATTTAAATTAATCTTTTACAAAATTTTTTATTTTATGTAAAAGAATAAAACCCTACATTAATTATTAAGACATATAAATTTTGTTTGAATTTTATTTAATATTTATTTTTAAATGAGAACAACTTAGCAACAATAAAGAGTTAAACTTTTTTAATAGTTTACTAAATAAATTTTTAAATATCAGTCTGCTTCTATTTTTATATAAACTATTTTTACTTTTAACTTTTCTTTATTGTATTTTTAAGAATTGAGTTCACATTAAAAGTCTAGATATTCTATCTAAAATTAATGATTAAGACTATCTATTACTTCTATATTTTTGTAAAGACACTTTAAAGTTTTTAAATTATATAGAAAAAAGAGCATAAATGTATTTGTTCGGAATACAAAATTAGTTTTAATTAAGATTTTATAAGCTTTCCTAATAATTTACTAAATAAATTTCTAAAAGATCAGATTTTTTTTATTTTAATTTGGTCTATTTTTACTTTTAATAATTGTTTATTCTTTTTTTATGATTTAAATTTGTTTACATTACTTATTTACTAACATAATCTAAAATTAATGGTTAAGATATTAATTATTTCTTTATCTTTATATTCGCTTTAAAAATTTTAAATTATAAAGAAAAGATCAAATATTCATTTGTTTGAAATCATAAATATGTTTAATTAAGAGCTTAAACTTATGTAATAATTTACTAAATAAATTTTTAAATGTCAAATTGTTTCTATTTTAATATGTACCATTTTTACTCTTAACTATCATTTATTGTATTTTTATGAATGAAATAAATTTACATTACATACTTACAGATTCTAAAATTAATGGTTAAGAATATCTATTAGCTCTATATTTTTTATAGACGCTTTTCACTTTTAAATTATATAGAAAAGAGTATCTTATCAATGATGTATTTGAAATGAAAATATTTATTGTATTTTTATCTATCTAAGTTTAAATACAAAAAATATTACTTGTATCTAATTTCATTTAATTCATAAAATTATTTTTTTCAAAGAAAATCCAAAATAATTTAATTTATAAATTTGTGTAATTTATTTGTTAATAGAATCAGTTATTTTATTGATTATGCATTGTTCGCAAATTTTAAATTTGTTATTTAGAATCGAATTTTTAATTTACTTGCTAAACAATTTAGTTAATAAGCTTTTATTAATTGTATTTATTCAACATATACAACTTATGCCTATCTCATTTTAAAGATTAAGATTTTTTTTATTAGTAATTTGATACAATAAAGAAGAGCAAATAGGCATTAAAAATATAAATAATTATAATTTTTTCAAAACTGGATTTATTCTCTTCTCATTTTTATTTTAAAACTGGCAATCATTCATTAGGCCAAGAGAGGGACTTTATTTAGTACTGCGCTTTCATTTATTGTATATACTTCAACGATTACCTATTTTAATTACATTTCTACACAGTATAATACTAATAAAATCGACCCAGTCTTTAGGTCTTAAAGTATAATAAGTTAACATTCAATTGAAGCAGAACTAAATTGTGATTTATTTGGGTTTAGATTTGAATAGGGCAGTAGTTCTTATGAGTAAATATACCCTAAAAACTAAACTTATTTGGTATATTTAGCTTTTCTTTAATATACTACTCCTAATGTTAACTCACTAATTCCACTAAATATTACTGATTGTACAAATCCTAATCTTGTAGGATTCAAATGTCTGGCTGGATTTTTCAAATGTAAAGAACTATACACTGTTTCTTAATACTGATAAAAATATGAAATCTACAGTTTAAGTACAAACTTATAGTTGTAGGGATATTGATACTTTGAAAACTACTGTTCTTGATAATTGTGCAGATTAATCTCTAATTGATAGCATGATTAATTGTATAAACTCTATTTTAAGGTTTAAAATTTATATCTCAATATAATACCGCCTCTCAAAAGAAAAAATTTGACTATAGAAATGCTTATGTCTACACAGTGACTAATTAGTAAATAGCAACTTAATTAAAAACCCAAATTTAAAGATAAAATAAGGTTTAATAGTGCAGTCATCAAAAAATTTTACATCTCAAATTTAATGGATTTAATAATATTAAAGTTTTTATAGAAATTATGCTCTTACACAGATAGGAGCATAAGGGAATAGTGTGATGATATTAATGGTTGATGAGATCATTTAACATAATACATTGTCTCAGGTTTTAGAGTTAGTACGCAGTATATTTACTCTATTAATGATGTTTGGAATTTTTGGTAGAATAGCTTCTTAAAAATCAATTTAATAAGACTTATTAATGCTTTTCTTAAAGAATATATATCAAGATAATTATTTAGGTATATTTAAAAAAGCTAATAATAATATTCTAAGCAAATAATAATAAACTTAACAATAAATTCAAACTAACCAAGAAAATTTAGTATGTAGATAATTTGAGGCCAAATAAACAGATGATGATAAAATGTAAGAAATGGACTAGTAAATAAGTAAATAAGTAAGTAAGTAACTATTCCAGTATTTTATAATAGACAAAAAAAATTTCTGGACATAGAATAATTAAGCAACAATAACACAAGCAATATTGAAAATGTGCTATTTATACCAATAATTAACTAATAATTGTTAATCACCTTAATCTATATATTAATCAATTTATGAAAATAAAAAATTGATGAAATTAATTAAGAAAACTCAAATAAACATAGACACACAATTAACGAAAAAGCATCTGATAATTACTATTTAGGCACAAATCAAGGGTAAAAATAGTAAATAGAAAAATTTTCAAGCTATATTTCTTAAAATTTTGTTGCTAATAAAGTTAATTTTTACTGAAGATTGAAAATCTAAATTTAGAATTTTTTTAAGTGAGCTAAAGCAATACATAAATTTAAAATACCATGTGAACCAGCATTGATTGCGTTTTTTTTATTTAAAGCATTTAAGTTTTTAAAATGGAAAATAAAAATTAAGAAATGAAAAACAATCATTAAATTGTGTAAAACATTTTATAAAATTTTAATTTTTACTTATTGATTCAGATTGGCTTGTTATGGGATCTATTGAATGAATATTTTATTATTCACTTTTTAAAATTAAAAAATATAAGTAGAAAGTGATTCTTCTTAATTTTATAATTCATTATTCTTTTTAGATTGATAAAATATTAAAAAAACTTTATTCTAAAAAAGACTTAATGATTAATAAATGTAAGTTGTAAGATTGAAAAATAAATTTGAAATTTTTTGTTAATAAGTTTTTTTTATTAAAAGAAATTATTTAAAATAGCCACAAAAACTAAATAGATGATTTTGCTTAAGTTTCTGTTAGCAGAAAAACAACTTATTTTATAGATTTTAAAATATATGCTGAAAAATATAAAGCGAAATATAAGTTGAACCTGAATTTCTAAAATATTTTTACTGTATTTTAAATAATCTTCTTCAATAATAAGTAATTTACTCTTTAAACAAAATATAAATAGGTTTTTAATTTCATAAATGAATGCACTTAAAATCAAATCATTTTTTTTCATAATAATATATACCGATTACTCTTAGTTTAATTAAATGCTGCCGACAACAAGTTTTTTGTATATATTTTTACACTTATGTATTAAAAAACTTATTGTCATAAAACGCATAAAAAAAAAGAGTATAAGAAATAAGGTATGTAACAAATCTTTTTTAACTTAAATACTTAAATTTGTAAATAAAATTTATTTTTATTTTTATTCACCTACCAAAGACATAATCATTTTTTGAAATATAAAATTATTAAATTAGTTTCTTCTCTAAATTTTGATTGATTTGTAAAAATACTCACGTTTTTATACAATTTTTTTGGATTTAGGAGATGTTTGAGGCTATAAATATAATAAGAGGGAACAGTGGTATTATTAAATTAAATAAATTAACTATTAAGAATTTAATCATTAATTAAGGCTGGCTGGTGGTAGAATCAATTTAAAAATAAGGAAGTAGAATTGAATTCTTAATTTACTTGCAATTAAATTTTATATGTAAGCTTCTTATTAATTTTATTAATTCTATATATATACCTTTAATGCCTATCTTATTTTAAAGGTTAAGACTAAAATTTATATTATTAGCAATTAATTTCAAAAAAATAGAAAAACAAACAGGCATAAAAAAATTTAAAATAAAATGATTTTTTAAAAGTTAGATATATTCTCTTCTCAGTTTTATTTTAACACTGGTATTCATTAGGCAAAGAGAGGGACTTTCTTTGGAAGTCTGCTTTCATTTACTGTATTTACTACAACAATTGCCTATTTTGTTTACATTTTTACGCAGTATGTTACCAATCAAATTGACCCAATCTTTAGATCTTAAAGTATAATAAGTTAAAATTTAATTGAGACAGATTTAAATAATGACTTAGTTGGGTTTAGATTTGAATATGGCAGTAGTTCTTATGAAGAATTATATCCTAAAAACTATACTTATTTGGTATATTTAGCCTATTTCTAATACAGTACTCCTGATGATAGCATACTAATTCCGCTAAATGTTACTGACTGTACCAATCCTAATCTTGAAGGATTCAAATGTCTGGATTTTTCAAATGTAAAAAACTATACACTGCTTCTGAACACAGATAAAAATATGAAATCCACTGTTTTGATATAAACTTATGGTTGCAGAGATATTGATTCTTAGAAAACAACTATTCCTGATAATTGTGCAGATTAATCTCTAATTGATAGCATGATTAATGGTATAAACTCTATTTTGAGGTTTAAAATTTACACATCTCAATATAATACCGCAACTCAAAAGAAAGAAGTAAACTATAGAAACGCATATGTCTACACAGTAGCTAATTAGTAAATAGTAAGTCAATTAAAAACCCAAATTTAAAATACTTAGATAAAATAAGGTTTAATAGTGTAGTCATCAACCAATTTTACATCTCCAATTTAATGGACTTAATAAGATTAAAGTATTGATAGAAATTATGCTCTTACATAGATTGGAGCAGGAGGATATAGTGTGATGATATTAATGGTCGATGAGATCATTTAGCATATTCAAATTTAATACCCTACATTACCTCAAGTTTTAGCGTTAGTAAGCAGTGTATTTACTCTATTAATGATGTTTGGAATTTTTGGTAGAATAGCCTCTTAAAAATCAATTTAGTAAGACTTATTAATGCTTTTCTTAAAGAGTATATATCAAGATAACTATTTAGGTATATTTAAAAAAACTAATAATAACAACACTCTAAGCTAATAATAATAAATTCAAACAAATCAATAAAATTTAGTTGATGGAGAATTAAGATAAAGTGAGGCCAAAGAAACAGATGATGATAAAATTTAAGAAAAAGACTAGTAAGTAACTATTCCAGCGTTTTATAATAGATAAAAAATATCTTTGGACATAGAATAATTAAGTAATAATAATAATAATGAAAATCTGCTATTATCGCCTAATAATTATCAATAAAATAATAATAGTTAATCACAACAACCACCATAATCAACAGAATCGATATATTAATTAATTTTTGAAAATAATATAATTGATGAAATTAATTAAGAAAACTCAAATAATAATAGGCATACAATTAATGAAATAGAATCTGATAATTAATAGTCAGAAAGAAATCAAATGTAAAACTATTAAAAAGGAAAATTTTCAAGTTATATTTAAAAAAATAATATTAATAGAAAATATAATTTTAATAATCGGATTAGCAAGCTATAATTTAAACCTTAAAATAAGAAGCTCGATGGTATTAATAGTAAAAAAGAAGACCTGATGGATAATTTGAAAGCCATTTAAGATATCAACTGCTCCAACAAAACACAATAATTAAGAATTATAAGGTATTGATTTATTTATTTTTTCAATTTTTATTTCAATATAATTATTTATAAAGAGAAAAAATGGAGGTTATAAATAAAAAGCAACTATAAAATATTGAGTAGTAAATAAGAAAAGAATTGAATATTTTTAACTTCATTAAGGATATCATCTTACTAAAGAAAGCTATTATGATGATACTAACTAAAGAATAACTAGCAGCTCTCCATCTTGTAGGTTGTTCTTCAAGTTACTTAAACGTAGATTTAAATAATGTTGATTCTGATATAGATGAATTAGGTAATTTTATTTATTCATTTTTTTTAATAATATTTAATTTTAATAATCAACAGAACAAAAGTTAAATTTAAGCCACTATGAAAAGCAGTTAGCCATTTTATAGTCAGAGAAGTTCTAAAGTTAGTACTTTCAAGATTTCTTATCAAAATGCTCTGATGAAGAAAATATAAACGAAATAGATATGAAAATTTTATCATCAATATAAAAATGTCACTTAAATTGATTAAAAATACTAATATTTTATATAATTTATATATGAAGAAATGAAAATTATTTATGATTTGCTTAAATATAATATAATACACATACTTTTAAAATAATTATTAAAATTATTTAGTTTATAAATACCTTAATTCCTCAAAACTCGCAATTCGCAATAAGCTAAAAAAAATAGTGAAGCTGTGGGTAGTGGAAAATAAATAAAGGAATAATCATGTTTGACTAATCTTTGAAAAGGAAAATTTTCAATTTATATGTAAATAATTTTCTTTAACAATTAAATTTATAAAAAAAAATATCTGATAAAATTTGACTGAAATTAAATTGTTGAATTTCATTAGATTAGTTAATGATTGATTAATTTGTTATTTAGATATTTATGTTTATTTGCTTTTTTATAAACAACAATTAAATTTTAAATTAAAATATTTTAAGTAAGAATTTTTAAATATAAAAAATAATTTTGTAAATATAAATTAAATATTAATATTTTTCAATCTCAACTAAATAATGAATTTGACAAAAAAATTGAATAGTAATCTAAATTATAATTTAAGTTACATATAGATAGATATTTTACAATTTTTTATTAATTAATAAAAAATTATTTTATTATTCTCATTTGAAATTTAATAACATAAGAATAATAAAAGTAACTTGTTTCTCTTTTCAGAAATTTTTATTTATTTATTTAATTTGTAGAATTTTTAAAAATATGTTAAAAAATACTAAGCAAAATATAAGTTGAGCGTTAATTTTCAAAATATTTTTTATGAATAACTTATTGAAATATTTAGGAATTTACTCTTTAAATAAAAAATAATTTTTAATTTCTTAAATTAATTTAAAAAATACCTAATTATTTTTCTTCCATTATAATATATTTTGGTTCCTTTAAACTAAAATACTTAAATTTGAAAATGTAAAATAAAATATTTTTTTATTTTGATTCACCTGCCAAATATATAATAATTTTTTGAATAAAAAACTATACATTCAATGAATTTCTTCTATTAATAGATTATAATTGCTTTTAAATAAAATGCCTGGGTTTTTATGCAATTTTATTTTTAAATTAAGGAGACGTGTTAAGACTATAATTATATTATAAGGTAAGTGGTGATATTATTAAATTAAAGAGTGTCAAATAATTTATAAATATGGCTGGTGGTAGAATCAATTAAGATAAAAGAAAATTAAGGCAAATTCTTAATTACTAGCCTAAAACATTTAAATTTTTTAATTTTTATTTATTTAATCAATATATACCACTAATTCCTATCTAATTTTAAAGATTAAGATGAAAATTTTTATTATTAGTTATTTGATAGAAAAAAGAAAAGCAAACCGGCATAAAAAAATTTAAAACAATATGATTTTTTCAAAACTAGATTTTTTCTCTTCTCAGTTTTCTTTTAACACTGGTAATCATTAGGCCAAGAGAGGGACTTTATTTGGAGCTCTACTCTCATTTATTGTATTTACTGCAACGATTGTGTATTTTGTTTACATTTTTACGCAATATGTTACCAATCAAATAGACCCAATCTATAGATCTTAAAATATAATAAGTTAATACTAAATCGAGACAGAATTAAACAGCGATTTGATTGGGTTTAGATTTGAATATGGAATTAGTTCTTATGAAGAATTATATCCTAAAAACTAAACTTATTTGGTATAATTAGCCTATCTTTAATACATTACTCCTGATATTAGCATACTAATCCCATTAAATGTTACTGACTGTACAAATCCTGATCTTAAAGGATTCAAATGCCTGGATTTTTCAAATGTATAGAACTATACATTGTTTCTGAACACGGATAAAAATACGAGATCTACAGTTTAGGTACTAACTTATGGTTGCAGAGATATTGATACTTTGAAAACCACTGTTCCTGATGATTGTGCAGATCAATCTCTAATTGATAGTATGATTAATGGTATAAACTCTATTATGAGGTTTAAAATTTAGACATCTCAATATAATACAGTCACTCAATAGAAGGAAGTTAACTATAGAAATGCATATGTCTACACTGTGGCTAATTAGTAAATATTAACTCAATTAAAAACCCAAATTTAATATACTTAGATAAAAGAAGGTTTAATAGTGTAATCATCAAACAATTTTACATCACCAATTTAATGTACTTAATCAGATTAAGGTATTGATAGAAATTATGCTCTTGTCCAAATAGGAGCAGGAGCTTATAGCATGATGATATTAATGATAGATGAGGTTGTTTAGCATATTTAAATTTAATATCCTACATTGCCTCAGGTTTTAGCCTTAGTAAGCAGTATATTTACTCTATTAATGATGTTTGGTATTTTTGGAAGAATGGTTTCATAAAAATCAATTTAGTAAGACTTATTAATGCTTTTCTTAAAGAGTATATATCAAGATAACTATTTAGGTATATTTAAAAAAGCTAATAATAATATTCTAAGCAAATAATAATAAATGTAAACGAATCAAGAGAATTTAATATGTGGAGAATTAAGACAAAGTGAGTCCAAAGAAACAGATGATGATAAAATGCAAGTAAAAGACGAGTAAATAACTATTTTAGCTTTTTAAAATAGATAAAAAAAATTTTAGGGCATAGAAAAATTAAGTAACAATAACACATACAATATTTCAAATCTGTTATTTGCGTCTAATAGCTATCAATCAAGTAATAATAGTTAATCACCATAATAATTGATGTATTAATCTATTTATGAAAAAAAAATAATCGATGAATTTAATTAAGAAGAATCAAATAAGAATAGACATATAAATAATCAAATAGAAGACTATTAAAATTCAGACAATAATCGAAAGAAAAACTAGTAAAAACAAAATTTTTCTTGCTACATTTCTTAAAGTAATATGAATAGAAAATATAATTTTAATAATCGGATTAGCCAATTTTAGTCTAAACCTTAAAATAAGAATCAATATGGAATTAATAACAAAAATAACCTTATGGAAAATTTGAAAGTCATTTAAGATATCAATTGCTCCAAAAAAATATAATAAGACTTAAGAAATATAAGGTATTAATTTAATTATTTTTCAAATTATACATTTCAATATACTCATATAAATAGAAAAAAAATGGAGGATATAAATAAAAAGCAACTATAAAAAATAGAGCAGTAAATAAAAAAAGAAGTGAATATTTTTAACTTTATTAAGGATATCATCTTACTAAAAAAAGCTATTATGATGATGCTAACTAAAGAATAATTAGCAGCTCTCCACCTTGTAGGCTGTTCTTCAAATTACTTTGATGTAGATTTAAATAGCGTTGAAGCTGATGTAAATGAATAAGGTGATTTTATTCATTTTTTAATATTTTTTACCATATTTTAACCTTATATTATTATTAAATAGAGCAAAAGTTAAATTTAAGCCACTATGAAAAACAATTAGCCATTTTATAGTCAGAGAAATTCTAAAGTTAGTACTTTCAAGATTTCTTATCAAAGTGTTCTGATGATGAAAATATAAACGAAGTAGACATCAGAATTTTATCATCAATAAAAAAATGTCACTTAAATTGATTAAAAAACTAATATTTTATATAATGTATTTATGTAGAAATAAAAATATGATTTGCTTTCATTCAAGATAATGTTATAAAAATAATTCATTCATTCAGTTTATAAAAAAATTTAATTTTTTACATTTCAGAGAAACATTAAAAAATTATTTTTGCTTCAAAAATTTTAAATTATTTCCTCTAAATCCAATTATTTATGATATTACAAAACTTAAAAATATATATTAAAATTTAATCATGCACTATTAGTGCAATTTTAGCGAAGTTTGAAGAAACTTCAAATTAATTGATATCCTACATTGATTCAGGTTTTAGCGTTAGTGAGTAGCATTTTTACTCTATTGATGATAATAGGAATTTTTGGAAGAATGGTCTCTCAAAAATCGATTAAATCAGACGTATTAAAATTTTTCTTAAAATATGTACTAATAGAACTATTTGGGGATACTAAAAAAAGCTAATAATAATATTAAATAGTAATAGGATTAATAGGGCACTTAAATAAATAAAAATAATTTAGTTGGTGGGGAATAATAAAAATAAACTTAATAAAGGTAGGATGATAAGTAATAAGAAATTGAATTATAAGTAAATGTTCCAACTTTTTAAAATAAATAGAATAAATTATTGAGTTTAGTGGAACTAAGTAATAAACAAATTTTGAAAATTTAATATCTGCGCCTAGTAACTTTCTAACAAAAAATAATACCTAATCACCATAATCTTTTTATCCGTAAGTTAATCAAAAAACTAATATTGATGAAGTTAATATAGAAAATTCAAATAAGCATAGACATACTATTATTGTTGAGGAATCTGATATTTAAAATTCAGACGAATTAGTGAAGTAGAACTTGTAAAAATAATACTTTTCAAGTTATATTTCTCAAAAAAGCTATTTTAGAAAACCAAATTTTAAATAAAATATTGATTAATCTGAGTTTTTATTTAAAAATTAAAAACCATATGAATTGATATCAGAAAAGCAGATCTGATAGATGATCTGTAAGCTATTTAAGATCTAAATTGCCGCAACAAAATGTAAAAATATTTAAGAAATATTAAGCATAAATTTATTTAATAGTTAGTCCTTTTAACAAAAATAATTTAAAAAAAGAAATGAATTGATGATATTAATTGAAAGCATCTATAAAAAGTTGAGTAGTAAATACGAAAAGAAATGAATATTTTTAATTTTATTAAGGATATCATCCTTCTAAAAAAAGCTGTTATGATGATACTAAAAAAAGACTAACTAGCAGCTCTTCATCTTGTAGGATGATCTTCAAGTTACTTTAATATAGATTTAAGTAATTTTAGATCTGATACTGAAGGAAAGATGATTTTAATTTTTATTTATTAACATTCTAATTATTTTATCATTAACAAAACTAAAGTAAAATTTAAGCCATTATGAAAATTAGCTAGCCATTTTATAATCAAAGCAGGTCTAAAATTAGTTTATCTAAGATTTCTTATAAAAATTCTCTCTCTGATAATCAAAATGTAAATGAAATAGATATCAGAATATTATCTTCAATTAAAAAATATCATTTAAACTGATTAAATGTATTTATAAGTATGGCGTTTTGTCTTAATTTATATTGTGAGATTGTATCAAAAAAACTGATCACATTTATTTAATTTTTTTTTTGCTACTAATTTTTACTGACTGACCACACAAATCAATATATTTTTAATATTTTTTAAACTAATTAAAATTTTTATTACTTTGAATATTGATGAACTTCATTTTTTAATTAGAATCCTTTAAATTTTATCATATTTCAATGAAGCAATTAGATAACAAATAAGGTTTACTTATCTAAAAAAATAAGGAAATAATTACTTTTTTTTATATTTGTTAAAAACAAGCATCAATTATTATTTAAAAAGTAGAACTTAAAAACATAATCAAAAACAACAATAAGAACAAATAAACAATATGCTCTTTTCAATATTTGATTTATTTTCTTAACCTTTTTCTTTTAACACTGGCAACTATTAGTTAAAAAGAGGTACTTGTGTAGGCACAATCATTTCATTTGCTGTCTTTTTTGTCACTATTTCATATTTTATTTACATATTATAGTAATATGCTTAAAATTAAATAGATCCAATTTTTAGATCCTAAAGCTTTATCAGCCAAGATTAAATAGAAACTCCTCTAAAAAGCGAATTAGTTGGATTTAGATTTGAATCAGATAATTCTATTAACTTATCTGTTAATAGGACTTATTTGGTTTATTTAGCCTTCCTTTAATATAATTCTGCTAATTTAAGTTAATTCATACCTATTAATATAGTTGATTGCACAAATCCAAATTTATAAGGATTTAAATGCCTCGATTTTACAAGCGTATAAAACTACACACTCTTTCTTAATACAAATTAGAATTCAAAATCAACTGTTTAGATAATGACTTATGGATGTAGAGATTAAGATAAATTAAAGACATTTATTCCTGAAAATTGTGCAGAATAAGTAGAAATTGATAAACTAATAAATGGAATAAATTCTCTTTTGAGACTAAAACTTTATACATCATAGTACAACACAGCTTCATAAAGAATAGAAGTTAACTATAGAAATGCTTATGTTTATACAGTAGCTAACCAATAAATATTAACACAATTAAAAATCTAAAATTAACATACTTCAGTTCAATAAGGTTTAATTGTATAAAAAGAATAAAAATTTTCTTCTCCGATTGAATACAATTAATAAGACTAAGGTTTAGATAAAGAGTACGCCATTTAAAATGTAGGAGCAGGCTCATATAGCATTGTCATATTAATGATGGATGAAATAATTTAGGAAATTTATATTTAATATCCTACTTTACCTCAAATTCTAGCAATGGTAAGTGGTGTTTTTACTATTTTGATGTTTTTAGGAATATTTGGAAAAAAAGTATCTCAAAACTCAATTTAGAAGGATTTTTTTTTACTCTTTTTAAAAAATGTATTCCAAGAAAATTATTTGCAAATTTTAAAGAAAAATAATTACTACCACATAAAAGAAGGAGAATAAGAAGTTGAAGTAAATCATGACTAAATTCTATTTTCAAAAGCATTAGATTCTGATAACTAATAAATAAAAAATATTAAATAAAAAAAAACTATTCAGCCAATATCTGTTCCTGTATTTTCTAGTAAAAGAAAAATATCTATAGAAAAAGTTGAGAACACCAACATAAATTAATCATAAAATACAGACAATTTTTACTTCTCATCAAAAAATATACAATTGATTAATAATTTTTAATCATCTTAATGCACAAACTAACAAAATAATGATAATTTGTCTGAAAATCTTAGTTTAAAAAAATATATAACTGAAAATGCCGAAGAAATTACTTAAGTATCATAAAATAAAAATGAAAATTATTAATAAGAGCAATAAATTTTATATGGAGATATTACAAACTATTCACCTTAAGATAATGTTTTAAAAAAGTCTATTTTTAGTAAGATGAATGATACAGACAATTTTTAGTTCTCATAAAAAAATATACAGTTGATTAATAATTTATAATAAGCTCAATCCATAAACTTACAAAATAATCAAATTGTGTATGAAAATGTAAGTTAAAAAAATAATATAACTGCAGATACCTAAGAAACTACTTAAGTATCAAAAAATAATTAACAACAATAATAAAAGTAAAATAACATATTTGGTGATATTTTATCAAGCTGTGCATTTTAAAATAATGTAAAAAAAAGGTCTAATTTTAATAAAAATAATCAATAATTTTGTATTAACAATTAAGATTAAACAATTTTTGAAAGAGAAAAGAAATTTACAAATATAATAAATAACTATAGAGCTATTTAAGATGTTGATTCTACTTAAAAGATAATATAAGATATTAGAAAGATAAAGTAATTTATTTATTCACTTATTATTGATTGGATTTAAAATAATTAATTTTTACTGAATTATAAAAGAAAATAGATGGAAGAAAAATAAGATTATTAGCTTTAAAAAGTTTAATACCAAATAAGAAAAGATCTGAACATATTTAACTTTATTAAAGACATCATTTTAATAAAAAAAGCAATAATGATGCTATTGACAAAAGATTAGTTAGCAGCTCTTCACCTAATAGGTTGCTCATCAAGTTTCTTAGAGTTGAATCTAAATGATATGAATTGTAATTTTGAATAATATGGTAAATTAATTTATTTATTAACTATTTAAATTTAACTTTGATTTAAATAACAAGAAATCAGCCAAAATTTAAGTCACTACGAAATATAATAAGCTATATTATAAAAAGAGAAATTCTAAAATCATTACATTCAAACCTTTTTATCAAGATGTTCTTCTGAATAAAATATAAATAAATTAGATATGAGAATACTATCTTCTATAAAAAAATGCCATAAAAATTGAAACAATTTAGTTTTTATTTTATTTTATCTTAGTTTTTAAAATATTTATATTTTGGATATAAAATTAAAAAAAATATTAATCATCCTGAAATTAAAATATTGCCAACTCTCTAGGTGTCGTTGGTGATATTTCATTTATATGATTTTAAGCTAATTTAGTTTATTCTATTTTTTAATTATTTTTATTTAAATTCTGTTTTTTATCAAATTTTAACAAATAAATTTTTGAAAATATTAAATGCAGATATTTTTTGTGTACAATTCATATCAATAAAACATACAGACAAAATTTTTAATCATAAATTGATATTTTTGACTATCAAACTATTCATCTTAATAAAATTCCTTCTTAATTTGGATTTAGATTATTCGGTGATTTAATTTTTCCTTTTAGTTAGTAATAAAAATATTTTAATTTATACGATATAAAATGATAGAGTAAAAAAAATATTTTTCATTTCTTTTTTTATTTTATTTCTTTTTTTTAGTTTTTTATTTATTTTTTATCACCTGGAAAAATATTTTTGTTATCAATAAAGTTAATTTTTACTAAAGATTGAATGCCAAAATGTAGAGTTTTTTTAAGTTAGCTAAAGCAATACATAAATTTAATGCACCTTAAGAATCAACATTGTTATCACTTTTTTTATTTAAAAAAATTTTAAGTTTTAATATAGAGAATAAAAATTAGGAAATGATAAGCAATCCTTAAATTATGTAAAACATTTAACACAATTATAATTTTTACTTATTAACTTATCAAAAAAAATAAATAAATCACAAAAAAAATATTTTACAATAGATTAAGTGTCAAAATTTTCAGATTAGTGCACTTTGATAATTAAGAACCTATTTCTTGGGCACCCTATCTGCTAACTTAGTTATTTCTTTTAAAATATTTTCTTTAGTTAAATATCAAGTAAAAATAAAACAAACAACATATAAAATTAAATTAACAAATTATTATACAAATCAAATAAATTTCAAATAAAAGAAAAGTTATAAAAACTAAAACAAAGCAATTAGCTTTATTCTATTTAAAAAAAGTCTAAATATTAGTGTTCAATGAATTGGTATTCTATCAGATATTTCTTTGAAAAAATAATCTGATCCTATTCTTATTATATATGCTAAACTTTGAACTCTGCCTCACATGAAAAAAAATAATTACTCCTCTCATTATCCAACAGTTGATAGATATAATTTATTTGCTGTAAATATATTTTTTTTTCAGTGAGGTAGAGTTCACATTTTATTATTTATCTCAATATTTATATTTTTCATACCTCATATATAGTTTCAAAATTTAGAGGTTAGAGCATTTAGCTATCATAGAAGCAAGGGTTTTTGAACCTTCATCTGAAATTTAATTGTAGCTATTAAAAATTTTGAGATTAAAAAATAAGCAAATGAAAATAAAAATAAAAAAATTTGAATTTCTATTTGTTATTTAAATTGTTAATTTTTTCATTTTATTAACTTGCTTCTTAAATAAATAATTTAAGCATTAAACCTCAGTTCAAGAGTCAAATTTTAAATATTATAACATTTTGTTAAAGCATTGCCTAAGCTTTGTACTCCATTAACTCCAATTAAATTAAAGCTTATATTTTATTAAATTAAAATAAAGCTAATTCATACAAAATATTAAAAAATATTTACCTAAGGTCGAAATTCACATTTAAAATAGATCCTTTGTTTGCTAAAGCTAATCCTAAACCTGAAACACCATCATCTCCTAATTCATTATGGCTATTTATAGAAGTAAAGCAATTTTCATAAAAGAATGATCAAAATAACTAAAAAATAAATGTAAAATATAAAATTTAATAATAAAATAAATAAATTCAAAGTTAAATAAATATTAAAATGCAAATAATCATAAAATCATTCAGAGTAAAGTAAAATATATTAATTAGACTTAGTAAAAGTAGACAATTTAGTTCAGAAAATATAATTTTACTTGAGATCAAGAATTATATTTTAGATATTATTGCATAAAGCTAGATTAGAGCCTAAGTATGTGGCACCTTAAGCCAAAATCTTATTCTTTCTTTTAAAGTTTTTATTAAGAGTTGTTTAAAAAAAATGAAATTAGGAAAAATACAAATAGGAAGTTTGAAATGCTTTATCTAAAAAATAAAAATGAATTAAAAGCACAAAAAATTAAAAAAACATGAAACAAATAAAATAGAAAGTAGTTTTCAAAATAAATTTTTACTTTAGATTTAAAGTCAAATTTGAAAGTTTAATGCATTTACTTAAAAAGAAACAAACACCTGCAATGCCTTATTAACCGATGAGATTATTACTTTTAATTTTTTAGCATTTTTAAAATTATGGAAAAATATAATAAGAGATTAAAATAAAAATAAAATTTTAATAGGAATGGTTAAAAAATTACAGGATGTATAAAAATTAAAATTAGAAAAAAGTGAGAAAATAAAGTATAAATAAAAATTTGTTCTTGTTTTTTTTATTTATTAATTTAGCTCTTAACAAAAAAAAGAAATTTTTACCTTAAATCAAGTTTCAAATTATAGAGATTAGCACAATTTGCTAAAGCAAATCCTAATCCTGATGCACCTTTTAAACCAATTTAATTAAAGCTATTCGAATATTTTAAAAATATTTTATCAAAAATCAAAAAAACTGAGTATTAAAAAAACAAAATTAATTATAATTTCTTATTATTTTCAAAAAAAAAAATGAATTTATATAAATAAATTTAATAAAATAATTTGATAATTTTTTATTTTCTTAAATTTTAATTCAATAAAATATTTTACCTTAGGTCAAATGATAAATTTTAAATATTAGTCAAATCTGCTAAAACGCAGCATAAACCCAAAGCGCCAGAATCACTTATTTAATTGGAGCTTGTAATTAAAAATAGTTATTTTTTTTTGTATAAATAGAATATCTTAAGTATTTAAAAGAATTTTAAAAATAAGAAAAACATTTAATTATTTGAAAATAAATAATAATAAATTTATAATAATAATAATAAAAATATTTATTTCAAATGATATTAAATATAAGATTATAAAATTAGCAATAATTAAATTTTATTTTTGTTTAACTTACTTTAGTTTAATCTCGAGATTAGTATTAGATGATAAAGAAGATTTTAAGAACTTTAATTTAAAAAAAATAGATTATAAATATAAGTAAATGATTTAAGAGTAAATCACATCTTCTATCTTGTAAATATATTTTTTCTATTACTCCATTTTTTTTATGATATTTAATTTCTTATTTAATTAAAATACAAATGAATTTTCAATTTATTAAACTTAATTTTATTTACTTAAAATGTGATCAAATAATTATAATAATAATGCTTTTTAATTAAAAGAAATATTTACAAATAAATATAGGTTTTAGTATATTTTTCTTTTAATTAATAAAATAATAATAAAAATATTATATAATATAGATTAATTTCTTATTTTTAGAAATTATAATATGAATGAGTAAAAAAATAAAATACAAATTTGTAAAAATATTTTTAATAATAATATTAACTATTCTAATTAAAAAATATAACTCATAAGTAGGGGTTTAGTAAGAGAGAAAGATATTTCTCTGTTTATCCTTAATTATTTTTCAAAAATTATTTATTTTATTCAATGTAATTTAATTAACCACCCATCATAATTAAATTATACACTTTCCTTTTCTAAAATTTAAAATTTACGAAAAAATGGTGAAAATTTAAAGGGGTGAGAATTAATTAACTGTATATATCACAATTAGAGTTAATTTTTTTTTAATCAAAGAAAACTTTTAGCAAGAGGTAATTACTATTTATTTATTTTTTTTCTAATAAAAATTATTTTATTTTTTAATTATATTAATTTTTAGTAGTAAATTATCCTTTTAATAATAAAAGATATATTTAATATATTTTTTATTTTTAATAAATTTAGATGGAAGATAAATAAAGGAATAATCATGTTTGTTTAATTTGAAAATGAAATTTTTCTATTTATTAATAAATAATTTTCTTTAGAATTAAATATATAAAAATGTGTTTTTGATAAAATTTGATTGAAATTAAATTGTTGGATTTGATTGGATAAGTTAATAATTGATACATTTGATATTTTTATGTTTATTTGTTTTTTTATAAATAAGTAAATGTAAATAGAAATATTTTATTTAAGTAAGAATTTAAAAAAAAAAATAATTTTATTAATATAAATTAAATATTAATATTTTTCAATTCAATTTCTTTAATAAATTTGATAAAAAAGTTGTGTAGAATCTGAGTTATAATTTAAGTTAAATATTGATAAATAGATATTTTATAATTTTGTTTATTTAGCAAAAAATTATTTTATTATTCTCTTTTGAAATTTAAAATCATATGAAAAATAAAAGTAGCTTGTTTCTTTTAACATAAATTGTTATTTATTTATTTTGTAGAATTTTAAAATAAATGCTAAAAAATATCAAGCAAAATATTAGTTGAGCGAGAATTTTCAAAATATTTTTATTATATATATAATATTAAATATTTTTCATAAATAACTTTATTGAAGTATTTAGGAATTTAGTCTTTAAATAAAATACAAATTACAATTTCTTATATTAATGTTTTAATACTGAATTGCTTTTCTTCCATTTTAATACATTTTAGTTCTTTTAACTTAAATACTTAAATTTTAAAAAATATGTAAAATAAAATGTATTTTTATTATGATTCACCTGCCAAATACATAATAATTTTTGAATAAAAAACTATTCAATGAATTTCTTCTAAATTATAATTGCTTTTAAATAAAACGCTCAAGCTTTTATGCAATTTTATTTTGAAATTATGGAGATGTATTGAGATTATAAGTATAATGTAAGGGAAATAGTGATAAATTAAAGAGTGTTGAATAATTCATAAATAAGGCTGGTGGTAGAATCAATTAAGAAATAAGTAAGTAGAATCGAATTCTTAATTTACAAACCAAAAAATTTAATAAATAAGCTTTTTATTATTTCAATATATACCACTAATGCCATCTCATTTTAAAGATTAAGATTAAAATTTATATTATTAGTAATTTGAGAGAAAAAAGAAAATCAAACAAGCATAAAAAAATATAAAACAATATGATTTTTTCAAAGCTAGATTTTTTCTCTTCTCAGTTTTCTTTTAACACTGGTAATCATTAGGCGAAGAGAGGGACTTTGTTTGGAACTGTACTTTCGTTCATTGTATTTACTACAACGATTGTATATTTTGTTTACATTTTTACGCAGTATGTTACCAATCAAATCGACCCTATCTTTAGATCTTAAAGTATAATAAGTTAATATTAAATCGAGACAGAATTAAATAGCGATTTAATTGGGTTTAGATTTGAATATGGCAGTAGTTCTTATGAAGAATTATATCCTAAAAACTATACTTATTTGGTATATTTAGCCTACCTTTAATACACTACTCCTGATATTAGCATACTAATTCCACTAAATGTTACTGACTGTACAAATCCTGATCTTGAAGGATTCAAATGTCTGGATTTTTCAAATGTAAAGAATTATACACTGTTTCTTAACACAGATAAAAATATGAAATCTACAGTTTAAGTACAAACTTATGGTTGCAGAGATATTGATACTTTGAAAACTACTATTCCTGATAATTGTGCAGATTAATCTCAAATTGATAGTATGATTAATGGTATAAACTCTATTTTAAGGTTTAAAATTTACACATCTCAATATAATACCGCCACGCAATAGAAAGAAGTTAACTATAGAAATGCATATGTCTACACAGTGGCTAATTAGTAAATAGTAACGCAATTAAAAACCCAAATTTAAAATACTTAGATAAAATAAGGTTTAATAGTGTAATCATCAAACAATTTTACATCACCAATTTAATGTACTTAATAAGATTAAAGTATTGATAGAAATTATGCTCTTGTCCAAATAGGGGCTGGAGCCTATAACATGATGATATTAATGGTTGATGAGATCGTTTAGCATATTTAAATTTAATATCCTACATTGCCTCAGGTTTTAGCCTTAGTAAGCAGTATATTTACTCTATTAATGATGCTTGGTATTTTTGGTAGAATAGTTTCTTAAAAATCAATTTAATAAGACTTATTAATACTTTTCTTGAAGTGTATATATCAAGATAGTTATTTAGGTTTACTAAAAAAAACTAATAATAACACTCTATGCAAATAATAATAAACTTAATAATAGATTATAACGAATCAAGAAAATTTAGTTGGTGGAGAATTAAGATAAAGTGAGGCTAAAGAAACAGATGATGATAAAATATAAGAAAAAGACTAGTAAGTAACTATTCCAGCTTTTTATAATAGACAAAAAAAATCTTTGGACATAGAATAATTAAGTAACAATAATACATACAATATTGAAAATATGCTATTTGCGCATAATAACTACCAATCAAGTAATAATAGTTAATCACCATAATCGATGTATTAATCAATTTATCAAGATAATATAATCGATGAAATTAATTAAGAAAATTCAAATAAAAATAGACATATAATTAATGAAATAGAATCTGATAATAAATATTCAGACACAAATCAAAAGTAAAACTAGTAAAAACGAAATTTTTCAAGCTACATTTCTTAAAATAATATTAATAGAAAATATAATTTTAATAATCGGATGAGCCAATTTTAGTTTAAACTTTAAAATAAGAAGTGCTATAGATTTAATAACAAAAAAGCAAATCTGATGGAAAATTTGAAAGTCATTTAAGATATCAATTGCTCAAACAAAATATAATAAGACTTAAGAAATATAAGGTATTAATTTATTTATTTTTCAAATTATAAATTTCAAAATTATTATATAAATAGAAAAAAAATGGAGGATATTAATAAAAAGCAACTATAAAATATTGAGTAGTAAATAAAAAAAGACATGAATATTTTTAACTTTATTAAGGATATCATCTTAGTAAAAAAAGCAATTATGATGATTCTAACTAAAGAATAACTAGCAGCTCTCCATCTTGTAAGCTGTTCTTCAAATTACTTAGATGTAGACTTAAATAATGTTGAATCTGATGTAGATGAATTAGGTGATTTTATTCATTTATTTTTTTTTATCTTATTTAATTTTATAATATTATCAAACAGAACAAAGGTTAAATTTAAGCCATTATGAAAAACAGTTAGCCATTTTACAGTCAGAGAAATTCTAAAGTTAGTACTTACAAGATTTCTTATCAAAGTTTTCTGATGATGAAAATATAAACGAAATAGACATCAGAATCTTATCATCAATAAAAAAATGTCACTTAAATTGATTAAGAACATGAATATTTTATATAATTTATCTATGTAGAAATGAAAACTATATATGATTTGCTTTAATTCTCTTAAAATAATTATTAAAATTATTCAGATTATAAAAAAAATAATTTTTTACTTCAAAAACTTTTAAATTATAACAACTATTTACTATTTAAAAAAACTCAAAAAATATATCTTAATATTTAATCATGCGTTTGTGTAATTTTAATGAAGTTTTAACAATCTTCAAACTAATTGTAAATTAAAAACTAAAAATTCAGATAATTTAGAGAGCATCGAGTTAAATATAAGGTTTGTATTATGATTAACTTAAAAATATAAAAGTAGATTTAAATTAATATAAATTGGGGGAAAAGAATGATTAATATTGATTGTATTTGAAAAAAAGAGTAGTAATTTTATTGTTAAATAAAAATATTAACTTCTCAAATTATCATTAATATTGTAGTAAAAATAGAATATAGTAATAAACCTTTTTAATAAAAGCAATGATTTTTTCAAAGCTAGATTTTTTCTCTTCTCAGTTTTCTTTTAACACTGGTAATCATTAGGCAAAGAGAGGGACTTTATTTGGAACTTTACTTTCATTCATTGTGTTTACTACAACAATAGTCTATTTTGTTTATATTTTTACACAGTATATTACCAATCAAATCGACCCTATTTTTAGATCTTAAAGCTTAATTAGCCAAGGTTTAATTTAGACAGGACTTAGTAGCGATTTGATTGGGTTTCGATTTGAATATGGTAGTAGCTCTTATGAAGAATTATATCCTAAAAATTATACTTATCTGGTGTTTTTAGCATATCTTTAATATACTACTCCTGATATTAACATACTGATACCACTTAATGTTATTAACTGCACAAATCCTGATCTAGAAGGATTCAAATGTCTGGATTTTTCAAATGTAAAAAACTATACGCTGTTTCTTGACACAGATAAAAATATGAAATCTACCGTTTAGGTACAAACTTACGGTTGCAGAGATATTGATACTTTGAAAACTACTGTTCCAGATAATTGCGCAGATTAATCTCTAATTGATAATATGATTAATGGTATAAACTCTATTTTAAGGTTTAAAATTTAAACATCTCAATATAACACAGCTACACAAAGAAAAGAAGTTAATTATAGAAATTCTTATGTCTATACAGTTGCTAATTAATAAATTGTAACATAGTTAAAAACCCAGATTTAGAATACTTCTATAAAATCAGGATTAATAGTTTAGTCATAAACAAATTTCACTTCTCCAATTTAATGTAATTAATAAGATCAAAGTATTGATAGAAATTATGCACTTGTTAATATAGGAGCAGGATCATATAACATGATGATATTATTAGTTGATGAGATTGTTTAGCATATTCAAATTTAATATCCTACATTACCTTAGGTTTTAGCGTTAGTAAGTAGCATTTTTACTCTATTGATGATGATCGGGTTTTTTGGAAGAATGGTCTCTCAAAAATCGATTTAATAAGACTTATTAAAACTGTTCTTAAAAAATATTTACTAAGATAATTATTTGGGGATGCTAAAAAAAGCTAATAATAATATTAAATAGTAATAAAATTAATAGAGCACTTAAATAAATAAAAATAATTTAGTTGGTGGGGAATAAAAATAAACTAAATAAAGGTAGGTTGACAAGTAATAAGAAATTGAATAATAAGTATATGTTCCAACTTTTTAAAATAAATAAAAAAAGTTATTGGATTTAGAATAACTAAGTAATAAACATACATAGAATATTGAAAATTTACTATCTGTGCCTAGTAACTTTCAAACAAAAAATAATAGCTAATCACCATATTCTTTTTATTTAAAAATTTATGAAAAAACTAGTATTGATGAAGTTAATTTAGAAAATTCAAATAAACATAGACACACTATTAATTTTGAGGAATCTGATATTTAAAATTCAGACAAATTCCAGAAGTAGAACTTGTAAAAATAACATTTTTCAAGCTATATTTCTCAAAAAAGCTATTTTAGAAAGCCAGATTTTAAATAGAATATTGATTAATCTGAATTTTTATTTAAAAATTAAAAACCCCTAGGAGTAGATAGCAGGAATGCAAATCTGATAGATAATATGTAAGCTATTTAAGATCTAAATTGCTCCACTAAGATGTAAAAAGATTTAAGAAATATTAAGAATAAATTTATTTAATAGTTAATTACTTTAACAAAAAATAATTTTAAAAAAGAAAATAACTGGAGGATATTAATCGAAAGCATCTATAAAAAGTTGAGTAGCAAATACGAAAAGACATGAATATTTTTAATTTTATTAAGGATATAATAATACTAAAAAAAGCTATTTTGATGTTACTAAAAAAAGACTAACTAGCAGCTCTTCATCTTGTAGGATGTTCTTCAAGTTACTTTGATATAGATTTAAATAATATTAAATCTGATACTGATGGATAAGGTGATTTTTATTTTGATTTATTAAAATTCTAATTATATAATCATTAATAGGACAAAAGTAAAATTTAAGCTACTATGAACAATAGCTAACCATTTTATAATCAGAGCAGCTCTAAAATTAGTATATTCAAGATTTTTTATCAAAATTCTCTGATAATCAAAATGTAAATGAAATAGATATCAGAATATAGTCTTCAATTTAAAAATGTCATTTAAACTGATTAAACGTATTTATTATATGGTATATTGTCTAAATTTAGATTTTGAGATTGTATTAAAAAAGCTGATCACATTTATTTATTATTTTTTTTGTGATCAATCTTCACTTAAAACACAAATCAATATATTTTTTAATATTTTATACTGTTGAATTTATATTACTTTAAATATTATTTAAATTCATTTTTTTATTTTGAATATAATCCATAAAAATTTCTTAAATTTCAATTAAGCAATTATATCAATAAAATTTGTTTATCTATCTAAATAGTAAAGGGAATTACATTTATATGTATTATAAGCAAAAAAACAATAAACACTAATTATTTTTTAGTAAGTAGAATTAAAAAGCATAATCTAATACAATAATAAGAACATATATAAAAAATATGCATTTTTCAGTACTTGATTTATTTTCTTTGCCTTTTTTTTTAGCACTGGCAATTATTAGTTAAAAAAAGGTACTTGAGTAGGTACAATAATTTCATTTGCTCTCTTTTTTGTTACAATTTCATATTTTATTTACATATTATAGTAATATGATTAAAATTAAATTGATCCAATTTTAGATCCTAAAGCTTTATCAGCTAATATATTATGAATATTTTACTTTAAAATACCAAATAAAATTTAAATTTATTATTAAATTTAATAAATTAATAGTATTTCCATAATATTTATCGAATCTTCTTTTGATAAAGTTTTACCTTTTACTTTTTCACATTTTAGGAAACCACTATAATAAAGTCTTCTACTCAAATATTCTTTTTTGGTGAGCTAATACAAAACAGTAAAATAAAAAAATTAGGATTAAATAAACGAAAATAAAAGTAATTAGAATTGACCAAATTAAATAATAAAATATTTTGTTTTAGTCTAAATTGTCGATATTTACAAATTAAAGCAAAGCCATTTTTTAATTTATATATATATATATTAAATTCTTTAATATTCTTTAATCAAAAATAAAGAATATTGCAAAAAAGTTGTTAAAGATTAAAAATTTAGGCAAAAATGTCTTTTTTTTAAAAAAAGCATTCATATTACCATTTATTTCAGTCTTAAAACTTACTAAATTGTTGCTTTAATCAAATATTTAAATATTTTCATTAACTTATTTCAGGGGTTTGCATATCATCTTGAAAAAATTTTTGTTGACTTTGACTAAAATGCGTTTTTACATTTAAAAAAGCTTAAAAATACTTGCTCATTATATTTTTACATTTTTATAAATCTTATTCTCTGTAAATATTTTAAAAATCACTAAATTTTCTTTATGCTATTCTAACTCTGTAACAATATTTTCAGCTTAATCTTTGAATTCATTTCTAAATTCTTGCTTTATATAGTTAAAGTACTATTTTAATAATTATTTTAGGAGTGAAGTTTCTTTTAATTCAAATTAATCCTCTTATCTTAAAGTTTTTATATATTTCTTGCTTACTTAAATTATTTGTAATTTTAATTACCCAACCATAATTTGTAAAAGCTTTGAGAAAAATAAAAATTTTGAATGAAAATAATATAAGCAATTATAAAATTTAAGGCATGAGGTTTTAATATTTATTATCAGTGTATTTTAAGATTGCCAAATCTTCAATTAACAAAATTGCTTAAAAAATTAAAATAAATCTAATAATTAATGATAATTAATGAGCCTAACACTTCTTATTTCTAAAAAATTATTTTTATTTAAATATAATTTAAAAGTGATTTATCTGAATAAGAAAATAGTAATGATGAAAATAAATTTATGTTATTATGATTATTTTTAAAATGCATTATTTATTTTGCTTTTTTCAACCAGTAAATTAAATTAATTTTTTTAAAAATAATGGAAGAGAGGGTGCGAAGTTGAATGTAATTTTATGTAAGCACCAACTATAGGAAATAAAAATTTGCTAGTAAAGCCTTTTTGTTCTACATACCTTCTAAAAACTCCCCGATTGTACGATTTCTATTTAATTGTTAAAATTTTTAAAATAGTAGAATTTCTAAAAGATCAAAAAAGAACTATTTAACAAACAATAAATAAAGCAAAAGCATGATTTTTTCTAAACTAGATTTGTTTTCGACTCCATTTTCTTTCAATACTGGAAATTATTAGAATAAAAGAGGAACGTTATTAGGAACTATCCTTTCATTTGCTGTCTTAGTTACTACGCTTTCATATTTTATTTACATTATCTAATAATATGCTACGAATTAAATAGACCCAATCTTTAGGACATAAAGCCTGATAAGTCAAGATTATATTGAGACCTAGCTTAACAGTGAGTTTGTTGGATTTAGATTTGAGGTAGATAGCACAATTTAGCTTTCCCCAAATAAAACATACTTAGTATATTTAGCTTTCTTCTAACTAAATACTGATACTCAGAATTATTTCCTACCTCTTAATGTAGTAGAATGTACTGATCCTAATCTTTTAGGATTTAAATGTCTTGACTTTACGAGTTTGTATAACTAAACACTATTTCTGAATTCTCGTTAGAATGCTAAATCAACAATTTAGATTATGACATATGGATGTCTTGATATTGATTAACTAAAAACTTCAATACCATCAAATTGTGCAAGCTAAACAGAAATTGACTAAATGATTAATGGAATTAACTCTATTTTAAGATTCAAACTCTTCACTTCTCAATACAATACAGCTACTTAACAAGTAGAAGTTAACTATAGAAATGCTTATGTCTATACTATAGCCAATTAATAAATATTAACATAGCTGAAAATCTAAAATTAAAATACATCAGTAAAGTAAGGGTTAATAATCTAAACAGGATAGCACTTTTCTTCACCAATTTAATACACTCAACAAGATTAAAGCTACAATAAAAATTATGCTCTCGAAGAAACTGGCGCAGGTTCATACAGTTAAGCAATAATAATGATTGATGAGATAGTTTAGCATATTTAAATTTAATATCCTACTTTACCATAAGTTTTTGCACTAGTTAGCAGCATTTTTACTTTGTTGATGTTTGTTGGTATTTTTGGAAGACTTTTTTCAAAAAATTCTATCAATAATGACTTTTTAATCCTTTTCTTAAAAAGCATCTACCAGCAAAATTATTTAAAACTTTTAAAGGACTAAAATTATTTTATCAAATAATAATAATAATAATAATAAATTCAATCAAAAAGAGAAGATTAACAAAGTTAAGAAGGATAAAGCTAAGGTGACGAGTATGATACAAAAGCAAATTTACAAAAATTAAATAGTCATTAAGTTCATATTATGAATTTGAATAAATATAAATCATATAAAGAAAAGTATTAATAAAAAAATAATATTTGTTAAAATATAGAAAATTTATTAGCTACTTCAAATAGCTTGAAGAAAATTACTAATTTATAGACTCCAAAGAATATCTGTGAACAAGAAACTAATTTTGATAATTTAGATATTGTAGAATCTGTTAATTATAGACAAGGGAATTTGTAAAAAGAAATTTAATCAAATTGTGCCTCTTAAATTAATTCCCTAAAAAATTATCCATCTCCATAACAAAATAATTAGTCTGTATTTCAATTTAAAAATAATGATATCAAATAGAACGATTGTGAGTAATTAAATTTAGTTTAGAATTTGTAATACATATAAGACGCGAATACCTCCAAATTAATAAAAAAGGATATTTAAAAGTTAAAGTAATTTATTAAAATTTATATTAAGTTTTTAAAAATATCTTAATCCGTTTTTTTAAAGAAAATAAATGTTAGATTTGAAAGGATTTTAATTGCAAAAAATAGAATATTAAATTAGAAAAGACACAAACATTTTTAATTTTGTGAAGGATATAATATTTCTTAAAAAAGCTATAACGATGCTATTATCAAAAGACCAACTAGCAGCTCTTTAACTTTTAGGTTGCTCTTCTAATTTCTTAGAACTAAATTTAAGCAGTATTAACTCAAACTTTGATCAATTTTGTAAAATTATTATTATTTTTTTTTGAATTTATTTAACTTGAAAAATATAGAATATAGCTAAAATATAAGCCATTATGAAATGTAACTAGCCATTTTACAATAAGAAAAATTTTTAAATTACTATGTGCAAAGTTTTTTAAAAAGATGTTCTTAAGGTGACATTAAAAATGAGACAGACATGAGAATTTTTTAGTCTATATAAAAGTGTCATTTGTAACAATGATTATATATTCATATTCTGTAAATCTTTGTTTTTAACCTAACTTCTTAAAATATTTTAAATCTATTTATTCTTAATTCCTAATGTTGAATTTGTTAATAAATATTAAAATTAATAAGCAAAGAATTTATTGGTAGAAAGTACAGTGTATTTAGTACAAATATAATATAATATTTTTGATATTATTATTATCATCATTATTATTGTTTGAAAATTTTACCACACATTTTAAGATTAATTTTTGTTTACAAGTAAATATTTGAATAATTATACTTTAATATTTATTTCTTACATATATATTTTCATATATTTATGTTATGTTATTTATAAATTATAACAAAATACAGGAATTTCCATTAATAAGAATAAGAATATAGAATTCTGAATTTGATTTGCAAAACATTAATTAAAAAAAATCAAAGAGAATGTATTTACTAATTAAATTTTTAAAAAAGAAGATCTCTCAAAAATCAAAAAAGAACAAATTAATCATAAATAAATCAAACAAAAATATGATTTTTTCTAAACTAGATTTATTTTCGTCTCCATTTTCTTTTAATACTGGAAATTATTAGAATAAAAGAGGAACGTTATTAGGAACAATTCTTTCATTTGCTGTTTTAGTTACTACGCTTTCATATTTTATTTACATTATCTAATAATATACTACCAATTAAATAGACCCAATCTTTAGGACATAAAGCCTGATAAGTCAAGATTATATTGAGACCTAGCTCAACAGTGAGTTTGTTGGATTTAGATTTGAGGTAGATAGCACGATTCAGCTATCTCCCAATAAAACTTACTTAGTATATTTAGCTTTCTTCTAGCTAAATACTGATACTCAAAATTATTTCCTACCTCTTAAAGTAGTAGAATGTACTAACCCTAATCTTTTAGGATTTAAATGTCTTGATTTTTCGAGTTTGTAAAACTAAACACTATTTCTGAATTCTAGTTAGAATGCTAAATCAACAATTTAGATTATGACATATGGATGTCTTGATATTGATTAACTAAAAACTTCAATACCATCAAATTGTGCAAGCTAAAAAGAAATTGACTAAATGATTAATGGAATTAACTCTATTTTAAGGTTCAAACTATTTACTTCTCAATATAATACAGCTACTTAAAGGGTGGAAGTTAACTATAGAAATGCCTATGTCTATACAATAGCCAATTAATAAATATTAACATAGTTGAAAATTTAAAATTAAAATACTTCAGTAAAGTAAGGATTAATAGTTTAAACTGAATCACACTTTTCTTCACCAATTTAATACACTCAATAAGATTAAAGCTACAATAAAAATTATGCTCTCCAATAAACTGGCGCAGGTTCATACAGTTAAGCAATAATAATGATTGATGAGATTGTTTAGCATATTTAAATTTAATATCCTACTTTACCACAAGTTCTTGCTCTAGTAAGTAGCATATTTACTTTATTAATGTTTGTTGGTATTTTTGGGAGGTTTTTTTCTTAAAACTCTATCAATAACGATTTTTTAATCCTTTTCTTAAAAAACATTTACTAGCAAAATTATTTAAAACTTTTAAAGGACTAAAATTATTTTATCAAATAATAAAAAAAAATTAATATAATATGCAATGATTAATAAATTTTAGAAGAATAAAGCTAAGGTGATGAGTATGATAGAAAGGATAATTAAGAAAAATGTAATGCCGAATAAGTAATTATACCTGTTCTCTATTAGAATAAATAAAAATAATATATGGAAAAAGATTAATAAAAAAATACTATTTGTTAAAATATAGAAAATGTATTACTCTCTTCAAATAGTATGAAGACAAGTAGTAACTTATAATCTCCAAGGATTATTTGTGAATAAGAAATTAATTATGATAATTTAAATAAAAATTTTGTAGAACTTGTGAGTGATAGACAATTGAATTTGTAAAAAGAAATTTACTTAAATATTGCCTCTTAAAACAGTTCCTTAAAAAATTATCCATCACCTTAAAAAAATAATTAGTTTGTATTTCAAATTAAAAATAAGACAATCAAAGAGAAAGAGTGTGAATAACAAAATTTTGTTTAGAATTTGCAAAATATTTTAGATATGAATAGCTCCAAAAAAATCTAAAAAGATATTTATAAGATAAAGTAACTAATTAAAATTTCTACTAAGATTTTAAAAACAGTTTAATTTATTTTTATTTTAAAGAAAGTAAATGTAAGATCTAAAAGGATTTTAGCTGTAAAAAGTCGAATATTAAATTAGAAAAGACACAAACATTTTTAATTTTGTGAAAGATATAATATTACTTAAAAAAGCAATAATGATGCTGTTAACAAAAGACCAACTAGCAACTCTTTAACTTTTAGGTTGCTCGTCTAGTTTCTTAGAGTTAAATTTAAGTAGTATTAACTCAAACTTTGATCAATTTTGTAAAATTATTATTATTATTATTATTTTTTTTTTTGAATTTATTTAACTTGAAAAATCTAGAAAATAGCTAAAATTTAAGCCATTATGAAATGTAACTAGCTATTTTACAATAAGAAAAATTTTTAAATTACTATGTGCAAAGTTTTTTAAAAAGATGTTCTTAAGGTGATATTAAAAATGAGGCCGATATGAGAATTTTTTAGTCAATATAAAAGTGTCATTAATAGTAATGATAATATATACATATTCTGTATATTCTTAATTTTTATTTTTATTTATTAGGAGATTTTAAATTTATTTATTCTAAATACCTAAAATTTTTATTTTTCTTATTAAAATAATTAAATTAACATATTTATAAAAATTGAGAATTTTTTATAAAGTGGCATTTCGATTGATAAATCTTTTGGTGGTAATTTTTTCAATTTGAATCCATCCTAATTTTAATTATTAATATTAGGATTCGTAAGCAAGAAAATTAAGACTTCTATGATTACCATAAAAAATTTCATTTTAAATAAATAAAGCAAATCTATTTACAATTTAAATCAATTAAATTTCAAAAAAAAATATGAAATTTAAAAAAAGCTTTTTTATTAATTAAATTTAAAAGAGTACTGATAGATTCCTTATTTCTCTCATACTTCTTTCTAGAGAAGGGTATTTAAAGTATCAATATTATCAAAATGATTGGAAATAGAATAAAAAAATATATATTGGCTTGATTTTTCTTAAATTTTATTTTATGATATTGAAACTTTCGACTTTTGTCATATATAAAAAACAGGATTCCTTCTGTTTACTACTCCAAATACTTATAAAAAAATAAAACTTAGAGCAATCACCACAAAAAAATTAAAAAAATTGGATTTATTAACTCACCTAATTTGAAAACGTATTAATCATTATGTGAAATAACTCAAAAAAAAAAGGCAATTTAAAGCTCCAAAGATAAAAATAAGCAGAAATATTTATGTTGGTGTACAGATAAAGGTTTTAAGAATTTAATAGATAGTTTATGATAAAAAATGAGAAATATATTAAAATAGTCATTTAATGAATCAATTAAATTGAAAAATTAATTAAATAAATAAAAAATATTAATTTTAAATCCCAATCAATTAAGATCTACTTTTGATAGATAAATATCTTTTTTAACTAATAGTTTTAAAAGGTCTTAATTATTTTTTTTTCTTTCCAAAATAAAATATTTATAGAAATAATTTTAGAAAGTTTAATTAAATAATGAAATTGAAAGATAGAAATTTATTTAAAATATCTAATTTTCAAAATTTATTTTTTTTTAGCTTTTTTTTAAAATTTTTTTATAAATTTAAAGGATTTTTACATGTCTTAATAATTGAATACAGTAGTTGGATGGTTATTAAAAATATATTGATTTTATATGATAAAAATATGCTTGAAAAACATTTCTCATCAATCAATTTTATTAAATAAAAAACAAGCTTTTATAAAATTAAAATAAAACATCAAAAGAAAATAATTATTGAAAATATATTATAATAAATTTTAAAATAAAATATTTAATAAAAATTTACATCTAAACTTTAAAAATAATTTTATTTTGATTTAAAAAAGATTTAATTTTTCTTTAGAATAAATTTAAATTGTAATTAAATCATAATCTTCAAATAAATGAATAGCTTTTAAGTGCTCTTTTTTTGGCATAAACTTTATTCAAATATTAAAATGAGAAAGGATATAAAAAATAAAGTTTTTTTTCTTTGATAATAATTTGAAAACTTATAATTTGTTTCGTTTATTTTATTTTAAGTTCAATAAATATATTGTTATTTACTTCATTAAATAAGTAGAACTTTTAAAAGCTAACTTAGAATAAAAGCATAAAAGGGAAAACAAAAAATGATTTTTTCTAAACTAGATTTATTCTCTTCATATTTTACATTTAACACAGGAAATTATTAAATTAAAAGAGGAACATTGTTAGGAACAGTTCTTTCTTTTGTTATTGTTATTACTACATTATCATATCTTATTTACTTAATTTAGTAGTATGTCACCAATTAAATAGATCCAGTTTATAGATCATAAAGCTTGATAAGCCAAGATTATATTTAAGCTATCCTTAATAGCGATTTCGTTGGATTTAGATTTGAACAAGATAGTTAAATTCAGCTATCTTAGGATAAAACATACATAGTTTATTTAGCATTTTTTGAATATGTTACTCCAGATTCTAGCTTATATTTACCTCTTAACGTAATTGAATGTACTCATCCTAGTCTCTTAGGATTTAAATGTCTCGATTTTTCTAGCTTAAAAAATCAAACACTGTTTCTCAACACAAATCAGAACGCTAAATCCACAGTTTAAATTATGACATATGGATGCCTCGATCTTGATTAATTAAAAACCTCAATTCCATAAAATTGTGCTAACTAAACAGAAATTGATTATGTAATTAATGGAGTCAACTCTCTTTTGAGGTTTAAATTATTTACTTCCCAATACAACACTGCCACAAGAAATGTTGAAATTAATTACAGAAACGCCTATATTTACACTATAGCCAACTAACAAATATTAACATAGCTTAAAATCTAAAATTAAAATACTTCAGTAAAATAAGGATCAATAATCTAATCAGAGTCCTACTTTTCTTCACCAATTTAGTATACTTAATAGGACTAATTTTTTGATAGATAATATGCACTTTTGTATACTGGAGCAGGTTCCTATAGCTAAGCAATAGTAATGATTGATGAAATTATTTAGCATATTTAAATTTAATATCCTACTTTTCCTCAAGTCCTAGCCCTAGTAAGTAGTATATTTACTTTGTTGATGATAGTAGGTATCTTTGGTAAAATGGTTTCATAAAAATCAATACAAAATGATTTTGTAATCCTTTTCTTAAAAAACATATACTAACAAAATTATTTAAGAGTTTTAAGAAAGTAAAATGATTTCATAGATTCATAAAAAGAAATTCAAATAAAAAGCTAAGATCGATTAGATATAGAAGAATAAAAGGAAAATAATGTAGATGAAATAAATGTTGAATGTGGATAGTAGTAAAATATTCAATAAATAATTATTCCTGCTTTTTAAAATAAATAAAAGGTTTGTTTAGAAAATGGATAATAATATAAGAATATGAGATAAAATTATGAAAGTGAGTTATTTTCTTCAAATAGCTTATAAATGAGTTGTAATTCATAATTGCCGAAATATACTAAATAGTAAAACTAGGCTTAAGAAAGAGCTTAAAATAATTTAGATAAAGATACATACTATAATGAATAGTTTATGAGCTAAGAATAAGAATTTAATTAAAAATTATACTTGTAAAAATAAATAAAATCTAATTCTGATTCATAAAATAATATTTTAAAAAAATTAACTTCAAATCAGCTTTAGGATTAGGCTACTAATTAGGTTTTGTGTTAATCAAACTAAATTTAATTCAATTAAAACTAATAATATTCAGAAAATCTAATTTAAAATTTATTGGAGGTTTAAAATGTGAGTAAATATAAAATAATTTAAAAAGATTTCAAAAAAGTAAAGTAATCAATCACTTTTTTAATTTTTATTATGATTTAAAATATTTTTCATTTATAAAATTGATTTTTTATTTTATAAAAAGAAAAGAAATGTTAAATCAGAGTGAATTTTAGTTCAAAAAAGTTGAATATTAAATAAAAAAAGATATGAACATTTTTAATTTTATAAAAGAAATTATTTTGCTTAAAAAGGCAGTGATGATGCTACTATCGAAAGAGTAATTAGCTGCTCTTAACGTTATAGGTTGTTCTTCTAGTTTTTTATAGTTAAATTTAAGCAAAGCGAGCTCCAACCTTGATTAATTTTGTAGATTAATTTATTCAATATATTCATTTTATTAATTTATTTTAAATCTAGAAATTAGCTAAAATTTAAGCCATTACGAAATGTAAATAGCCATTTTATAAAAAGAAAAGTTTTAAGATTATTACATTTAAAAATTTTTATCTCGATGTTCGGAACCTGTAAATAATGAGACAGATAAGAGAATTTTATAATCAATTTAGAAATGCCACTAGCAATGATAAAAATGTGTAATAATATATAAATTAAAATTTATAAAAATAGTATTATTCGTTTATATTCAAAATATAAATTCCCTAAAAAATGTCACACATAATACTTTAACCCAATTTATAGGGGATATTTATGATAATTTTTTTTGTTCTAAGCGAATTGAGTTTAAAATTTTTAATCAAATTAATTTCTTTTTATTATTATTAGTCATTTTTTATTATCTGTATTTTTCTACATATTTAAAACATTTTATATTTTTTTACAATAAAAATATGAATTTAAATACTGCATTTTTATATATCTTTTTATCTAACAAATTTAAAATTAAATCTTAATTTCAATTGATTTAAATTTACTCCTCTCCAACTAAATCCATTAATATAATTAATTCAAAGTAGTATTCACTTTAATAACAATTATTTCGTAAATTATAAAATTTAAAAAATAAAAATAAAAAAATAATATTAAAGGAGAAAGATTAAATAAATTTAGAAGGTAAAATTCAATCAATTTAGGAATGATTAAAAATGTAATAGAAATATTTTAAAAATGTAATCATAAATCAATTTTATAATGTATTCATCAGAATATTTCAAATTTAGCATATATCGTAAGTAGATTAATTTTGATTGAATACATACATATATTTTTCAAATAAGAAAAGATAAAGTCACTTTCTAGAGTTTACAAAATTGAAAAATTTTAAGTTAAGTATTTTAATTAATTACATGAATTTACAAATATCTTTTAGAATGAAGGAAGGGTCAGTAATCAATATTTAAGTAAGGATAATTAAGAATAAAACATAAAAAGTATTTATAAGAATCTTTACCTTATGATGAATTATTTCATATTAAGTAATAAATATTATAATTATTATTTAAATTACTATAGTTCCGCAAGAATCGTGCCCTTACCCAATATTTGAGCAATATTTAAAAACTATTTTTTTAGATATTTTTCTCACAATTTCATTACTTATTTTTTAAATTTTAAGAAATAAGGGTATGTGGTATATATGATTGATTTTAAGAAAATTAATTGATTTATTAGTCAATCATATTAAAAAGGCTTACATTAATCATCTTTGTAATATATCATTATTAGCTATCTTTTTTTGATATATTTTTATATGAGATCCAGTAACTATTATACTCAATAATAATAATAAATTAATAACACTTTAATTATTTTTATGACGCAAATAGTTTTTCAAGAAAATGAACAACCAGACATTCAAAAAAACTTACATTTGCGATTAATGTAATGCTCAATCATTAATTATACTATATTCTCATGTAAATATTATTGATGTAAAAATCCATCAATTATTTAAGACTGTAAAATAATTTTTAATATTTTTAATGATAAAAATAATAAAATAAGTAAACACTAAAAAATAAATGATTTTTTAGCATTTCTAAAATTTCATTTTATGTTATTTAATAATAATATTATGTGAATTCAGTAAGTAATTTAAACAAAAATTTAAGCGCTTGAAAACGTTTATAATTAATATCAGAAATTAAAAGATATCTTTTATCTGATTAAATACAATAGACAATTACTCTGTTTCTTATATCATTTAATAATTACCATCCTAATACTTTAGTATATTAAAAATAATCTTTTTTATGTTTGGTAAGCTTTCAAAATATAATCCGTAATCATATTAATAATTTACAAATATACTATGGGTTAAAATATCAATAATATAATAGTGTTACATCACCATTATATGCTTTAAAAAAAGGGAAGAGTTAGTGATAATTAATAAAGATTTAAGGTATTTATTTTTTGGTTAATTTTATTTTAGAATATTAAATTTATGTATTAAGATTTGGGACTTAAGCTATTTTTATCAGCGCAACTATTTATAAAGCTAAGATAATAATTAATTTTAATTCAAATGTGTCTATATATTTTATTTTTCACACTACCTAAATAGATTAATATAAAGAAAATTTTTATTGTTAAGATTATTAATTCTCAATCTGTAAGAATTTATTGATTTATGGAGTTTGTTTTTCCTAAATTAAATGCTTGAATTAATTATAATGGACTAATTAATCATGAAAAATTTAAGTAAATAGTAAATAAATAGTAAAAGTAAATTACTAGAAATAAGGAAAATATTCTTATTAATAACATTTTCTGAATATTAAAATCTTATTTTATTTAACAAATCTTTAAAAAGACAGAGCTCAGTCCATTTTATCTATAAACAATTAATAAAAAAACAAATAAGAAAAGAAAATATTAAAATGAAACAACAAAAATATCTTCTGCTGTTTTTAGTATTGACCTCTATTATTAGTGCTTAGTATAATATTACGACTACCACTAACACATTGAATGGATCTTGTTCTTGTAGTTGTACTTGCGACCAAAATAATAATAATAATAACAACAATAACAATAATAGTACTAACAATAATAGTAATAATAACAATAATAGTACTAATAACAATAATAATAACTCCACAAATACTAACACTAACTCAACCTCATTCAAGAAAATAGCTTATGTTGATACCATGAAAAGTTGGTGGGGTCCTTCTATCATCACTGATAGCTTCGGATTAAACTCTTGCTATGACATCATCATTTTATCTTTTTGGTTAACCTATGGAACAGCTGATGCTGCTAATTTGTATGAAAACATCTACACTTATCTTGGTACTGATTAGTATGGTAAAAATAATACAGAAGTTCAAAAAAATATTTCTGATCTTTTCCATTCCAAAGGTAAGTAGTTGTTCATCTCTGCTTTTGGTTCCACTAACTTCCCTACTTCTCAAGATCCTATTGCAGTTGCTAATAAGTTGGCTGATTGGGTTTAAAAGAATCCTTATATTGATGGTATTGATATTGACTATGAAGACAACGATGCTGTAGTAAATGGATCTGGTATTTCTTGGTTAATTACATTCTAAAAATAACTCAGAGCTAGAATCGGAAATAACTACCTCATTACTCATGCTCCTCAAGCTCCTTATTTCTCAAGAGCTTATTACAACGATGGTGGTTACTATAAGCTTGACCAACAAGTTGGTAGTTTGATTGATTGGTACAATGTCTAATTCTACAATCAAGGAGATGATTCTTATGACTCTTTAACCAAATTATTTGTCTAAAGTGGATCACCTTTCGTTGGAACTTCCTACTCTGAAATCATTCAAAACGATGGAATTCCTATTTCTAAAATTTATCTTGGTAAACCTGCTACTACTGCTGATTTATCAAACACTGGTTATGTTGATCCTGCTACCCTTGGTTCTTTAGTTTACTAAGCCCAAACAACCTTAGGTTTGAAGGTTCCTGGTTTCTTTATTTGGTAATTGAAGAATGATGGAAACTGCAATTTTGCCAGCAACTTCTTAAATGGATACAATAATCCTTCTAATTCAACTAATAATAACAATAACAACAACAACAACAATAATAACAACAATAACAATAACAACAGTACTAATAACAATAACAGTACTAATAATAACAATAACAACAATAACAGCAGTAACAGCAATAACACTACTCCTGGTAATACCACTACTAATGGAAAGATTATGAGTATCACTTACATTGATGCTATTACCACTTGGTGGGGTCCTTCTGTGTTGTAATAGTTCTTCACTTGTTATGACATCAACATTCTTGCATTCTGGTTGTCTACTGGACCTGTTGATATTGCACTTCTTTACCAAAATGTCTACAGCTACCTGGGTACTGACTAATTCGGTAAGAACAATTTAGAAGTTCAACAATATATTAGCAATTAATACAAGAGCTAAGGAAAGAAATTGTTTATTAGTGCTTTTGGTGATACTGATTATCCTACAACCAAAGATCCTACTTAAGTTGCAACTGATTTAGCTAACTTTGCAAATTCTTTACCTTATATTGATGGTATTGATATTGATTATGAAGACAACAACGCTATTGTGAGTGGGGCTGGTGTAACTTGGTTGATTACTTTTACTAAGGTCCTTAGACAAAAGCTTGCTAACAAAAACTTGATTCTTACTCATGCTCCATAGGGTCCTTACTTCTCTCGTGAATATTATACCTCAGGAGCTTACTATAAGATTCACTAAGAAGTAGGTGATTTGATTGACTGGTACAACATCTAATTCTACAATTAAGGTGATAACACATACGACAGTTACTAGAAGCTTTTCCTTCAAAGTGGTTAATATTTCTTTGGTACATCATACAAAGAAATAATCGAACTTGATGGTATTCCCTTAAACAAACTTGTTTTAGGTAAACCTGCTTCACCTGCTGATGCAATGAATACTGGTTATATTGATCCTTTCAAACTTGGTAAGATTGTCAAGCAAGCTCAAACAGAACTTAACTACACTATTCCTGGTTTCTTCATCTGGTAATTGAAGAATGACAAGAATTGCAATTACAAGAATCAATTCTTTGCAGGTTTTAACTCTTGAATTTGATCGATAATTTACATTATATATGCTAAAATAAATAAATATTACATTATTGGATATTACATTAAAATTATATAAGATTATCTTTATTTTTTTATAAAACAATTTATAGTTTTTTTAAGATTTTTTATTACATAAAATTAAAATATTCATAAATTTTTAACATATGGTATATAAAATTAAGTTACAGGGTAATATTTTAAAAAAATATTGATTCCACTAAAAATTTAATTGGATTCTCTAAAATATTTTTTTGGCAAAATTGACATCATAAACACTTTTTTAACCCCTGTTTATTGTTGTCTATTAACTATTTATTATTTTAAAGTTTGATAAAATTTTATATTTTATAAATTCATCATTAAAATTTATTAATTAAAAATGATCTATCTATTTTAACATTATTATTTTATTTTATATTACATTGGTTATTCAAAAATAAATATAAGGTATTACACCAATTTAAAAATATAATTATATTCTTTTACTAGAATTATGTAAATAATAAGATCAGGATTTAAATTCAATATATTAATTAGAACGGAGAGATTAATTGATTAATAATAAGTTTCTAGTTGATTAAATTTTACTAGTTACTCTCCAATTATATTTACAAATAATATTTGTCTAGATTAATTAATTAGTTGATTGATGTTGAATAAATTTATTATTCCTAAAAAAGGAATCATCTAATTTGTATTATTAGAAAATAATTTTATAAATAATATCATAAAATAATTTATAGTTTAATTATTTAAGGAGTAGAAAAGCGCGCTTCTAAAGATTTTAAATTTTTTTAGATAAAAAAAAGTAACTAATTAATATTATATTTTGTTTAACATAAATTTTATCAATATCATACTTACAATCTCAATCATCTCATATATTTAATATTATTAAATATTTCTTTAGAAATTGAAGTTTTATATTTCAGCTTCTTTAGAACCATTAAAAATTGAATAATTTAATATGAAACATTTTCAGTAATTCTTTAAGCTTTACAGCAAAAAATATTACTAAAATAAATTTTAATTATTAACTTTTATATTATTAAGCTCAAAATAAATTATTAAATTATTTATTTTTTAGCTAATTTTTTATTTTATTTTTGATGGATATATATCTAAAAATATTTTTTATAAGAAGCTAATAAAAATTATTTTTTTTAAATTTGATGTTTAGTTTAGGTGATTCGCAATTAAAAATGAGGTAAAAACATTTTTTGTGAATTTAAGGTGAAAATATTTTTGTATTTTTAAGAGTTAAAAGTAATAATAGAAAAATTTATAAATACAAGTTATTTATAAATATTTTAAAGCTTCTATTGAAATATATCATTATTTACAAGGTAACTTAAATAGAAAATTTCTATTGGGAAATCATTATTTTAAAAACAAATTAGCATCCAATCATTTTTGAAGTATTACATAATTGATGAATGTAACATCAAGGATTTAATTACATAATTTTGTTTATGAGAATAGCAAATCTTTTTTTTTTTTTTGGTGGAATTCAGTAATTATGTTAAGTAATCAAGTGTGAATAATTTAGAGTAAAGAGCAAATTAAAATTTACTCACTTATGTTGATGCAATTTAAAAAGTAATTCTGTTTTTAACCATTCAAAAATGCTTTAAAATAAATAAATGAATGTAATGTTTTGTCCTATACTATTTTAAAAAACAAATATTGTTTATTGTTTTATATCTAATATTCAAAATTTTCAAATAAAATATTTTCGCTCTAGAAATCTTGTTAAAATAGATTTATAAACATAAAATATTTCAAAAAACTTCAAAAACTTATTGCTATTAAAAAAAAAATTGAGTATAATGTTAAGTCTTAAATTTTTTGTTTTAAGATTGACATAAATCCATAAATAATTGAGATTCAGTAATTATGTTAAGCTTAATTAATAAAGTATCTTCAATTATTTGTAATTTATTTCAGAAAATAATCAATATCTTTATACTGATAAAGTATGAACAACGATTACTTCTTCTTTTTCTCTACTTTTTAAATTGTTATTTGTAATTGCGCACTAATTTTAGATTATTTATTCATTTATTTTTAAATTTCTCATAAAATATTTTATGCAATTAGTTTGAAAAAAATAAAAATCTGTTTTATTATTGATTAGAACTGAGTATTCTTCACAGTTTTGAAGAAGCCTATTTATCCATTATCTTATTTTTACTAATACTTCTCTTGATTTTTAGATACGCATCAAAGAATTATGAAATATAATGGATTAATTTATAAGTTAAATTTAAAGTAAATATACTTTGAAAAGAATTTTCTTTCATAGTTTAAAAATATGATAATTTAATCAAAAATATGTTTGATTCTTCTTTAAATAAAAAAATGGCTGCAAAATATAGGAATATAAAAAAATCTTTTGTTTAGTTTGTATAGAAGGAATTAAAGTAATAAATGGATTTTATAAATAGATATTTATAGTATTAATATTATGTTTTCTCTTAAATTAGAAAAGTGTTGAGATTTATTAATTTTTCACATACTCGAAATAGATTAATTTTAAATAAATTTTTGTATCTATACTTATAAATTCCTAATCTGTAAGAATGTACTAATTTTATGGATAGTGTTAATTCTTAATTAAGATGCTTGAATTGGGTGTTAATGGAACGATTTATTAAGACAGTACTTAATTTAAATATAATTGTAAAGTAATGTAAAGGGTTAATTACTAGAAATATGGAAATTATCTTATGATAAATATGTTCTAAATATAAGCATAATATTATATTAAGCATCTTTTTAAAAGTCAGAATATCTTCCATCAAAATTTATAAACAATTAATCAAAAAAATAAATAAGAAAAAGAAAATATTAAAATGAAACAACAAAAATATCTTCTTCTATTTTTAGTGTTGGCCTCTATCATAAGTGCTTAGTACAATGTTACTACTACCACTAACACAGTGAATGGGTCTTGTTCTTGTAGTTGTACTTGTAATCCTAATAACAATAACAACAACAATAATAATAACAGTACTAACAATAATAACAATAACAACAACAACAATAGTACAAATAACAATAACAACAACAACAACAACAACAACAACAACAACAACAACAACAACAACAACAACAACAACAACAACAACAACAATAGTACAAATAACAATAATAACAACTCCACAAATACCAACGCTAACTCAAGCTCATTTAAGAAAATAGCTTACGTTGATACATTTAAAAGCTGGTGGGGTCCTTCTATCATCACTGATAGCTTCGGATTAAACTCTTGCTATGATATCATCATTTTATCTTTTTGGTTGACCTAAGGTACTGCTGATGCAGTTAACTTGTATGAAAACATCTACATTAATCTTGGTACTGACTAATATGGTAAAAGTAATGCAGAAGTTCAAAAAAATATTGCAGACCTTTTCCACTCCAAAGGCAAATAATTGTTCATCTCTGCTTTTGGTTCCACTAACTTCCCTACTTCTCAAGATCCTATTGCAGTTGCTAATAAGTTGGCTGATTGGGTTTAAAAGAATCCTTATATTGATGGTATTGATATTGACTATGAAGACAACGATGCTGTCGTAAATGGATCTGGTATTACTTGGTTAATTGCCTTCCAAAAATAACTCAGAGCAAGAATCGGAAATAAGTATCTTATCACTCATGCTCCTCAAGCTCCTTACTTCTCAAGAGCTTATTACAATAATGGTGGTTACTATAAGCTTGACCAACAAGTTGGTAATTTGATTGACTGGTACAATGTCTAATTCTACAATCAAGGAGATGATTCTTATGACTCTTTAACCAAATTATTTGTCTAAAGTGGATCACCTTTCGTTGGAACTTCCTACTCTGAAATCATTCAAAACGATGGAATTCCTATTTCTAAAATTTATCTTGGTAAACCTGCTACTACTGCTGATTTATCAAACACAGGCTATGTTGATCCTGCTACCCTTGGTTCTTTAGTTTACTAAGCCCAAACAACCTTAGGTTTGAAGGTTCCTGGTTTCTTTATTTGGTAATTGAAGAATGATGGAAACTGCAATTTTGCCAGCAACTTCTTAAATGGATACAATAATCCTTCTAATTCAACTAATAATAACAATAACAATAACAACAACAACAACAACAACAACAACAACAACAATAATAACAACAATAACAATAACAACAGTACTAATAACAATAACAACAATAACAGCAGTAACAGCAATAACACTACTCCTGGTAATACCACTACTAATGGAAAGATTATGAGTATCACTTACATTGATGCTATTACCACTTGGTGGGGTCCTTCTGTGTTGTAATAGTTCTTCACTTGTTATGACATCAACATTCTTGCATTCTGGTTGTCTACTGGACCTGTTGATATTGCACTTCTTTACCAAAATGTCTACAGCTACCTGGGTACTGACTAATTCGGTAAGAACAATTTAGAAGTTCAACAATATATTAGCAATTAATACAAGAGCTAAGGAAAGAAATTGTTTATTAGTGCTTTTGGTGATACTGATTATCCCACAACCAAAGATCCTACTTAAGTTGCAACTGATTTAGCTAACTTTGCAAATTCTTTACCTTATATTGATGGTATTGATATTGATTATGAAGACAACAACGCTATTGTGAGTGGGGCTGGTGTAACTTGGTTGATTACTTTTACTAAGGTCCTTAGACAAAAGCTTGCTAACAAAAACTTGATTCTTACTCATGCTCCATAGGGTCCTTATTTCTCTCGTGAATATTATACCTCAGGAGCTTACTATAAGATTCACTAAGAAGTAGGTGATTTGATTGACTGGTACAACATCTAATTCTACAATTAAGGTGATAACACATACGACAGTTACTAGAAGCTTTTCCTTCAAAGTGGTTAATATTTCTTTGGTACATCATACAAAGAAATAATCGAACTTGATGGTATTCCCTTAAACAAACTTGTTTTAGGTAAACCTGCTTCACCTGCTGATGCAATGAATACTGGTTATATTGATCCTTTCAAACTTGGTAAGATTGTCAAGCAAGCTCAAACAGAACTTAACTACACTATTCCTGGTTTCTTCATCTGGTAATTGAAGAATGACAAGAATTGCAATTACAAGAACCAATTCTTTGCAGGTTTTAACTCTTGAAGTTTAACTTGAACACAATTTAAATTAGTTTTGCTAAAATAGATCTTAAATAATAACAATATTAACATTAATTATATTAATTGATTAATTTATAAAAAGTATTTACATGTTTTTATAACTCAACTTGTATTTTTTTAGAATTTATGATTTTAAAATATTCTTTTTTTAATTTTAATTGCTCTAAATACTTACAAATTTAAGAAAATTTGAAAGAAGACAGAAAAAAATTAATTAAAAAAGATTGATGTCTGAAAAGAAACTTCATATTTTTTTCCTTTGTTTTAAATTAAAATATTTTAATATGATCAATTAAATATACATTTTTGAAATAAAATAAATATTTAATAAGGTAGTTATTAAAAATTTTACCCTAATTTTTGCATTTAAAAATTCATTATAATTTTTCTTAAATTTTTTACAAATGAATATGAGATTATAGATGAGTAATTTGGTAAATTACTTTATTTTAATTTTGAAGCTCCTTCTCAAATAAGCATTAACTATTCCCAAAATATTTTAAAAACTTTCTAATTTTTTCAGATATTTAAAATTTTTTGAAAATAAATATTATTTTTGAGCTTTTGATTTTTTGGCCTAGAAATAATAAAGTTTAAGTATATAAGTTATATCACAAGACGTTTAAACCTAAGTAATCAAAATCTTAAGTCAAATTTCTCCTGTGTGATAATTAAAACTTTATCTTAACTTGAAAAAAGAAAATAATAAAAAAATTAACATTTTATCATATTTTTAGTTTTTACAAATGCTAACAATTCTATTTATTTTAATTTCAATTAAAAAGTAAAAAACTCAATTAATGAAATATTTAAATCAATAAATTATTCAAAGTCTATTTATTTTTACAAAATTTAAATTATTTAAAACTATTAAAATAAACCATTTTCTCAATCTAATGCAATTAACAATAGTTATATTGATTATTATAAACAATATATGATTATAAGTAGGCGCAAATATGGCATTAATATTCTCTTCCAAGTTTTTTCTTATTGTAATTAAAGAGTGATGCAAGAGATTTTAAATTATTAAAATCATTTGTTAAAAACTTAAACCCTTCAATTGAGATATTTATTTCTATAGAATTTTTAAAATATTATCTCTTTAATATAATAAAAATATTAAAGACTGACACTGACACAAAATTGAAAATAGTTATGATTATTTTTTTTAATAAATTTCTTACCCAATAAATTTTTAATTTTAATCAATCTTAATTGTATTAAATAATTATTGAAGAAATTAATAATTTTTATATCAAATAAATAAATTAAATTAATTAATAAAATGATTTCTTGATTTTCTTCAAAAATACAAAACTTTTTAATTAAATTGAAACAGAATTAATTTTAAAATAAAATAAATCTTTATTTCAATAAATTTAGAAATAAAAAAGATATATTTTAAATTCATAAGCTATTCAATATTTGGCTGAGCTTTAATAATATTTAATATTTTTTTTTACATTAAACAAACAAAAAATAATTTAAAAATATTTTTAAAAAGAAGAAATTTTAATAATTTCTTAAAAAAAACATAGAATTACTATTTTAACCATTTTTCAGATTTCCTAAAATATCATTTTTTATATACTTATTATTTTAAAATAATTTATTTAATTTCAAACTTAATTAGTAAGATAAATATTTCGGTCATTAGATGTATTAATGGAATTTAAATTGAAAAAATTACACATAAAAATCAAATATCTTCTAATTAATACTATTTATTCTTTTAAAAAAATCTCCAATTTAAATAGTTAGTAAATAAATTCTAATTGTAAAAAATTGCAATTTTTAACAAATTCAAATAATATTTTATTTTTTGAATTCAGATAAATGTTTCGCTTAATTTGAAGTATAGAAATTCAGGTTAAAAAAATACAAAAATTAAAATAGGTTTCTTTTTTTCTAGCAATTAGTATATGTACTAGTAAGATTTGTCATAAATTTAATTAGAAAGCATTATTTTCTTTTATAAGCTAAATTAATGTTTTAGAAATTAAATTTCTTTTAGACTTTGATTTGTTTTTGGGGCAATTTTATTTATTTCTTTGCGTCTTTTATTTGTATTTGTATTATTAAATTAAATTAAAAGACATAAGTGATTTATCAAATTAAAAGTCTATGCCCAGAGCAGATATTTTTGAGACGATAAATTAGTTGGTATCTGTGTAATAAAATTAGTATGTAGGTAGAAAATATTTGTTAGCTTTTTATATTTTTAAAGAGTAAAAAGAAAAGAATGAATTTTATATACAATCTAAATTTTAGTGGCAATAATAATTCATGCATGTATGTTCTATACTAAATTTAAAATCATACGACTAGTATGAATAGAAATTATTTCTGTCTATTTGTATTACCCTAAAAATAGTTATTATTTAATTATTATTTTTCCATGTTTTTGCTAAATTCATTTACAAATTAGCAAATAAATTCAATTAAATACTTGTTTTGGTTACAAAATATTATGAGTCAATATGCAAATTTGTTAAAAAAAACTCAACAACTAAAAAATCTAATTCTTTGAAAGATATTTTGAATAATTGTTAAGTCTACAAGATAAAAAATTAAAGCTAGATTTACTAAGTAAAAAAAAATATTTGAAGTTTAAATTGGAAATTTGTGTAAAACTAGTCAGTGACTATGAAAAATTGTTAGTAATCATTTGACTTTTGATAAAAAGAAGAATAGTAAATTAAATATTATTATGATTGTAATTTAAAAGCGAATGCTTTTTATATCAATTGCGTTTTAACTTGCATCTTTTAATTAGCAAATATATACTTACTCCAAATCAAACAATTAAATAAAAATTATAAGCAAATATTGACTTGTTAATATGAATAATTAATTATTTTAACAAAGATCTATTTATTATCAAAAATCACAGAGAACCAATTGATTTCTTAATTTCAAAGCTAAACAAAAATGAAGAATTTAATTATACAATTGCTATAAATATTCTTTGTATTTTTCAATTATGTTTATGCAAGTAAAATATATTTTCTTCTAATGAAAATTTTACAATTAATATATTTTATAAAATTTCAACAGTTGAATAAAAAGTTATTGAAGAGTTTACAGCGAATTCTTTTTTAAGTTCAGATGCTCCTAATTGGTCGAAGTAATTAGTTTTTACATGTGCTGCGACTTCTTATGTAGATTTTTCAGCACTTTCTGTTTTTGGTATTTTTGGCAAAACAAATTCCATCACTAAAAAAACGGTTTCTTCACTGCCTCCGCATTGGAGCGCATCAATTAGATTCGATATGCTTCTTTACTAAGCCTTAGATTCAGGTCTTGACTATGTTAGCATCTAATCTGATACTTAAACTCCAGAAAAGTTTTTAAAAAATGCAAATAATGATGGAGTAAAATTATGTGGGACAACCTCAAATGATATTTTAATTCTTTATAACAAAAACTTTACACATTCAGCGAGCTCTCTGACTTTGCAAATAACAGCTTCGATGAATAAATTAGAAACTATTTAAGGATTTGTAATGAGAAATCTTTATATATTCATTGATACTTGCCATTTTACTTGCGCTACTTGTAGTGGACCTTCTTATGTAATTTTTATTAACTTTTATTATGATGATCTTAATATACTCACGAATACCGCTAATTTAATTATATATATTTAACTAATATTTTTGTATGAATTCATTATTTAGGATTAGTGTCTAAGTTGTCCTCTCCATTCATCTCCAACCAATGGAAATCAATGTGTTTGCGATGCAGGATATTATGCTTACTAATTTTAGTGTGTACCTTCATGTCCAACTGGATTTACTCCAGATTCTAATAATTAATTTTGTGTCATTGATTTTTGTGCAGCTTCTGATTGCTAAACATGCAGTAATAAGATTTGCACTGCTTGTGTCGGCACTAAGAAATTGCTTAATGGTTAATGCGTAAACTCATGTCCTTCATATGCTCCTCTAACTTCTGGAGTTTGTAAAGATTACTCCAGTACACTAACAAGTAAATTAATTGATTTATCACAATTAAAAAATTAGCTTCTTTTAACCATCGATTACCAAATAATTTGATTAAAAATAATAATAATAATAATTTAGATGGGAAGTATTTAATTAAAGGAGGTTTATCTGCTGATACGTTTGGCGAATCAGAAGTTTATGGACTTGGTTTCATTCCTAACGGCTTCAAAGGTACAGGATATGGCTTAAGCAGTGGCGCATCTGTCACAAAATGTGCAGGAAAAAGCTTACTTGGAGGAGCTTTTTTATCTGGATCAGGTGCATATATACAAAGATCCTTCTAATAAATGTAAAGCAGCTCATTTAGAAATTAAAAATTTTAAAAAATAATAAAATTCTAATTAATATTAAGGAGTCCTCATTGGTCAGTTTTAATTGGATATACATTATATAAGATTGATTCTTGGGAGAATGAGACAGTTGATATGAATGTAGATGGACAAATTAAGCAGACAACATCAAGAAAAGCTACAGATGGAGCTACCAATTTATGTGGAAATAGCTAAAAAGATGATATTATTATCGTCTCTTAAAATTTTACTCATGTTTTACCCTCTTTAAATTTAAAAATAACAACCACTCTTGACTAAGATCCATTTGATGAATCCTATGGTATTAGAGATATCTTTGTATTAGTAGATTATGTAATTTAAATTTCTATTTTTATTATTTATTTTCCTTTACTTCAATCAAATTGTCAAAAAGAAAGATTAGAAACAATAAATCAATATATTTCATTTATCATTATTAGGCTTATCAAGCAAAATCAATAAATAGACATTAATTGTTAGATATGAATTTATCCAACAAAATTTCTAGTTTGATAAAATATTTTTTATTTTGATAATTTCAAAGCAAACTATACAATTTTAAGCAATTCGAAATAAAAAATTAATTCAAAAAAATTATTTACAAACTTAAATATAAGATTTAAAAATAGAATTAATTATTTTTTAATTTATAATTTTTAAAATAATCTTTCAATTTAACAAAGAATAATTTTTTAAAAAGTAATTCTAATGGTAATTTTTAAGATTAATTTTAAATTTAAAATTTCACGAAATTTAGAAAAATATTTTAAATAATTTTAAGTGATCCTATTCAGTAAGTAATTAATTCATAATACTTTTTAATAACTTAATAAATTTAGTGTGTAGATAATTGCTAAAATTGTGATGCTTCTGGATGCTTGGCTTGTCAAAATGGATTTTAGCTATATTAAAAGCAATGTTATTCTTAATGTCCAAATGGAACTTATAAATTAAGCTCTTCTGAGTGCGCAGTTTGCCATCCTTCTTGCAAAACTTGTTTTGCAGGTATTAATTAATTTATTTAGCATTATTTAATTTCTACTTTAATAATGATGATTAAAAAACAATTTAAATAGGTTCTAATAAAAGCTGTAACATTTGCTAACCTAACACATATCTTAATCCTGATAATTCATGTTAATCTGGCTGTGTTAGCAATTATTATCCAAGAATTGGAGATATGACCTGTTAAAAGTGTGATATCTCATGTTTTAACTGTGTCAGTCCTGGTGACTCTGGATCTTGCACATCCTGTACTGGATAATTATATTTAACTAAAAACTAATGTTAACAAAATTGCCCACCAAATCAAACAAAAGTTACAGGTAAAAAATTAATCACCATTTTTTATAGAAGCTTTTAATATTATTTCAAAAATTGATCCATTCAATACTTTTAAAGATCATTTAATTTGGTTTATTAAGTTGAATAGATTATTAGATTTACTATTTAATCAAAATTATTTTTATAATTAAATTTAATCCATAAAAATTCTATGAATCCTCCAAAATTTATAGGCATTTTCAATTTATAATTCCAAATAAAATAATTTTTTCTAAATTTTGAGTTAATACTATGATTGAATTAAAAGAAAATAAGAATATTTTTTGTCATATAAAAATAAATATTTAAATTATTTTTTTTTATAATCTAAAAGCACCAAATAATAATACTTGCTAACCTTGTGATAAAACATGCTTAACATGTAATGGAACTACTCCGAATAGCTGCACAAGTTGTTTGGCTCCTGATCTATTTTTATCAACTACTTTTAGCTGTGTAAATACTTGTAACACAAATTAATACAAAAATACTTAGAACTAAACATGTTAGCCCTGTCATATTAGTTGTTAAACCTGTAAAGGTCCTGATAATACTGATTGTCTATCATGTGGTGGCTCTTTTTATTTAGATACTTCTAAAGGTATTTGCTCTAATTCATGTCCTGATAAATATTATAAGAATACAAGTAATAACAAATGCACTTAATGTGATGCTACATGTGTTTCTTGTAGTGGACCAAGCAGTAGCGAATGTTCATCATGTGATTCCCCCAGATTTTATTAAGCTTCTACTAAATAATGTGTTACTGATTGTTTACCAAGTTAATTTAAAGATAAACAGCAAAGAGCATGCAAAAATTGTGATCAAACATGTGCCACTTGTTAAGGACCTTATACAAATGACTGCACAAGTTGCTAGGGATAATTGTATTTAGATACTACTGAAAATAAATGCACTGCTACTTGTCCTTTAAGGTTTTTCAAAAATACTTCTAATAACTAGTGCTCAAAATGTGATAGTTCATGCTATTCTTGTGATGGAACTTAGCCATTTAATTGTCTCTCTTGTGAATTACCTAGGTATTATTAAGTTTCTTAGCGTTAATGTGTCACTCAATGCAATAGTAATTAATATAAAAATGATTAGTCGTTTAAATGTTTGGACTGTGATTCTTCATGTGCAACTTGTAGTGGAGGAAGCTCAACTGACTGTACATCCTGTTAAGGAAATTTATTCTTAGATAAATTATCAAAGAAGTGTGTTGCAAATTGTCCTTTTGGTTATTTTTAAAATAAATAAAATAACGAATGCAATTTATGCAACGATATTTGTGAAAGTTGTTTTGGACCTAATACAGATAATTGTAAATCATGTGTAACTCCTTACTTTTTCCAGTCATCAACAAATAAATGTGTAACTGAATGCGCAGTGGGAGAATATAAAAGTAAGCCGACTAAGTCTTGTTTGAAATGTCACTCAACATGTAAAAGTTGCTTACTTGGTTCAGATTCTGATTGTCTTTCTTGTGCTGGAGATTTATTCCTTGATTTAAACAGTAACAAATGTGTTTCGATTTGCAATCCAGGATCCTACGCAAACAAATCAAATAATGTTTGCGATAGTTGCCATCCTAGTTGCTTGACATGTGACGGAGGAGCAGATACGAGCTGTACATCTTGTCTTCAAAACTATTATTACTATAAAAATACCAAATCTTGTATGCGTTAATGTCCTTTTGGTTCATTTATAGATCTAGTTAACAAATCTTGCTACTCCTGCAAAGATTCTTGCCAAACCTGTGAAAATGAAAAAGGTTGTTTAACATGTAAGCCAGGATATTTTTATGAAAACCAATAATGTGTATCAGTTTGTTCTGATGGTAACTATCCAGATAAAAGCACTTAAAAATGTGAAAAATGTAATTAAGAATGTAAAACTTGCACTGGACCAACAAATACTGAAGTAAAATATTATTTTTTTAGTATTGAAGTAAAGTACAAACAATCCAATTTCATCAAATTAATATTTATTAATTAAAAAAAACAATTTTCTATTAAAATTTAAAAAGAAAAAATAGTTTTTGATAAAAATAATTTTAATTAATTAAAAAGTGTAAAACAAATACAAATTTTCGAATTAATATCTAATGAATTTAAAATATTTTAATGAAAGATTAATGAGACAAATATATAATAACCATGAAATTAATTAAATTGTTAATTATTTTAATTTATTTTTTATTTTAAAAAATGTAGTGTGTTTAATGCAATAATAGTCAAAAGACGAATGATAGAGGATCTTGTGTGGATACTTGTCCTTATTTGCAATATAATGAGTTAGATCCTTATCCTTAATGTCAACCATGTAATTTCAAATGCTCTAAAGGATGCACTGGAAAGAATCCTGAAGATTGCATTGCTTTAAAAGTATAATACTAAGTCATGTTTTACATTATATTTTCAACAAGTTGTGTCTGGTTAATTTCATATATTTGGGGAGTTTATATTGATAAGAAATAAAGTCTACTAGTTAGTGTTAAACCGAATACTTCTGATGTAAAAGAAGTTTTTAAGTAAGAAGAAAATTTAAGACAGTTATCACCATAAAGGCAATCTAGGACTAATACTTACGTCAATAATGATAATATGGAGACGATTAAAGAGTTAGATGTTGATAGAGATTAATAAACTATTAATAATTAGACTATATCTACTTAAAAAATAGTAAGACCTATGAGGAGAAAGAGAACAACAAGGCTAATGTCAACAGTAAAATAGAATCTAGCTTCCTTCTTAGAAATCTAAGAACCATCCAGTAAATTTATAAGAAAAAATAGCTAGGAAACAATAGAAATGTCACATCAATCTATTACAAACAATCAATTCAGAAGAACCTAAACCAACACATATACTATCAACAACAATAATAGCATATTTTAAAGATCTCCTTCAAAAAAATTCTCTACTGTAGTTGCTACTCCTGCGAAGAAGTTAGAAATTCTTCCAAATGAAAAGCTTAAATACGCAATTGTAAATATTTCATAAAATAAAATTTATATTAAATTAATATTTAAAATTAGCTTGGATAAGAATGGATCTCAATGCTTAAATTTTACCATCCTTCAATTAGCAGACCATATAGAACAACCTTAACTTACCTTAAATATCATTCATTCCTCTTGTCAACCCAATTTATTTATGATGTAATTTAATATTAATTTTGATTGATAAATACATTTATAAATTCTAACATTTTATAAATAAATAAGAACCAGCTCTTTTTAATTATCCCCTGTTTAGTCTTTGGATGGTGCATAAAATTAATATTTTAGAAATTTGTCATGCTCGCTATCTCCTGCATTAACAATTCATATCTCAGAAATTTCATAATAAATTTTTCATTTTTGGTTATCTTCCTTTGTTTTATTGTGCTTTGCTATTCTCCTATTTTAGATAAACTATTTATTTAAAAGGATTATTATTGGAGCTTTGTCTATGCTAGTGTCTTCTTGTCTGATTTTTTAATATTTTAACCATTGTTTTCTCTTTTTGAGTACCTACTAACAATTAAATACCTTAACTATTAAAACGATAATAAACAATCAAAAATTTTAAGCATATTTAAAAATGAGTTATATTACAATTAGCTCAAATGAGTTGATATTAATTCTTGATATTCAATAAAAACTTTACAGATTCAATTAAACTTTATATTACTATTTTATAAAATTTGTATTGTTACTGAATCATTCACTTTATACTGTTCTTGGTTCTTTTATAATTTTATAAATTAACCATCTTTTATTTCTACAAGCTTATTAATTTTTAATATTAAAAAAGTATGAATTTGACATAATTCTCCTCTAAAGAGCTATTATTTTTAAAAACATTTTATTTACTTTTTAAAAATTATATTAATTATCTATTATTTTGATTGTTTTTTATGAAGATTATTTTATTGAATGAAGCTCAATAAGGTAAAAAAGCTTTTAAAAAATAAAAATCATGTTAATGAATGTTTTAAAAAATTACTATTAATACATGAAAGCTTTTGTAAATAAGAATTTATTGATTTATTAAAATGTTTTTAAAAAAATCGTTTAATTACCTTACTGCATTTTTTTAATTAAAATTTGAGACATATTTTAATGGGAATCATATATTAATCTTTAAGTAGAATTTAATAAAATAAAGATATAAAATCATTGATTATTTATAAGAATACTAAATTAACTAAAGCTAAAATATCAATTAAAAAAATTATAAAATTTCAAGTTAATTCAAGTAAAAAATTATATGATAGATATATTTATTGAAGAATTAAAAACATATTTTTAAATTTTATATTTTATTAAATAAAAAGATAGATTTAACATTAACTTATTTGCTTTATAAAAAATAAATAAATAAAATTGAATGAATTTATTTATTTGTATTTTAAGAACCAAGTATAAAAAGAGTTGAATTTTATTTACAAATTTAACTATTTTTAATAATAATCAAAACGCATGGCTTAGTTTTTATGGATTGACATAATATCAAAAATGAATGACGGGAGATTGAATTATTATTTGACAATTTGTTTAATAAATTTTTTGGAGAAGAATTCTAACATAATATGCTTAAGGAGGACAATTTATTGATTAATTAACCAATTATGGATAGGAAAAAGCGATTATTAGTATTAAATATTGTTTCTAATGTTATTTTCAATTTTATTAATTATTTAATTAATTAATTTACAAAAGCTTTTACTAGAATTTAGTGCAGTTAGTTAGTTATTTAGTTTTACATAAAAAAGACAGTAAAGCATTATAGCAATAAGCAAGCATAAATATTTATGGCTTAGTTTTTTAATTAGAAGTAAAAGGAAAATGAAGAGGAAGCCTAGTATGAGAAATGGTTAATTTGTGTAGATCCTAAATCGAAGATGTTTTATACTGTTAACTCTGTCACAAATGAGTTACACATAGAAACAGATGCTGATGATATAATGAAAGATGCTGCTAAAAAAGCCATTAATGATTTGAGGTAGATTATTGATTACGATAAGAGCAGTTGGCTTTTTGAGTCTGAACAAGCAAAGCGTTTTTAGAGAAGAAAAATTCCTAGTTATCTTCTTCATAAAGACTCATCTGAATATCCAACTTACCTTTGTCAATCTAATCTATCTCTGGCTTTTGCAAATGTTAACTCTATTAAATTAGTTGTTCTACTCGGCAATTATGAAGATAAGCTTTAAGATTGGAAACAAGAACCACCTTAGAATGAGAAAAAGCAAGAAGAAAAAATGATTAAAGATGACAAGCCGATTAAATATGAGAAAAGAATTGAAATAGAAGCAGGTTTGGTTACAGGGTAAATTACCAGATTTTTTTACAATAAAATCTACATTTTTGATCAGCGATCTAAAAAAAAGTTAAAAATATCAAAATGAAGGAAGTATTTTGAAAATTTAAATGAAAAGCAAGCATATAATTTTGTTAAAGAATCATTTAAGAAAATGCTTATTAGTGTTGTTGCTTAATTTATTCATTTAGGTTGATAAAAATTATTTTATGCGCAATTTAATAATTAATCATGCGATTAAATAATTTTTTGGCATTAAAAAATAAAAAGGGCAGATGAAGTAATCAAAAATATCCTCAGAGAAATATTTAAATAAGCTAAAGTTAAATTAGAGCCAAATAATCCAGATCATTAGTTCATACTTTAGATTAAAGGATTCAGAGAGTATTTAACTGGAAATTATCCTATGCTCAGTTATGATAGAGTGCGTATAAATCTTAGAGGGCATGAGCATTTAGATGTTAGACTCACTGAAATCCCAATAAAAAGTAGAAAAGCTGATTTGTTTCCTCCAACTATAAGTAAATAATTTAAACTAAAATCTAAAAAAAATATTTTACTTTTAAAGCGTTCTAAGACATTAAATAAATGAAAAAAAAGTAAAAATATTTAATTTTCACAGGAAATACATAATGGATCAATTTAAGCTAATTTTTATATTCAAAAAATGATCACAAATTTAAGAAGTATCCTGCTTGCTTGATTTTTTAGTTTGAAAAAAGCAATTTTCATTTAATAAATGAATGAGGTGATGTATAAAATATTAATAAAGCAATAACTTTTGATATATAAGAATAGATGTTAGTTCGAAAAGTGTAATGAATTCATTCTAATTGCTAAAAAAATCTGTGATTACAGATTTCTATTTTAATATAAATCAATAGAATTTGCAATTTTACTTAAATATTTCACTATGCAAATTGAATTTAAAGAAAAAAATTGACTCTAACACTTATTTAAAATTTTAAATATAATTGATGATTGTATACAAAAATAAAGAGAATTTTTTAAATAATTTCCATTATTTATTTATTTCGAATTAATAAGATATTTAACATTAAAATTATAGTGAGAAAAAAAACTGATGTGGCTAATAGCAAATATTAGAAGGTTAATTGGAAAAAATTCCATGGAGTTTCTATTCTTTTGTGGTATCCTTGGATTGAGTTCCCTGAAGAAAAAGATATAGATTAAAAAGCTTTGGAAGAATATAATAGAAAAATTATAACTTTGAAATTAGATTTTACAGATGAATAAGAGTAGTAAATTAGGAATAATGTTCCTCCTCTTCCTTTAAGTTAACTGAATGGTAGCGGGGATAATGAAGAAGCAAGAAAAAGAGCTAAGAGTGAATTCTAAGAATAGCCAGAGCCTATTATTTATGAAGAGATTCCTCACCCTATTAATATTTGCCTTCAAAAGTTTATCTAAAAGGAAAAGAAAAAATAGTACAAACTTGATGGAACTTTAAACTTTAAAAATGAAGTAATTACTTTTTGACTTTTTATAGATTATTGAATATATTTTATTTAGTACTTAGATAGCATTCCGATGAAGGATTTTGTTTCTGTAGAGGAAAATTATAATAAAATTAACTAAAAAAAACTTACTTCAGGTGAATGTGATTGTTTGTTTAGAATTAGAATATGCAGCATAGAAAATGTATTCAAAATACTCAAGTCTGTTTCGCCAGAATTAGAAGACAAAACTAAAGAAGCTGTCTACAATGGAATCATGCAACCATCTTATATTACTAAGTCTAAGCAAGAAGATATTAACAAGCATTAGAAAAGCAGAAAGCAAGTCTAAAAAAAAGACAAAAAAAAAGAAATTAATCTGAAACTCTGCAAGATTAGAGTAAAATATTTCAAAAATTTTATAAAGCTTTTTAATTTAAATTATTTTTTTGATTGATATTAAAAGAAAGAAAAACTTTTAAAAGATGCACAGATGGATACATCGATTACAAATCACGGTATTGATGGAGTTGCATTTATGGGTGGACTTGAAAAAAAGTTTGGATTAAATTGTACTCCTTATCTTGTTTCATTAAAAGTTATGCTATTTCACGGTTCTAATTGCTTGAGAACAGTTGAGACAAAAAAACAACCTTTCTGCAAATCAATAAGATTCAATGAATGGGTAACTTTTGATAACTTAAAAATATCTTAAATACCCTTAGAAGCTAGAATTTGTATGAACATAATTCTTCATTCTGATGATTAAAACGAGCATTAAATTATAGGATCTACTTCTTTCTCACTCTTTGATTAAGACGATAAATACAGACAAGGACTTAATGCACTTAATGTTTGGCCGTAATTATTTTAGAATATCATTTAATATACAAAATTAAACTTTTTTAAAAAAAACAGCTTCTATAGAATTCAAAATCGTTTGTGTTGTATGAGCTAGTACTGGGGTTTAACTGATAAATCCCTAAAACCAAAACAAGCAAACGAAAAGGAAATGCAAGACTTTATCAGTAAAAATTTCACTAGAGTTTTTGTTTAATTGGAGAAGTTTAATGAACCTCTTTACTACTCTTTAAGAGACGACGATCATATGAAGTAATTAGGTTTCCCAAAACTTTCTAAAAGATCAAATGGAGGTAAAAACTGGAATTCTACTCCTAAAACTGATGATTTGGCAAGACTGTAATAATTACTTAGTATTGATCCTTTAAGAAGGTAAAAAACAATAAAAATTATCTATTTACCAAAATTTATAATTTTGAAATTAAATAAAGACTTTCAGAATAAAGTGAGGAAGATAAGCATGTGCTCATGATATGTAGAAATCATTATAAAACCTTAACACATACTCTTTAGATATTTTTATTTGCTATTGACTGGCTTGATCCTGAATAGGTATTTCTAAATTATTTATTATTTGCAAATAAACTGAAAACCAAACCAAATTTAAAAAATTTTTAAATTACAATTGTATAATTTGAATTTTCAAAAGCTTTAATTTTAACAAATGAGTAAACTATTAATTAGTAGATTTTAAGTTATTTTTAAATTTTTAAATAAACACTTGAACAAAAATAGAGAGGAAAATTTACTAAAATTATAAATTCAAAAACAAAAAAATATTTAATCATAAAATAAATAAAAAATCCTTTTTTGTAATTTCAATAAATAAATTAAACCCTCACCATATAAAATAATGCAATTAAATTAATGATAATTTTGTTTTAAGGTAAAAGAAGCAATATTAATGCTTAAATAATGGACCTTACTATCTCCTGAAGATGCCTTGCCTCTTCTAGATGCAAATATGGCGAATGAAAGTGTTAGGCTTTATGCTGTTGAAAGAGTTAGTACATTTTCAGATGATGAAATAGCTTTATATATGCTTGAATTAACTCAATCAATATTGTATGAAAGTAAACACTTCTCTCCTTTGGTTGATATGCTTTTAGAAAGATCATTATAAAACCCCTTTGTTGTAGGTCATGAATTATTTTGGCAATTAAAGAGTTAGTTGCACATTAAAGCTTTCTATGAAAGATATTTCTTGATTATAGAGCAAATGTTGATGCTTTGTGGATCTTTTAGAAACGAACTTGTAGTTTAAGTAGGAGTAAATGATCAAATTAAAAAAATTGGACAAGAAATTTAAGATGAAAGTTTGTTTAAAGAGCATACACTTCTTGTACCATTAACAAGAAAAAAGCTCTCTGAAATTAAATTACCAGAAGAATTTTCATTTGCTTTAGATAGTAGAATGCAAGTGCAAAGATTTGAAATTGACGACTGCAAGGTATTAATTAAATTTGTTAACCAATCAATCTATTTTTTATAAATTTATTTTGCTTTTATTTGAACAATAATTTTTATTTAGTTACAATTTTTTAATTTAAATATTATAATTTTTTCAAGCAGTTTTGTATTAATTTATTTTTTTAAAAAGTGCATGAACTCTAAAAAAGTACCTCTTTGGATAGCAACTAAGAGCAAAGAAGATGAGAATATTAACATATTGTTTAAGTGTGGTGATGATATCAGACAGGATCAGTTAACCTTATAGCTACTAAAAATTATGGATAAAATTTGGCTTGATGCAGGACATGATTTTCGTATGAAACCTTATAAAGTTATAACAACTGATGATTAAGTTGGAATGATAGAAATTGTAAATAATTCTGAAACCACAGCAAAAATTCACTCTAAATACGGAGGTGTGTTAGGTGCTTTTAGGAATAATACTATTTGGTAGTATTTAAAAGATAAGAATATGGATCCTCACTCTTTCGAAATTGCAACTGATAATTTCTTGCGTTCTTGTGCAGGCTATTGTGTAGCCACTTATATTCTGGGTAATTATTGAAATTTATTAACTTTTTAAAAATATTTTTTAACAAAAAGGTATTGGAGATAGACATGCTGACAACATTATGCTTAGTCAAACTGGTCACTTGTTTCACATAGATTTTGGTCATTTTCTTGGTAATTTCAAAACGAAATTCGGTATTAAGAGAGGTAAATTATAATAAAAAGTTTATTACAAATCTTATCTATCAAAAAAAAGTATATAATTTTAATCAGAGATAAAATAAACATATTTTTAAAACAAAAATAAGCAGTTTTATATTAAAGAATTAAAAAAGAATAATTCCTTCAAGTTATAATAAATAGACTTTTAATTATACAATTTTTAACAAATTTGTTTTATTTAATTTGAAAAATATATTGATTTTTTTTATAAAAACATTAATGAAATTAAAGGCTCATAATTTCATCATTTATTTTAAACTGTTATGAATTTTGAAGAAAAAAATTAATTACTTAATTTTAATACAAACTTTTTAATATTTTTAATAATTCAATAGAAAGAGCTCCTTTTGTGCTTACAAAAGAAATGGCTTTCGTTATGGGTGGTAAAGATGGTAATCTTTTCAGAAAATTTGAAGAATATTGTACTTAGGCATACAATCTAGTTAGAAAATCAGGAAACTTTATTATAAATATATTTTTACTTATGCTTGAAGCTGGTAAATTAATTCAGTTCAATGAAATAATTTCATTAAAATGTATTATAATATTAAAATAGGTATGCCAGAACTATAGTCACCACAAGATATAGAATATTTAAGAAATTAATTATCCATAAATTTAACAGAACAAGAAGCAACAAATAAATTTAAAAAAGAGATCACTGATTCTTTAAATAGTTTGTTCAGAAGAATAGATAATTTTTTCCATGGTTTAAGAAGAAGAAAATGACTTAACTAGATAGAAAACTAGTTATTATCTAAATAACTAACTAAAGAACAAACAAAAAACTAACTAACTACATTTACTTTGCAATTCTTATAAATAATTTTATTTTATATATACTTATATTTTTAATAGTAATTTATAAAAAGTACTTAGATGCAATTATATAGAAGCTAATAAATAAATAATTAATTTAATATTTATTATCTTTATTCAACTTTCGCTTTTATAAATTTTATTTTTTAAATTCCTTTTTCAATAGTTTTAATATTATATTTTGTTTAATTAATAATGTATGCCGTATTTTAAAAAAATTAAATGGCTATTTTTGAAGATAGATGAATTCCTTTAACAAATTTGTTAGAATTCATTTTTTGAATTTTTTCAATTTATGCCTACCCATCTCTAAATCCTACTATATTATGTATAATACATTTTAAAAAAGTAAAGCAAATTTTATAAATTTCTTTTTAATTTATCTTACAATTATTTGTTATTTTTATTCAAATAAACTCTATAAAACTAAATTAATATTAAATATGTTTATTATTAATTGAATTTCGATAAATTTCTATTTAGATTATTGAAAAAATAAATAAATGATATAATAGAAATAATATTTTGATAATATAGAAGATGTAATTAATTATTTATTTTTTAATATTATTTTAAATTATTTATATTAATAAAAAAAGTTCTTAAACTCTACTCTTGAATCTCATTCAGTTCTCAACATTAATTTATTGTATATTTATTAATATTGTTATTATTATTATTATTATTAGTATTTTTTTATTTAGTTTTAAATTTATTTACATTATCATCTTCTAATAGATAGCCTTATCATATTCATATTTTTAGTTTACAAATATTTTTTTAATAATTTAACTAATTTTTAAATTTTGAGTTTCTCTTTGATTATTAATTAATTAATTCATTTAGCAATTTCTTCATTGTTTTCTTTTAACTAGCTAATTAATTATATTTATTTTCTTTAATATTTCAAAAGTTTGAATTAAATTGGCAACAAAGGTGTATCTGGTTTATTCTCTGCTTTAGCAAAATGTATTAATCTCTCAAATTTGACACTTAATCTTTCGTAAAAATTGTTTATTTGTTTAGGATTTTGTTATTTTTAATATAAAAATTAATTTATTTAAAACAATAAAATTCTTTTAATTTATTTATTAGCTTTTTATTTGACTTATTTTTCTTATTTATTCAACTTGTGTTTTTAATACTTTATTAATTTAAATAGTTCATTTTTTCATTTCAACTTTACCTTAATTATTAATTTATTTATTTCTTACTATTTCATGTTTTTTCTCCATTTTTTACTTCTAATTAATCTATTAATAAAATTTATTTTATTTTCTTAAATATTTAATAAGTAACAATTAAATTGAATCAGAAGGTGCTTCAGAGTTAGGCTCTGGTTTAGCAAAATGCACTAATCTATCTAATTTGGTGCTTATTCTTCAGTAGAAGCAATTTATTTGTTTTGAATTCTAATAATTTTTAATATAAAAATTTAATAAAAAAAAATTCTTTTAAATTATTTTTTAGTTTTTGATTTGATTAATTTTTTTTGCTTGTATTTTTTTCTTTCTTATACATTTTCAACTTTTACTTTAATTATTAATTTATTAATTTCTTGTTATTTAAATATTTTTATTCATTTTTTCATTCTAATTTAACAATTAATTATTATAAATTTTATTAATATTTAAAAAGTAGTAATAATATTGGTGGTGATAGTGCATTGGGCTTATGTTCTCATTTAGCAAACTGTACTAATCTCTCAAATTTGGCACTTTATCTATAGTAAAAACTGTTTTTTGTTTTGGATTTTGATATTTATTTTTTAAAATAAAAATGTATTAGCTTTTTATTTTTATTTATTTTTTTCATTTTCTACTTTTACTTCAATAATTATTTAGTTTATTTCTTATTTCATCTTTTTCCTTCATTTTTTCTTATCTAATTAATTTTTTAATATTTAAAAAGTAATAATAAAATTGGTAATCAAGGTGCATTAGGATTAGGTTCTGGCTTAGTAAAGTGCACTAATCTCAAAAATTTAACACTTGATCTTGGGTAAAAACTTACTTATTTTCTAAAATAATTTTAAATAATAAAACTCTTTTTAATATATCTAAAATATTAGCTTTTTATTTCTTATTTATTAGCTTGTTATTCATTTTTTTATTTTCAAGATTTTCTTTGATTATCATTCATTTATTTAGTTCTGTTTGTTTCAAATTTTTTCTTATTTTTTCCTTTTAGCAAACTAATTAATTAATTAATAATATTTATTTTCTTCAATACTTAAAAAGTAACAATTAAATTAGTGATGAAGGTGTATCAAGCTTAGGTTTTGCTTTAGCAAAGAGCACTAATCTCTTAAATTTAAAAATTGATCTTTAGTAAAAATTCTTATTAATTAATCAGATTTCTTTTTTTTTAATAAATTTAAATCATTCATTAATTCATTTTCAATTTTCAATTTTATTATTAATTTATTAATTTTTTATTATTTCATATTTTTTCTTTAATTGTTATTATTTAATTATAAATTTAATTTTAAATATTTAAAAAGTTACAATTAAATTGGGAAT